ATGCACTGTACTCTAAACGCCAATGGGTGATGCTGATGATGATGCCGACGTCGTTGCGTACCAATCGTGGCCCATATCCTGGTGAGACTGAACCCTTGTGCCTTGTATACTATATTAGACTGAACTTAGTGCCGACAAACTTGCTAGAATCGAGAACGATTACCTTAGTAGACACAGGGAACGGGAACGGGAGCGGGAGATTGGCTGCAGGGTGAAGACAGCCCAGGCCAGGCCAGGTACGTGACGCCGCCCAGCCAACAAAAAGCAATGCGTAGCACCAGGTCAGCACGAATCGGTGCGCCTCACTTCCACCTTTCAAATCAGGATGGATAGCTCGCTTAGGCAGGAATACGCTGCATCCGTGGAAGCACAAGCGCAAGCGCTTATGAGCAGAAGAGGAGAAGATAATAAGGTACGGAGTATGCCTGTGGAGATCGAAGGATAGGATAGGCAGATCAGGTGAGGCGATTGGCTCATAAGATGAGGGTGTTTAGGGTGTTAAACTCCCCGATCAGATTGACCGCGCGCAGCTGATCGGCAAGGAAGCGGTTTAGTAGTTGGCACCAGCTCCGTGGCACTTGCGTCGTGGCTTTATATGTAGTTTGTAGTTCAATCAGCTCCTCCATGAGAGCTGCTCAGTACAAGCTGGGTCGAGGAGACCAAAAACAAGACAAGATGGAGGGTAGAACGACCTCGACGAGTGGGCATCACAACGAAAATGGCCAAGACGGACTGCGTGGGAGTGTCTGGAACTCTGCGAGATGTTTCTATGTTAGCGTTGCTTGTTGGCCACGCGAACCCGATGATCAAATATCCAGAGAACGACCAGCAGCGCAAAACTCGAAATATTATGGATGACAGTAGACAACGAAGACGACAATGAGGCAAGGCCCTGGGGGGTGATACGGGTGCCTGACTGGTAGGGGCCTCGCCTTCTACATAAGAAATACCTGCATGTTGAGAATGGGTGAAGAGGAGACATTCTTGCTTGTTTGCTTGCTTGCTTCTGCAACAGCACCTAATAAGAGACCTCGAAGCAGTTACGAGACAAATGGATCGACCGTGATTGGTCAAGGAACGGCAATGCAAGGGTCCGGGCCGGTTCTACTAGGATGATATTTAGACCATGACCATGGTTTGAGTTTTGGGCAATTCGCTCGCTATCTGTGAATCCTGGGATATGCTTTGACGTAAATCAATATCAAGCCTAGACACTAGGTACAGAAGCTAAGAGAAGGGCTGAAAACTCAACATTGCTCAAGACATTGTATTGGACTAGCGTACCTAGTGCGTATCATCCGCCGCGAACCTCATCAATCGTTTCTATTTTTCAACCCCCCCACGCGCTTTACTGTTGGGATCTTGCCTACTATAGGTGAATGGCACGTAATTTGATACGCAGCAGCCAGTAATACTTCCCTGAAGCTCATCCTGGAGCCTTAAGCACAGTAAGGATGTCTATTCTCCGGTTGACTTCCTTGACATGGTCCAAGGGGCTCACGGTCACTCACCAACCAACTGAATCTCGAGATAAGCCGAGACGAGTATGGTATCGCTTTATATTCTTTATTGGTTGATCGCTGATACTCTCTGTTGATAAGTTCTAAGCACACTAGAATTGCCACACAACTTCTTGCCAAGATTTGCGGTAATCGAATCCACGATTTGCGATTGCGGTACATCAATGATAGGCATTTGATCAAGACACCGATCCATTCATGCTGACATCGACCTAGGATCGGCTGAACCTAAGCCTTGCGCTAAGATAACTAAGTTAGTCTTGTAACCACAAAAAGGGTAAGAGGTGAAGCCTTCACAAATTTCATTCTGTCCACCAAGTCATCCGGTCCCCGCCAAGCTACGCGAGCATAATCCAATCTTGCCATGAGTGCCTGGGACTGATTTCTTGACGGAACAGCGGATCCTCACAAGCGTGGGCCACACTTGGAGACGAACAAAGTGCCACTAGGTATGCATGTTGACGTCCAGGCATTATATCTCCCATTAAAGCCGGGACTATCCCTAGTTGAATCCTGATTCCCATCGACTACCGGACTCGAAACACGATCGGCATGTTCTTCGCCCGGCCAGATCCCGCGGACGATGCCCAACACTCGGCGCTAGGGGGATGTTCGACCCTCTGTAAAAATGGTTCGAATCAAGTATAGACGGGATAAGAAGTGCCGATAATAGTTTTATCCAAAGTCAAAGCTGTGATATTTACAACATACAATGCTAAGAGGGCTCGCTTTGGTCCACTTTGATCGGACAGGTCCTGAAATATAAGCCAGTGTGGGGTGTTTGATTATTTGGCCTTCGTTGATTTGATGACATACGATTAAGCATGGACAGCGTGGTCAACAAGATGCCATTGGCTTTCAATTTCCAGACACTGGCATGTATAATCTGGTGCTACTGCATTAGTACCAGGACACCTAAAGCTGGGGCGAGCCGAATGAACCGATATCAATGAACAATGGAGGAATCATTCAATCTGATATTACAGCAAGATTCGGGTCATTTCACCCCGGAAATCATTTACGGGGGAATGAGCGCGGAGAACAGCTGCAGAGACATCATCTTTGTCTAGCAACTGTCATCAGGGATCAGTGCCATCTGAGTTACCTGTTAGTCAATGTTGTTACCAAATCCGTAGCCATAGGCGGAAGCCAGACTGCACGGCCAATGCACGTACTTTCTGAAATGTCCAAAGTTACCTAATTACCAGGTATGTAAATGCCGAATAACAAGTATATGTTTTTCGGGGTGAGTTCGGTCTTTTGCGACTTCGTAAGCTGTCCATACAATTTCTTTGTTTCTCTTCACATAGTCATGGCACGGAACTCATCGGCAGGCTCTAAGTTTGATACAGCTCTTGAAATATGATACATCTAAATGCTTATTACACAGACCTGGCAGGGAAACGAAGGATTTATTACTTACTCCTTTCAAAGCTTAAAAAGTGGTTCAGTATCCCCTGCACTGAGAAGACAACCGTTCTTATTAGGAATATTCGAGTGAGGTCAGTTGCGGTACTAGACAGATGCCGAGTTCATGAACCTGCTACACGAAAAGACAAGAATGTTAAAGTGATATATGTGATAAGGTCCTTGCCATGGTGGCTTTGACATGTCGGGCTATGAACAGCCTAGAAAATGGCTCAATACCCATATACTTGTACTCTCTTATATGCCTATTCTAGGGCTGAAGATGAGTTCCCATTCAGGTAGGAGATCAACTAGAAAGCTTCTAGCGCACGAGCCAGACCGGAAGCATTAATATTGACGTGTTACTAATTTATCGGTCCGTTTGTTAATAGTTAGGGCTGGAGGGGGCATGAGCTTTAGTATTACGAGGTTTATGAGATATCAAGTTTATCGAGGTGGTATCCTCATTGTTTCAAAACTGAGAACCAAACTCTGCAGAGCCCTTCCCCCTTTTCACATGTCTCCGAGACATCAGAATCCTGATTGATGTCTAATTTATTATTCCTGTTCTCGGGTTTATGCGCATTGCTGTGGCAGGGATGGGGAAGTTAGTAAAGTGGCGATGATGAGGCAGCAGGTAAAACTCTTGGGAGGCTGCCAGCACATCAATAAGCTCTAATTCGGGCTGGAATGGTATGTAATAGATCGCTACTTCTCAACTTTGTATCTCGAGAGGCACACTTAAGCTAATTCTGTTGGGCATGTGACTTTAACAGCATTCTGTTAGACTAACGCCTGTCCGCCTGTAAGTCAATGCATATTTTAATGTTATGATAGAAAGTCTCTACCTTGAATGCCTGATGAAATCGGTATCCTGATTTAGGCTCGGAAATTGACATTTCTCTTGCTTGACCTGGGAGATGCAAACAGAGTATAACATATCTTTGAGTTAAGTAGGGAGCAGTCAGGAGATGGGTGGTGGATTTCGCGGAGGCCAATGGTGTGTTGAGATTATTGACTGGTACTTAAAAGTTCAAGAAGCCGAATGAGAGAAATTCGTCTCGTAAGGCATATGTTCTTTGACTATGAGTACCCGAACAAATGGTAGACGAACATATGTGACCTGTCTTATATAACAGGCGCATTTGATCTAGAATGCTGCAATTTCTCGCACAGCTTTGCAATGAGGTCGTGTTTAACCTTTACACTCACATAGGAATATCCTACAGCCCAAGTTTAGCATCGGATCTCCAATGTTCCCTCCTCCCTTTGACTACCGAGGTATGTTACCAGAGACTAAGGGGAAATGGATTACCATTTTGTTTTGTGAACACTTTTGGTGATGTGACCTGAGATTTATAAATTGGATAAAATACACACAATAGCTACCACTTTGAATTCTAACCTTACTCCATTTGCCTTCATACTCGCGAAGTTCGTCGCCAACTGTATGAAAGGTGTAATACAGTCCGGTACAGGTATGTCGATCCACGAGAGGAACTCGATCTGATATGAAGAAGAGACGAATAAGGACACAGAAACTCTATCCTGGTAAAAAAGAAAAGCCTCCAAATCACATCTGTTCATTCAAAATACTCACTCCAGGTATTTTACTGAATGATATTGAAGTCTGAATGAAAGCAAGCCGTAGCCAATAACATCATGGGAGTGGAGTCTTGTGAGACCGTGCCGAAAGCGCTATTTAATACTGTGAAACACTGTACGCGACTCGTTCTTGTTGCCCCTGTCAGTAGGTGCGATCAGTTCTTGTTCAGTTATTTTATGAGGAGGAATGCGTCACAGGTGGAAAGTCTGCTTCCCCATCAAAGACTTTGGTCAGCTGTCTACAATGGCGAAATCGCACTGGCATATACCTCTATGACTCAGTGGAGAAGCTTTCCAAGATGTATCCAAGTCACAGGCTAAATTTTTCTCCTCACACTTTCATCACCTCATCATCAACTTCCTCCCTTCAGGTATCATCACAACCGTGACTAACCCTGGTCACTCACCAATTGACTTTATTCCGACAAGTCAAACTTGATCAACTCGAATCGACAGAATTCAGTCAGAATGTCTGCTTTGACGGAAATCTCGCTCCCAAGCTTTCGAAAGATTGCTTCGGGCAAAGTGCGCGACCTGTTCGAGCTGCCAGACAAGAGCACCCTTCTCTTTGTGGCCTCCGACCGTGTCTCTGCATACGATGCTGTTCTGAAGAACCCAATCCCTGACAAGGGCAAGATTTTGACACTCGTCTCGGCTCATTGGTTCCAAGTTTTAACAGAGCGCATTCCCGGTCTCCGCACCCATTTCATCAGTCTCGATATTCCCGAGGGCGTTACTCCCGAAGAAGCAAAGACCATCAAGAACCGTTCGATGGTTGTGAAGAAGCTTTCTGTTATCAAGATCGAATCAATTGTGTACGTCCCCCTTCCCAATGCAAAAGTACCACGCGACCCTCTTGGATATGAAATAGGTCTTCAGTTTCGTGCTCTATAGGAACATTTAAGCACTAACAGTCAATAGACGAGGTTACCTGACAGGCTCAGCTTTCAAAGAGTACAAGCAGAAGGGAACCGTCCATGGCATCAGCGTCGAGCCGGGTATGGAAGAAGCCCAAAAGTTCAAGCAGCCTCTCTGGACTCCAAGCACCAAGGCTGATGCTGGAGAACACGACGAGAACATCCACCCTGATGACGCTTGGAAGGAGGTTGGCGATCGTGAGACTGCAGACCGTGTGAAGGAACTTTCCCTCAAGATATACGAGGAGGCCGCCAAGTATGCCGAAGAGCGAGGCATTCTCTTGGCTGACACCAAGTTCGAATTTGCCAAGGATGGGGAAGGAAACATCTACCTCGTCGATGAGGTTCTGACCCCTGATTCTTCTCGATTCTGGCCAGCAGCCGGCTATATGCCTGGCCGCGACCAGGACAGCTTTGACAAGCAGTTCATTCGCAACTGGCTCACTAAGGAAGGACTCAAGGGCAAGGAGGGCGTGGAGCTACCCCAGGATATCGTTCAGGCTACAGCAGACCGCTACCGAGAGGCCTTCCTCATGTTGACTGGTAAGAAGTTCGAGGATGCTGTTAGCCAGTAGGTGGCAGATATAGGTGTGTATCAAGATGGGGTATCAAATCATTATCACTCTGACTGAGGTTTGATTTCTAGCGTGATATCAAAGTTACGGCCACTTACATTCCCATGTAGGATGGCTGGCTGTTTTCTACCTCTATCTTTGAAATTTCCGGCACTTGTTTGAATTTGTCCGCCATAAGTTTGATTATCCTTTTCCACTGCCATTCAGGCTAAGAAATCGCTTTATGGATTCTAGAACTATTAGCATTGGCACTTGGCCATTAATGCAGTAATCATTCACATACCTCCGAAGCCCCTCGGTAACAGTTCTTGGATCTTGCGAATATACCATTCGGAACCATCCCGGCTCGATAGAATGCTCCTCACGAGGGTGCAGAAACACACCCATCTTGTGAAACCTTTTCGCCAGAGCAAATTCTTGATTCGACTCTCCGTCGAAGTCGGATGGAAGGTACGGGGATAGATCAACCCAGATAAAGAACCCTGCGTTGCTGCCGGGTAAGTACTTGATACCCATGTCACGGAGCTGGGACGTGATATGGCGGTGGGCTTGTGCAAGCTTCAGCCGTGAAGAGTCAATAAAAGCTCGACACCACTCTCGATTCTCAAGCATGGCACTTCCGATAGCTAAGCTGGCTCCAGAGGGGTTATTGAATCGCATGGCCGCTTCGATAGCCCGGAGGACAGGTTGGCTGCGAGTGATTATGGCACCAAGCCGAAGACCAGCTGCACCAAAGTCTTTGCTTAGACCATAGGTGACATGAAGAAGTTCCGGATCTATAAGACCAGTCGGATTGATTGAAAGTATCGAGGCAAAGGGGGCTGCAGGCTCATCTGTATCGAAGACGGAGCAGGCGTATATCTCATCGCTCAGAAGATGCAGTCTATGCTTTTGACAGAATTGCATTATACTGATGAGCGTTGATTTATGATAACAGCGTCCTGGAAATTATTAGGTCTTTGGGCGAGAAAAGTACAAATACTTTCTTACCAAGGGGGTTATGGGGATTAACGATTAGCACCATCTTGACATTAACGCCGGCCTTTCGAGAGCGCAACAACGCCTCCTCGAACTTTTCGACAATCTGATCTTGAAACGTTTCTTCTATCTTATTGTTGGAGTGTACGACTCTGACTTGAGACATGTTGCCGAAATCAAGCTCGAATCGGCCATATACAGGCCTGCTAGTCAGGACACCATCACCAGGGTCTGCAACTCCCCATGCGAGAATATCATGCATTGCGGTAGCAGCACCAACGCACCGAATCATATCAGGAGTTACAGGGCTATAAGGTTGAAGGTATTCATTGAGGTGGGCCGCTAGTGCTTTGGGGAAGCGAGAACCTCCTGCGTGGCTACCTCGATAGAGGAAATCATCATGGGAGATGACCACCTATGTGTGTTAGTCATAGGCTGTTCTGGTTTTCAGTACTGGCGAATGTGCTCATACATTCTTGTCTGCGAACTCTTTTAAATCCTCCGTCACCAAAGCCTAGTATGGTCAGCATGCTGTAGCGCTGGTCAAAAGGCCCTCGTACATGTTCAGCTGTGCCAAATGATATCAAACCATTTGGGTTATGATCTGCATCATAGTCCCCTCTTGGTGCGAATCTCCATGGAAGGTTTAGTCCGCCAACTGCCTCTGTGGCTCGTTGTGATAGGAAACCCATATTTGCATCGGAGAAGTCGAGGTTTATCAACATGGTGAAGGCTTCACTTGAGAGATATTGTCTTGTAATAGCGGGGCTGATGAGTCAGCTGTCTAAGGTGAGATCTGCAATACTTGCTCAAACTGACTCTTACTGGCCTCTGGAGGTATTATACAATTAGATATTCGGTTATTGATGGGAGGTCGTCGATTGATACACCAGGTGAGATTTTGGGTGTGAGATAAGGATGTATCTTGTATGTCCCTGTTGGCGTTGCCAGCCAAGACATTATATACGTACTTCTAATAAGTAAACGCGATATTGACGAAGAACCTTGATAGGTAGGTAATTAAGCAAAAAATGGTCCATGATCATATGTACACGCGCTTCAGGTTCTCTTGAGTGAGCTCGCATTTAGCGGAAGGATAGATGATGGATTGGGCATTGAGAACGCGGGCCGGGCCGCCGGGCTGTCAACCGCTCGCCGCAAGACGGCAGCACTGGGCCTCCTAACGTTAGGTACTGATATATAGCTCTAGTATCTTTTGGAGTGGCGAAGAATCCATCACAAAAACTAATGAATGTCATCTGAATTAAATGCCAATAGTCATAGTGAAATTACCATATCTCGCTTGAATGTTGGTGTGGCCATCACCCCTTGTCCAGTTCTTTCGCGTGTCGCGCTTAGCTATGAGACGCGTGCCACTTTTGTCGTGTAACCAAACTCTAACTAACTTGTTTCATCTCATCTCATCTCATCTTCCACGACTTGACATGACATGACACTTTATACCCCAACATACCTTCGGGATGTTACAACCACAACACGTCATAGAAATTAGTGACGACGATGGTGACGACGCGCCTGAGATCGAAGAAAGTGAATGGAAGAAGAAGCTGTTCGCATCCTTGAATGCCATTCAGGCAGAACCTAAACTTGTATCCTTCAAAAACTACCAGGCGTTCGTCAACCCAGGTCTCAAGATTGGGGGGCAGCAAATAATACCGCTACCTCTAACAGATCACTATGCCGATATCATCAAAGAGCTGAGCCACTCGGTTCAGGGTACTGACAACAAGGTCCAGAACGTCTGGGAGCTTGACCGTGCGCAATTCGACTTGATCAATCCGGCCTGGCGGTCATGTCTGGACAGGATAGCACAAGAAATCACCAAGGAACTGGACATAGAAAACGCCTTGCTGAGTCCAAAAAGGTTGACACTTCAAGGGCCGGGCCCCGTGGCCGAGCAAGACCTAAGACTTGAGCAATCAGATCACATTGTTGGCCACATTTCCATTTGTCTGCCGTCTGAGCATCAGGGTGGAGATATTGGTGTATCTCTTGGTGGAAGAAGGAAAACTGTATCAACTGCAGCTTCATTGGCTCTCGACCTGTCCGTCATTGGCTGGATTTCTCCTGCACACAGCCTGGCCACCGAACTGGTCTCCGGGTATCGGCTCACTATCTCGTACATAGTCCATCGGTTCAACAATGGGCAAAGTACTGTCCCTTCATCGTACGTGGGAAGCGGCCGCGTGGAAGAAGTTCTTCAGATGTGGCAGCGCCGACATTTTGGTACCAAAAAGATACTGTATAAATTGGACGACAAGGAAGACACGGGGGTATTATCTCTCCGAGAAGCAAGGGACCGAGACAAGGCAGTATGTGAAGCCTTGTCCATGGCTTGTTCAGAAGCTGGGCTTTACATGCTGTTCGCTGAAATCACGCATGAGGTGACCGATGATCTCACTTGCAAAACCGTGGAAAGTTCAATTAACGGACTCTTCACGCCTGAATGCCAATACTTGGCAGAAAACAAAGAGCTTGATGCAGAAAATGAGGTCTTGGGCTTTGATGTGGATCGGCAATGGGACCTTGAATCTGCCAGCGATGATGATGAGGGCATGAGTAATGAATATCTCATGGAAGAGCACGAGATGACTCGCCGTTGGCACGACCATGCAGTTCTGCTGATACCGAAAGAAGGCTTGCTGGACCTGGTGAGACCAGATGGCAGTCAAAACACATCTCGGCGGCCAGGACAACCTACTCGAGTTCAAGAGGCCCATCATCCAGGCGTGGCACCTGTTGTGGCGATGGTCGTCGATGACTTGGAGAAGAATCCTGCCGGTGCAATCAAGGTGGCAGAAAACATAATCGACAAGCTTTGCGACTCTGGGAACGACACGCAAGTGCTATGCACATGCATCAACCCCATTGTGAACTGGTGCTTGAGGTCTGGTTATATGCCACTATACACAACAGCTTTCCGGAAAACACCCATAACTGTTGTGCATGTACTTGCAGAGTATCTTGCGAGCAAGTATGAAGGCACAGAAGATTCTATTAATTGGAAGGAATGGTAAGTTTCTTGCGTTTAAAGCCATGCATTACCTAACCTCAATACAGGCTTCATGAAATCACAAAGAAGCCCATTAAGCAACTTGGAATATTGTATCGCGACTTTTCACGGACTATCCTGGCTGTCAGTCCACCTGTATGGAAATCCTTTGATGAATGGTCGGAGACAATAATGGACGAGAAGCTCAACACAGAGCTCAATTGGGAGTATAAGGATCTGGAAATGATTCTCGACTTGATGCGGCTCCGTTGCGACAGTACTCAATGGATTGTCAACAGGTTCGTCCATCTTCTTTTGCTGACCGTTATTTACTTAAGTCGATTCAATGCTCATGCGACGTTATTAGACTGCTTCCCAGAATTGCGTCTGGGCGTCACAGCGAAAGCCATAGCTCACTTTTGATTCAACTTCTATTCCATATTTACCGGTTCAGAAATGAACCTCATTTTAAACATGCAAAGGAAATGTTCAAAAGCATTATAAATCACAGCGATGGTGAACTCAACTTCTCACCCCTTAGGCTTAAGCCTGCGGAAGAAGCTTGGTTGGTCGAGACTCCAAGACACGATCTGATCTGCGGGCCTTTTGTTCGGCTCATCACTGAGTGCCATGCTATAGGAGCATTTGTAGAAGCTTCTAAGGTAATTGAAGACACGTTCTCTCTGTTTTTAGCAGAGAAAGCGAGATGGATTCTTGTCAAAGATCCATTCGGCGTCATCTACTGCTTGATCACCCCCCTCATTCGTTTAGCCGCAGACGGCCTATCGAGGAAAATACCAGCTTTGTCGGATACTCTTGAGCTTCTTGTGCGCAAAATCATCCGCCTTGACTTGCCCAGGCAATCTCAGCCTGGCAGCGGATTGGTTTTCCGGGAGCGAGGTTGTGGGTTCTGTGAGGATTGTGCTGAACTGGATCGATTCCTGACTTCGCCTCATGAGACTGTCTGGGATTTCAACGCACCAAAAACTCGAAGGTTACATATCGAGCACGCTATTGGGGTATAAAAGTCGCTCGAAGCCTTAAGGATATTGGATCAGACAACCGGCACGTGTGAGAAACTCAAAGTGACAAAGATAGAGGCCCAGGCTGAACCTGACTTACGGAGCTGGGCTTTCAACTACAATGGCTTAAAGAGAGTTCTTCAACCTCTCCGAGGTGACTTCATGAGGAAGGCACTTGGTGAGCAACGATACCATGAGATCATCTTGCTGGCGGGAGTAAGTCCATACGGACCGCCACAGAATTCACCTGAAGTGAGAAGGCCACCCACTGCGGACGAATCACAGCCTGGTAAACGACTTCGCACCTCCGAGATGGGCGGCATAGAACAGGGTTTGCTGCACAATCGGAGAGAAGGTCATACAGCAAGCCAAACAGAAGCGGGCAACGTTTAGCACTGCGAACAAACAATTTCTGGTTATTATTCGTTTGCTACGTTTGATCTTATCAACAAGAGGGAGTGTCCCTTACAGCAACTGTTAATTCAACGTTGTACAAGGATAGTGCAATGGCCATCTCCAACCGGCAGGCATGCTAAGTCTTACCTGTCCATCAGTTTCTTGACAAGATAAACCGACTCTTTGCGCCTCCAAAATATTACCACAAAGTCAACAAAGAGCCCAGGCCTGCTCGAGCTGGCGAGTTGGACCACACTATGTCCGACTCTTCCGGTGAGGGATCTGAAAGTTACTCAGTTGACGAATATGCCGAGAGTAAACAAGCGTTGTCATGTACGCTCGACTCAATCCGATCTACTGGTGAAATTGGTACCTTCTATATTCATAGTGAATGCGCCAATCCGGGTCTTGTAATCGGAGGGGATCGTCCTATCCGCCTACCACTAGACGAGGATGATGCACGGGCAATAATGAGCATTTGCCAACGGGTGCCATCTGAACACCGCAACAGGATACTTGTCGACACTACGGTACGCAATACATGGGAGCTCGATGCCTCGGAATTCAATCTCGTTAACAAGAACTGGTTCGAAGACTTCAGCTCAAGGATACTGCGTGATACGGCCAAAGGACTCGGTATGTTCGAACTACGAGCCGATCCTCGCAGGCTTTTCCTCTACGAACCCGGGTCGTTCTTCCAAACCCATGGTGATTCAGAAAAGGAACAATACATAATCGGAACTCTTGCCATCCCCAATGATGGTGTCTCAGGCCTCATCTCGGAATGTGCTTTGGAGTTCGAGAACATGCAATTTTTTCTGAAATGCTTCAGGTAGAATTTTCAATCGCACCGAGTGGACATTAGCCTAGGGCTGGTTGATGATCTGAGAAAGCACTTTGATGGCAAAGAACAAGCGATCGATTGGAATCATTGGTAATTCGAACTCGTTATCCCTTTGCCACGGAATTTGCGATATTGACATAAGCCCAGTAGTGTCCAAGAGCTTATCCCAGTGAGGTCTTTTGTACAAGAAATTCCCCGAGCTCTACAAGTCCACCCTTGTGCATGGTGGACAACAGCTGTGCTTCACAGTGAAGGAAGTCAGATCTTATCTGTCTAAGACCTCGTGGCATCAAGGCTCCCAGCTCATCGGGGAGCTGAATGGAGCCTATCTCAATTCTGCGGGGCATGAAGCTTTGCGTATAGTGGAGCAGAGCTGCAAAACACTCAATGGCAACAAAGAGTCTTGGCTCCCAAGGGATAAGTATGGTATGTTTGACAAGTCTCTTGAAGCTCTCCTCAAGATTCTGGAGGCAAACAAGGCGCCTCCAATTCCAGCAGTGCAGGGTTTCCTGGAAACCGCGCTGCGAGAGGTACTCCATCGTCCGATCAATTCTCGGCCAGACGAAGTGGCAGGATACTCACCTTAAGCATCATCTGAAAGATCCAATCTACTCACTCAAGGTAATGGAGGCTGATTCAAAGGCCCAGCTGATGATCACAAAGCTAGGCACCAATTTCGACAAGGAATTGCGTTACTGGCAACAAGCCTTTGGAGAAGTGGAGAGCAAGCTCTCTGGGTTGAGAGGTAACTACTTGAAAGGTCTTTTGGGTGATGAGAAGTATAAAGAGCTTGTCCTATTGGAAAAGTCTGGACAGGAAGACTTGCGTAAAATTCTAGCAAGCAAGAGACCGCTAGTGGAGGACAGCGATGCACCGCTAGGTGTCTACACGAAGCGCCCGCGTGCAGATTAAATAAAGGTTGGATAGTAATGATCATTGTTGATATGAGTCTATGTAGAAGTAACATCCAGATCTACCCAACTCCAGCTATGCAACCCTTATCATGCCCGCGTAAACTCCGAACCAAATCATATAGGATATCATGAATCATGCTTGCAAGGCCTCAAGGCCGAAGGTAAAATCTTCTATCTCCATACCTCTAAATCCTTCCTCAACGACCCAAGCTCGACCCTTTTCAGGGGTGAACAGAGTCTCGCAAGATCGTCCAACAACTAAGAGACCTGGAGGCCGGCTGCCCTCTGTCTCAATAGCCTCAGCAACATGCTCGAGTGTAGTTCTAATAACCCGCTGGTCGGGGCAACTGGCACGCTCAATGACGGCGCATGGGGTGTTGCGGGGCCAGAGTACTCGCTTGCTCTCGCCTGTTGCGGGTGAGACTTGAGTAGGTTCTGGTGGAGGAGGGGGCTGCGCCGAAGCAGCCTCTTCATTAGCTGGGGCAAGAGGCTCGAGCTCGATGTGAGTGGTCAGCTCACGAACGAGACCGTTGATTCGGTGAAGGGCCATGAGGAAGACCACAGTACGGCTGGGCACGAACTCTGGTGGTGACGGAGCCTTGCCCTTCTTGCCCGTCCCAGTGCATATCAGGATCTGATCAGCAATATCACGTTGTGTAGGAGGAATTGCAGCAAAAAGAGGAGCACTGAGAGCACTTGTCACACCTGGGAGAACCGATACTCTGTCTCCAAAGCCGTGTTGACGGAAGTAGGCAACCTCTTCACCACCACGGCCATATACATATGGATCACCCTGCTTGAGGCGCAAGACTGTCTTGCCTTGTTGAACACCGGCGAGAGCCATTTCAAGAAGTTCTTCTTGAGCGCGATCTGCGTTACCGGGGAACTTGCGAGCAATCTGAACAGGAGTGCGGCGGGGAATAAGGTCAAGGACACCAGAAGGCACCAGCTTATCAGCGAGAATAAGATCGGCGGTCTTGATAGCTTTATGTGTAGCCTGGGTGAGGAGATCAGGGTGACCAGGTCCACTACCGGCCAGGATAATGGTGCCAACACGCTTCTCTGGTGTACCAGGATCGCGCTTGATATCAGGACCGCTGCCGGGATATGACTTGAGAACCGTCTCAACATCATTGTCGGTAATAGCAGCGAGACGCTTGAGAGGCCAGTATTCACAGACTTGACTCAACCAGCGCACCCTTCGATTCTTTGCATCCTCTTCAGTAATCAAGCGGTTGAATTGAGCGTTTTGATCGTACGAATCATCAAGAGAGGCGGGGTCGTCTTGAGCGCCCAGAGAATCTTCATCATGGATGCGGCGGCGGACGTCTCCGAGGCGTGTGCAGGCAGCACCGAGATTGACGGGGAGAGAAGCGGCAATATCACGACGAATTCTCGAGGCTAGCTTACAGCCACGACCATTTGTAGTGACGCCGATCTGGAGCGGGCCATCGGTATGTGTCGAGAGGAGGGAGAATGTGCAGAGTTGAGGAGCGTCAACGACGTTTACGGGAATGCGATTTCGTTTACAAAGGGCAGAAATATGAAGGCCTGGGGTAATTGTTAATAACCATTTTTGTAGTTTTCGTATAAGACATACTTTGAGGATCTCGTGGTCCTGAAGTGACAAACACAGCATCGACTACACCATCCACTTCCTCACGCCCAAGACTCAGCAAATCGGCGTCTTCGAAGTGCTTCTTGTGCCATTGGACACTGCCATCGTCGATCTTTTTTTGTAGAGCATAGTGAAGCTCAGAGCCTTCGGGGGCAATAAGGATTGGTTTTGCGCCAGAGCTTAGAGACTGGGTACATCGAGTCGCAGCGAGTGGGTTCGTGCCGATAACGAGATGAGTATTGCCTCTGCAGTTGAGAGCTGCGAGAAGCGAAGATGGTATTATTGATGTCATTTTGAATAGAGAACTTGATCTGCTTATACAGAAAATAAAGGGAGAAATATTTCACCTCAACAAAAACGCACCAAAATATCGCGACTGCGAGACTCGGTCGGCTTATAAAAGAGCTCTCTCTCTCTTTCTCTCTCATGAACTGAATGAGACTAGACCCTGAACCCCTGCTCTTTCCCTCATGAGCAGATGGAAAAAAAAGTTACCCCATTGCCCCTCCCCCTCCAAAGACTCCAAATCAGGCTCATGTCATTGGCCCAAACTCACGCCATCTCTATAATCGGGCTGTCGGCGGGCACCAAAGACACCCTTGATAACGCAATCGCCGACTTCCGCGGGCCGCAACCGGAGATGTCAGAATTGCGATAAAGCACGTTATTTTGGGCGATAAGGTCAAAGATGATCTGATGCAGAGCTTGCAATTCCGTCGGTTTGGTTCTTAGGCGGAGATGCAAATTTCAAGAAACCCATCCGGTATAGACACGTTATGACAGAATCGCCATGATATGTATGGACTTCGCCTATGTATTAGCAGTTGAATCCACGTCATGATGAAGGAGTAGCAAGGCCAATTGGATCACAACTTTGTCATTCGCCTGGAGCAGACAGAAAGATGATTTGGTATTTCTCAATACATCATTGTAAAGGCTCACTCCAGAAACACCCCTTGACACCGCAGCATTACCATCACAGAACACAAAAACACAAAAAAAGAAAGCCTCGCAGACGCTCGCAATCGAATTTATAGGAACAGCCCGATGCGGGGGTCGAACCCGCAACCTTGAGATCGCGTACTCGTAAGAGTCTCACGCTCTACCGATTGAGCTAACCGGGCGTGGCTCTTATGGTTGAAGTTGACCCCCTGGAATGGCATCCAAGAAGTTGACAAGCAAGCCGAGCAAATTGGTCAATATTCAAGATAATATTGGAAAGTGCTTCACGACTGTCAAGTGTGTCGAAGGCTTCCAAAAGCGTATTGCATAAAGTCGTGTCATTATTTTGTTGTTTTGGTGTTGAGATCTATCATCATGCCCAATATCCATCCTCATCATGACTACATGGCCCCGAACCAGTGTTGGTACATCTATTTTACATATAATACATCCACTATGATCGACCTCGTCTGTCAGAGTCGTCTTGCAGTTCAGCCTCTACTTCTTCATCCATCTGCTTGGCGATTATTCTCTCTTCCTCTTCCTCCGCCTCGAGAATCTCCTTGATAAGGCGGCTCTTCTTGTCCATCTTGTTCTTTCCACGACGCTCACGAGGGGCGTTCTTCTCGTTGGCACTGATTCCGCCAGGTCCCATGACAATCTCGACCTTTCTGGGCTTCTTGCCTTGGCCGGCTCGTTTGCCACCGTCGTCGGGTCCCTTGCCAACACGAGCGTTACGTGGAACTCGCGTCTTGGCTCCGAGAGCCCAAAGGTCGCCCCATCGTGACTTGCGAGCATCGTGGTATGCGAGTTTACTCTGGCTCTTAGTGACGGTCCATCTCTCAAGTTTGCCTTCCGGTGTGCAGAAATCAAGGGTTACGTGTCCCTTCTTCTTCAACGGAGGCATGATAGATCGCGGCAGGCTCTGCATATCGGGCTTTTCAGCAGAGTCTTCGTATCCTTCGAAGGCTCGGTTTGCGGCTTCTTTACCACTTATAGACCGCTCCTTAGCGACACCACGTCTGAAAGCAACATAGCTAAACTCGACTTCGCCCTGATTCCTCGTGCTGTTTCCAAGCATTCGAGAATAGAACGCAGGACGAACAAATCTCTGACTGAAGTGGCAGTAATCCTTGCGACCTTTGCTCTTGCCAGGTGTCTGATACATCGGGCACAGTCCCTGGTTAGTACAGGGGGCAACAACATATCCAAGCTCCTTTTCGCGTTCGTAGGCAGGGTTGAACCCTTCACTGTCAAGCTCTGGCTCTCCGGATTGGGGCAAAAGGAACTGCCGAAGAACGGTGTCTCGAACATGAGCGACAGCCTCAAATCCTCGAGGATGGGCCTTCTCTAGGACAATCAGAACACCACCATCTTTGTTCAGTAAGGACCAGAGTTTGTTAAGGACTGCCTGTCGGTAGTGGTCCTGTTCTTCCTTCAGAAAGAGATGAGAGGCGATAATAACATCGTAGCTCTTGCGGGGTTGAGGCTTGCTACCCGCATCTAGATGCTCACCCTTCATCTCTCCCGAGTGCTCATAGTCGGGAAGTCGAGGGAGGAAAGTGGTATTTTCCAGGAAAGTCTTGGTACGGTGTCGTAAACGATCAGAGCCAATAATGACTGTCCGCTTGCCTGGGGGGTCGTCTCCCTTAACTTCACCCTTTTCCTTCAGTAGATCCCATTCTGCTCGCACAATCTCGTCCCAGGCAATCAAGCCTGCGCCACCAGATCCTGCATCAAGAACGCTTACACCGCTACCATCTTTAAGCTTAGACTGAAGCCACTCGCTTCCGACTCGCTTGCGAACTTCTTTGAGGGTAGCCATTATTGAAGCATAGGCTGGCGGCATAAAGCCTGCCAGAAAAGCATCGCCTTCAATCTCAGTCATATGTCGCTGATCTGCCGGAAGGCCGACACCAAACATATTTCCATTCCTCTTAGCCTCAGGTGTCGCAGGAGACAAAGGAAGACCTGGACCACCAAACGCAGTTTCAGCGGCACTCTTGACGTGATCGATGTGAGTTCGCTGTAAAAGATCACGAATCGGCATGATCATTTCGTCCTGTGGCAAGAGGATCTCAACGGGGCTTCCCCAGAAGCGACCCTCCAGAGTCAAAGGGTGAAATCGTGCCTCCTCGCCAGAGGGTCGCTCACCAGGCTCATACTCCTCGGGCCATGTCGCTTTCGTATCTTCCTCCTGCTGCTCCGTTTCCAACGCTTCCAGGGCCGCTGCCTCATCTTCGGCCTCTTGTTGCTTCTGCTGCGCGACCTTGAAATCCTCTGAAAGCTTCTGTAGTGCATCATATTCTCGTTGGCTTCTGGCAACTAGATCCACATAGCCTGGCACAATTTGGTCGATTGCGCGGTCCTCCAAGTCAGGTTCCGGAGTTGGTTCGATGATGTCTTCGACACCCTCATTCAAAGGAATTTCGTAAGTGACCTCCTCAAATTCGCCACCCTCAAGTTCCCGCAATAGAATGCCTTCGTTATCTGGCCGTGGGGGCTGTGGTCCCATGTCTGCATGTTCTGGAATACCGACATCTTCAGGTCTCGTCTCACGCAGCGGCGCACCGTACAGCCGTTCGTAAACCGCATATTCTTCGTCATTAAGATATCCTTTTGGTAAAGTATCTCGAAATCTCTGCTTAGCGTCTCGTACAATTTGCTCAATTTCCTCCGGCGACCCCTGTCCCGTTGTTTGTGTGTCTTGTCGCAAACATCTTGACGTCGAAAATGCCTGTGTAATTGCAGCCTTCCCATTGGGCTGCAAGTAACGGGAGGACGAGATACGTTGCGGGCGAAGTAAAGGAGTGGAAGAAGAATACAACCGTGAAGATACTGTTAATGAAGAAGCACTACACCTCGGGCAAGCATTTCGAATTCTTCTGGCCGACAACATTTTCCGTACTATACAAATTTGACGTAATGGAGTCGAAGTTTAAAAAGTTCATCTTTTTGAGGTGAAGAGGCGCGTAGTCACGTGATGCTATTTGTACGCTTCAGCTAACTGGTCACCAAGAACCAAAAATGGAGATTCAAGATCATATAAACGAGTCGACTGATTCTAGAACTGTGTAGTAAGTTCGCCTGAAACTATTAAAAACCATGCCCATGTCTCTAGAGCCCTTTACCGATAAACGCCATGCCCGAAGTCTCTCTTAATCACCACCAAGATCTGCCAAGGTCTTGAAGGACGAACGTGGAGGAGCTCTGGCACCACCGGCGCTCTGCGAACCACCAGTGCTTCTTGGTGCTGGTTTACGATGAACATTGAAAGGGCTCTCTTCCGCTGACTTATACGGGTCAAACTACCATCTGATTAGCAACCCCAGGATTTCACACTAAAATACCGCCAGTCGGTCACTTACCGTGAACAAAGAAACAAAGTATAGTCCAAAGAACGTAATCAGAGCATCGAAGACGGCTTTCAAGTTCCACTGCTTAGATAGAGAGGCAGATCGTGACTCGCCACCGAGCGTTCGGCCGGGAGTCTTGAAAACATTGCCAGTAGCTGGTCCGCCAAGCTTTACCGCATTATTGATAGCCGCTGTGAGAGCGGGAGGGTTGGCGCCCTTGATGGTCTCGATGCAGGTACCGTTGTGGAAGATCTTGAAGGTCGGCATGGCGGAAACACCTTGGGCTCGAGCGATGCCGGACTGGTTATCGACGTTGACCTTTGCAAAGGCAACCTTCTTCGGACGTGAGTGTTCTTTGGCGAGAGCTTCGAATGTAGGCGCAATCATCTTGCAGGGACCACACCAGTCGGCGTAGACTAAGTAGAAGTCGTGTTAGCGATGACATGGATATTAGCGGAACGTTCAACCGTACAATCTGCGATCACCACATTTGTACCCGAGAGGAGACTACTCCATTCGGACTCAGAAGCAACGTTGATGGGGCCGCTCATGGTTGGGATTTCGTTATTGTTGAGTCTGTTTGCTCGTCGTGAAAGGCCACATTTGTCGCATCCTGTTAGCCATGATGCTGACGAAGCGCGGGCGAGCCTCGAGAGCTCTGTGTCAGGCAGGCGGTGACGAAGGCGGCGAGATTCTGCCGGACTTTCGGCCCCACTATCACAACTTTTTGCTAGAGTTAGGTTATCGCAACTTTACCTCCAGGTGATCTACACTTTGCAGGTCGTATCAGTCCTTACAATTAAGAACAAGATGTCTTACTCAGAGCGCAATTCCAAGGTTAGTCTAAAATGCACACCAAGTCCACACCAATCGACGTATTAACCTTTACCAGAAACGCAAAACCGAACATAACGGTCGAGAGGGAGGTTCCGCCAGACCTTCCACGATATTTGACCCAATTGAAGGTGGTCGACCATGGACCATCTCCGTTGCCATTCCCAGCAGTATTCTCTCAGAGTATGCATCTTGTTAATGTTAGCTATCTCCTTACTAACTAACAATCGCAGCCTCGCTTCCTCTGACCAGCGAATGAACCAACCCGCACGCATTGCTCGTGCCCTCGCTGCTTTCTCTGTCGACGAAGTGGTTGTTTTTGACGATTCTCCTCTCGCGACCCGCCCTCGTCAGACAGATACCAACAGTTACACAGGCGACACCGATCCATGCCATTTCCTCACACACATTTTAACCTACCTGGAGGCGCCGCCATTTATGCGCAAGGCACTTTTTTCTCTCCACCCTAACCTGAGATTAACTGCCATGTTGCCCACTCTCGACATGCCCCACCACCCAAACCCCAAGGACTGGATCTCTTATCGGGAAGGAATAGTTGTTCCTGGTGAAACAAGCACAGGCTCTGGTTCGCTCGTTGAAGTTGGCCTGGGGGAGCCTGTCGAGATTGAGGCCAAGATCCCTCCAAAGACACGGATAACACTCAAATTTTCAGAGGATGAGACCCAATATCCTGAACCTGTTCATCCTGCTGCACCAAGAACTGAGGGCGGGTATTATTGGGGATACAATGTCAGAAGGGCCAGTTCCCTCTCCAATGTTTTCACTGAGAGTCCCTACGAGAACGGTTACGATGTCAGTATTGGCACCTCCGAACGTGGTGTTCCGGCCTCTAGGGTTTTCCCGCCGTCTAAGAGAGTCAACTTCAACCATCTCATCATTGTCTTTGGTGGCCCGCGAGGTCTGGAGTTTGCAGCAATGAACGATCAAGAACTCAGCAGTATGGACATCCAAGGTCCCAGGACCAAGGAGTTGTTCGACCACTGGGTAAATGTTTTGCCTGGTCAAGGATGCCGTAATATCAGGACAGATGAAGCTGTGTTTATTGCTTTGGCAACATTGAGAGGTATTTGGAATTCTAGTTAGTTTACTGGTAGAGCGAACGATACCCTTATTAAGCTTCCCCCTTCATTATCTAGACTTCAAAAAAGCATCTCAAAATGCTCATGATACATACAAAGCCAAAGTGTCTGCAAATGTGCTGTTGTTGTCACTAGCCGGAGCCAAATCCATCCCATCTCGATGCACCATGATCCGGGTGCCCACTGTAGTCAATCCTAGAAACCTCGTTCCAGGACTCATGCCCTGAATGCTCAAAGTTCTCGCTTGGCAGTATCCTGGAGATTTGTTGCTAGCACAGGTATCATTGTAGTTCGTGAAAAATGAATACAACCCTGCCCCATAGACGGCAACGTTGCTGGAGTTGAGAATCCTCATGCCCCATCCCATATTGCATCCTGGATCAGGGTCGTTCTGGCAGTCTTGCTGAAAGTTTGGATCGTTCAGTGCTGGCACAAGAGGGAATGGGTATTGAGCCACGGGCATGGGTTGAAAGTAGGCCTGCTCTGTCTGTGCGTGGCCAATGTAAACGTCTCTGGTGTTGGAGAGCTGGTATTGATACAGAACATGGTGTTCTGAACCAGACGCACTGAGCCAGATGCGGCCTCTCTGTGCCTCTACAAGAACTCCTCTTCCTGCAAAGATAGAAACCCGTTGGTATTTTTGATCCTCAAGATCGTGATCTGCGACCCAAAACCAACAATTTTCTGTGAATAGACCCCCAGCGAAAGCCGTTACGTGGAAGCTCATGTAAGCTGCCAGGCATCTCGGATTAACAGTGTTTGTCCCTTTGATAGCAGGGCAGTCTGGAACTTGAAGATAGGTCCCAGCAAAACCTCCAATTCGAGTGTGTACATCCCACATGCCTGAGGGGGTTTCAGGAGCGAACAAATTATACTGAATTAGGATGGCACCTGCTGTTGGACCACGGGTTGATACTATCGTATCTGACCACTCTATCTGGCCAACATCACCAGGGCGACCAACTTGGACGACAGGTCGAGGTTTGCTGACGTCCCCAAAGTTGGGCCCTGTTCCCATGATGATCGATGCCAAGGCTTCGCCCACAATTCTGGCATTCGGTGGGATTTGTACAGTATCTGAAACCATGTAGTATCCTGCGTCGAGATATGCGATGAGCCCTTTTGCTGCCGTGTACTGAAACAAGGCATTGAGTGCCTGAGTATCATCATGTGATGCGTCACCGTATGCGCCATTTGCTTTTGCTGATATGAAGTAACTGGCTGGAACCTGCTCGTACTGAGGCTTTGATCGCTCATAGTAGATATTGCGATCAAGGAGATTCTGACTCCGAGTGAAAGGAAGCGGATAAAGGGCTGTCGCATCGAATGTACCCTCCATGTTCGCGTAGTGCCCCTGAGTCTGTTAGCAATGCTCACAGTTCCGCGAGGTGGCCTACCATCAGGAAAACAGCGCTGTCTACTGGTGCTATAGCAGAACGTGCTAGATCAGTACCTTCAGAGCCCATGAGAACGTTTTTCACATTCTGAAACTTGACGTTTTCCATCGCCACAGAAGCTGCGCTGCTGATACTCTGTGAGCTGTTGCGTGTCGTAGCGATGGCCACATCAACATTCTCGAACCAGCTGTCAAGGATCGTGATAGAGCCAACACCGAACGATGAATCATCCATCTTGATTCCCACTCGACAGTTCTTAAACACAGTACTCTTGAAAGTCCACCCCCAGTCCCAGGTCATCCATATTGCGACGTCGGCATTAGAGAACCAGAGGTTACGTGCTGTAAACTGCTGATTACCCAAAACTGTGGCATTTCCCCCGCCAAAGAAGTAAAGATCATTAAGAAGCCCCCCTGATCCTTCTTCGATAAGGAGACCTGTGTGTTGATTTCCAGGAACGGTCGACAGTTGGAACACACAGTTGGTGATAGCTGTCGCTTGAGATGATGGCCAGTGTATACCCACAGCAGGAAAGTCTGGGGGAAGGGCAGTTGTATCCAAAACCAGATTACGAATTTGGCGAAAAAAGACGTTTGTCGAGTTCCATGCGAGGGAACCAGTAGACAGGTAGGGGTTTCCGTCGATTAAGCCAAAGCTTTGCTTAGAAAAGGAGGCGGAAGCTTTGATGACAGGTCGGTTTGTGGGGTCACCAATAATTTGCGTATAGTACAAATCAACGAGGGAGTTGCTGATGAGATACGTTCTTTCTCTGTTAGCAATAGAATTCGCGATGTTGTTTTGGACACTCACCCAGCTGGGATATAGACAGTCGCGGGTGAAATAGTGCTTCCTTTGCACACACCAGGAATACAGCGAACACCTTCACTGATTGCTGCATTTATAGCGGCCGTGTCGTCCGCAACTGTTTTGTTAGCTATGAAACTAAGTCCGGGTGAAGTACGAACCTCCATCGCCAACAGCACCAAAGTCTTTCACGTTGCGGAACACAGGGTAAAGCTTGTCAGGATAATAGGGAGCACTCCCACGGTGCTCGATGTCCTCAAGCCAGTACCTCGCGTCGGCACTACCCAAAAGGGTGAATAGGAAAAGGAGGAGCAACTTCATAATGAAGAACCTGACAAGAGCGCGAGCGTGAATATACCTATAGGTAGCCCAAGTCAAAAACGTGTGAGTTGATCAAGAAAACCAGAGTCGAAAGAAAAAGGTCAAGAAGTTGTAGGTAGGTACTGTACCTAAAAGATATTTGATCGAGAAGAAGTTACAGCCAAGGACCTCTTTGGTAAAGAAATGGGAAAGAGCTTGTTGACTGTCGCTCTGCTCTTCCCTTACATGTATTCAAGAGCACGACTGCGCCTTCCCTGTGACAACCAGATCTCATCCCAGGTCTGATCCAGAAAGTAGGTAATGTGATCACGAGATATGATCATCTGTAGTGGAACAAGTCTAATGTAGGGCAGTGATTCATCAACTCCAAATTTACCTACACTAGAGATGAGAACCCCTCAAAGCAGTGTCAGCGCATGACAAGAGCAACTTCTCATCATCACTGACGGCAATTCTGTTGGGCAAAATAATCAAGGCATGCTTGAGTATCATGACGAGAAGATATGAGACAAGCTCTGAGATGGGTTGATCATAGCGAGCGATGTCGTTCCTGTAATGAATGAACGAACTCATTCAGAGGAGTTCAGTTACACAGCAAGGAGAATATCAGAAATACCACCACGTTGACATGCAGATAGTTGATGTACAACCCGCTAGGGGTGAGTGATTGTATTGTATGTGAGTGTGCGACAAGGTCGCAGCAGCCTTGTTGAAGACCATGCTTTTCTAGTTGAATATCTGACCCTACCTATTCCAAAACGCCTTCCGATACGGTCATAGCCCATAATTATGCAGTGTAGTGTGGTGTGTTTGAGGTGAAAATAGGAGTACAATGATCTGTTTAGATCGTCGACTGTGTTGAGTCGAGAGCAACGGCTTGGCCAAGGTTTCCACTGGCCATAGCCTTCTCCCCGGAGCGCTTGCGCAAGACGTTCTCGATGAAGGCTTCACCAGCCTTGTATGAAGAACGCACGAGAGGTCCACTGGCACAGTACAGGAAACCCATGTCCAGAGCTCGCTTGCGCCACATCTCGAACTCATCAGGGGTCACGTACTTCTCGACCTTCAGATGACGTTTTGTAGGTCGCATGTACTGACCGAATGTGACAACATCAACATCAGCCTTTCGAAGTTCTAATCACTGTTAGTTGAGTTACATAATATAGTTGTAGAGGTTGTCTTACCCTCTAGCGCAGCCATGATCTCATGTTCCTGCTCGCCAAGACCAAGCATCAGACTGGTCTTAGTAATAGGACCGTCCTTGCCCATAACATCCTTGACATGCTTCAACACAGACAAGCTCTGTCTGAAAGTAGCTCTGCGGTCTCGCACATAGGGAGTGAGGTCCTCAACGGTCTCAACATTATGCGCATAAACGTCAAGTCCACTCTCAGCCACGACCTTGACCATATCCAAGTCTCCTCGGAAATCGCCAGTCAAAGCTTCAACGAGCAATGAAGGCTTCTTCTGCTTAATCCTTCGGATTGTCTCAGCAAAATGTTTCGCACCACCGTCTGCCAAATCGTCACGGTCCACGCTGGTCAGCACGACATAGCCAAGACCCCACCTGGCCAGGGCTTCTGCGGTGTTCTCGGGCTCGTGGGGATCCAATGCAGCAGGATTGCGATTTGTCTTTACACTGCAGAAACGGCATCCTCTGGTGCATGTGTCGCCCATAAGCATAATCGTAGCTGTCGCAGCATTCTTATCTGAACCGCCCCAACATTCTGAAATGTTGGGACATCGAGCCTCCTCGCAGACGGTGTGTAATCCCAATCCTCGTAGATCCTTCTTGATGCTCTTGAAGTTATCGTTACCGGCGGGGATCGGTGTCTTGAGCCATTCTGGCAGTCGTGTGATGGTTCGCTTCTTGCCCTCAGGGCCGACTTCGGCGGTCTTCAGAGAGTAAGCCTCTGCTGGAGACAGTGGCTGGGCTGGAGACGACGTCGCAAGGAAATCGGAGAAGTCTGAGACTGCTGTGTCCTTGAAATAACTCTTTCGTCGAGGTTTGCCGGGCTCGCTGCCACTCGGAGGTACAGTGGCGAAGGTTCGAAGTGTAGGCGTAGCGCTCAGCGCCTTGCGAAGAGGGGCATGTGCCCTCTTGAGGGATGGAGCAAGAGAAGCCATTATAGAAATACAAAAAAGCAGCAACTTCTGCCTCTCCGAAAGAACAAGATAAGTGAGAAATAAGAAGGGCGTTGGGCGTTCGTGAAGATATGGGGAAGCAGACTTCAAAAATAGCGGCAGCTTCAAAGAACTCAAATTCCTAGACTCGGGGGCAAAGGCCGATGAGACCCGCACATCCCGGGCCGCATCCGAGTGATAGGCCAATGAAAGGCCATCCCATTATCCTTACCTACTACTACTTCAGCTCCATTTTCTTTTTCCCGTCACGGTCCACGGATATCGCGCGAGGTGAAGGAAGGGAATAATCATCGATTAGGAAGTTTGTAGCCTGTGGAATTATTCATTGACTTCCCGACAATCAAGGACCAAATTCTGGTATCAATTCTCATTTGTCTATAAGTTTCAACCAACTTATAGAGTAACGCTTGACGGACAGAGATACCTTAGTTAGAGAACCCTGGCTAAAATTGTTAGTCCTTTCGTGCTTGTTCAGATTAGTCACCGGACCTTGGTTTCCACGCCATTTCGAATTGGCGACACCTGGTCTCCCGTCTTCACTTTCACGTAAGGTCCAAGCATCGTTGAGCGTGACAAAGTCTATTGCTCTCATACTATCTACTAGCCATCTATCGTGGCTCATCATCGTTGGTCCGGTGTCGGACACTCAAAAATCACCAATCCTCCTTATTCATGTAAATCGTATCCCACCCCTTCCGAATTAAATCAAAGCCATGCTCCAAGCTGCAAACCATCCTCCGAGGATCAAGCAGAGCTAGATCCTGGGTCACCTACGCCGTCGTAAAAAGGGGGTATCGCCAAAAGAGAAGTATAGTAAAACCAGTTCATCCGAGAAGCAGAGTTACTGAAGTGAATATGGATTATTTTCCACGTCGCCGACGTCGTCCCCGTCCCTTTGGAAACGACTCTCTACAGGGCAGCAGAGTCGAGTGAAGAGATGTTGACTGAATAAATGTGGTAAAAAGGGTCTCCAGCCAGGAACATATACCAGTTGTCGTGGTGAAAAGGGGATATGATCTCAAAGCCATTGAGTGGTTGCCAAGCCTGGGAGTGATAGCCTCAAGTGAGGAAAGCTGGAATGGTGATATGTATGGTGAAGGTCAACAGGCTTGGGGACATCAACGGCTACCCTTCAACACAAGACACAACTCGAAAGGGTGAACCAAACGCAGCGCAGTCAACGCGCTAGGTACATGCTACCAGGGAAGAAAGAAACAGCAAGAGTTGAAAGCCCGCGTGTTTTGTCAATGGAGTGGGCGTGATGAAGCGTAAGGAAGCAGTCAAGCTATCCAGGAGGCAGAGTCTCAAAACTCATCAAGGTTGAAGCAGGCGACAAGTGTCGGCCTGTTGTTGGTATCGTGGCGTTTCATCATGAAGAATAGGCCGCGCTGGTGGCCAGGGTATAAAAGGTGAATGGACAAGAAATGGAAGACAGTGGTTGTTGTCGACATTGATGCAAGTCGACAGTCGTGAGATTCTCAAAGAACCTCATTCCATGCAGAACGCGCTTACAGAAGAGCAGCGGCAACCATACCAGCAACACCGACCACAGCGAACTTGCCGACGGCGACGGCAGATCCGGCGTTGCCAGGAACCTCAGAGGGCTCGGACGAACCACCCGTGGTACCAGCTGTGTTAGAGGCCTTGGGAGTAGAGACGGGAGTGGTGTTGTTCTGGGTAACAGGCCAGAAGGTGGTGGTCTCCTCAACGAGGGCTGTGGAAGTAACCTCGACGGAAGTCTCAACAGCAGTGGTGCTCACACCAGTGGCGGTGATTGTGTGTACCTGGGAGAGATAGTAGGTCTTGGTAACGACGGCGGTGGACGTGTGAGTGGTGGTACCCTCGTTAGCGAGAGCGAAGGCAGGCAGAACAGCCAGGATGAGCTTGGAGAAATGCATGTTGTTGGTTGTGTAAGTGCTTTCAAAGCGTCCGCGGTTGGTGTAAGTGAGTGAACGAGTTGGAAGTGAGAACAGATCGATGCTCTGTATCCAGACAGCGAGAGGCACAAGCTAATAAGTAAAGTAACTTATGTATGTAATCAGCGAAGAAATGTACGAGCGAGATAGACTCTGCCAACGAAGTCTGTGGACCGAGAACAAGTTTTGTTTCGAAGCGTAGAAGGGTGGCCTGTTACAAGTCGGGGGGGAGGGTCCCTGAAATACTACGAGGAACCTGAAAGCAGAAGCAAACAACACAGAGAAACAGCAACTCTCAGCTTCTGCAGCACGCACTAGCACGCACCCTGACTCTAGGCCAAGACCAAGGCAGAGCCAGAGCGCAGGCGACGTTTGGTGAGGGTGGGATGTGACTAGGCTGGAGCCCATTAAACTAGTACATGTAACACGGACAGACCCCTATTCGTCGGTCATGTCTCAAGTACTTGTGACCTGACCAGGCCTGTCATGCTCCTCGAGGGAGATTACAGCGCATTTTGCTCGACAGCTTCAGGTAGTCTGACCGAGCAGGCCTGTCATTATCTGGTTTGCTGAAACTTGGGCCTAGGCCATGTCTACTTATTAGACCCTTTATTCGAATCCCCGGCCATGGGCCATGGGCCATGACATTCATCCAGGCTCTCGGCTCTCTAACGCTTTGTGCGGCAGAATTTGATACTCTGGAGGCACAAAGAGGGTTTCGCCGGGGATCTGAGACCCTGGTCTCCCGTGTGATGGATGGATGGGAAGAAAACTCTGCATTCTGGGCATTAGTTAGGCATTGTTCCCGTTGGCCACCACCAGAGCCAGGCGACGAGGATTGTTGAGTGGCGATGAAATCATTGTGCAGCCCACTCAAATCGCGTCAATGACTGGGAGATGAGGGAATTAAAGAGAAAATGACGCTCTACCTTAAAAAGTCATTAATAATTTCTGGAGAAAAGGTGGCGCTCGTTGCCGCTACTCATGCTTGACGGGCCACGAGCGGTAGAGGAGACGGTAGTGAGAAAAGGCGTTTTTAGAGGTGAATAGAGTGTTAATTGGTTGTCTGCAACTCTCTGTCCAATCTTATCAGTCCAATCAATGACCCTCACTTCTCAAGTGTAGGTCATGCGTGACTCGCTGGTCGTTGTCTTACACTTTCACAACAGCGCAAAAAAGTAAAATTTGCATAATTTCCCACAATTGGCTGATTGGCCACCATGAAAGGTACCCGCGGTACCTGCATCGGCCTGTGCCTGGCGCCTACCTTAACTGGTCTTAACCGACACCCGCCGAGAGACATCACCAAGACACAAGTTATAGTAGCGCCAAGCTGCAAAAGAACATTGAAAGACCGTCGATCATTCTTCCGTTGAGCGCTACTACAATGAGAATTAGTTAGATGAGTCTAATTATCTATGTAATTGCGTTTCTCTAGAGACTCGAGTCGAACAGCTTTGTGTTAGTCACAGGCTCACAGCCCCCAACAACGTACACGCAATATGTACGCAAGGTAGCATCCATTAGCTGCATCTCTCCCAACAACAATGCCTTGTGAGGCTGTTTTGTTCTCCCTTCCCTATGAATGCTTTGTGCTCTTTTTATTTTTATGCTCCTCTACCTTTGGTCTCCGCTGAACTGAAACTCTGCCACAACGGTCGTTTAACACTTGGCTGGGCCTAGCTGGGCTACTGGGGTACGCCATTCTGCCAAATTCCCTGAAGCTGGAAAAATAAGGCCCGGTCATTTTGAAGAGATGTCAGCACTGATCGGCTATTACCCGCCCCGGATTCGCGTGGGTATCGTGGGTGCCATGTGCTACTGTACACACTCTATGGTGCATCACTGCATAACTCTGTACAGGTAGGCTCTTTGAAGTTTGAATGCCTTGATTCGCTTCTATTTCTGTCGTCGTCCTCACACCGCTGCGCTGTGTTGTTTACACTGCGTCCAATCGTCACTACTGTTGACGTGGCCACGCTGTGCGACGACCACGCAAAAAGTAGCGCACTTGTCTCGTCGTCAATGCGCACTAGGGAAAGAAAACCCAGGACCTTGACCCTAAGCGATGAAAATATTTAGGTAAAGCTAGCCTAAGCTTAGGGGACTTTTTGCTGAGTCTATTTTGACACCCTACCTTCACCCCTACCAAGGCCTGATGTTTTCTTGCTTCCAATGGGGCGTAGTCGTCGCTGCACCATGCGGGTCGCGTGCCTTGAAGCGGCAGCTTTCCGTTCCTCAATTTCACGGCTATGGCCCCTTGTAATGGTGATACTCAGCCCTGCAATGACGGACTTGGCTCTTAGAACTGCGTTGACGTCAAAGTTTCTCCGTAGCAACGGATATCGACTCTAACTTCGATGCCAGGCAAACAAGTTTGTTATGTCAAGTGTGCTACGCCCTACAGACGAAGAAACACAGCGGCTTTGCTCGCTCAATCGCTTGCATCAAGTGTGAGTTCCAATAAGTCCAGAGGCTTTGCCTGTGCGTATGTACATTCAGTCATCAATACGAGGTTACGCTGCATATAAACGTGTGCCATCACAATGATGATTTGTTGCCTTTGGCCTAAACTTTAACAGCAAGCCAATGCCTACCCTCATGGAAATCATAGTGTAAACCCCAAGCTGCACGCCAGCGCATTGAGATCAAGGTCCTGGAGGTAGTAGTTATGTCTGATCCTGTGATGACCAAACTGCGGCCGGTGATGGCAAACCACAAACAATACATCTGACGGTCAAATATCTAACATCGGTTGTCTCGAATAACCATACCATTTCACCATATTAGGTCATAAAAGAGTCGAATATCATAGTCCTTTACCTGCAAAATCTTTTCTAAGTACTTAGTATCGCAAATATGTGTAATAGTACCATGTGCCCTTTACCTACCCTGGACCAAATTGTTGTATATATCTGTATCAAGGAAACCACAGGTACCGAGACTTATTCTAATATTGGGTCCGGCGATATCAGACTGGCAAGAATTTGGTAATGACAGTGAGGTGATGTATTGCTGGATGATATGCTTTTTAAACAAGGCGGTTGTTTAAGTCTTGCTTTCATAGTTCAGGCGACCAGCAAATCAAACTGAATCGTTGAGAACAACTCTAGGCAGCGTATATTTGCCTGCATATACAAACTTACCCATCATCTGTGCCAGTACTGTGATTATTTAAGTTAGGCAACCGACCTGAAGATTTTCAGAGATACCAATATAAAACTGGTGACCTCCAGTTACTGTAATAGGGAGAACTCCAGATATTTTATAGAGTTGCTAAAAAGTGGAGCTCCCGTCTCTAGGTCTCGAAAAGCGAGGTCGTGACGTCGCAATCAACTGCAGCCTCTTCAACACTTTCCTACCTACATCTCAAAATCATCCAGCCTCAGTGCTTCCATTCCCGTCTTTGTACCCAGGAGTAATATAGAGGATTGAAGAGCGCACACCCAACTTTTCAAACAGCACTGCCTCTGCAAGAATTAAAGCTGTCGCAATATCGCAGCAGGCTCGCAACTATGACAGACTCACCACCAACGGAGCCCCGAGCTCGCTCAAGATCACCTGCTCCCAAGGACAAGGACGATCGCAAAGGTCGCGATGATACATATAGAGGGAATGACGAACGTCACCAGCGCAGAGACCGCAGTAGGTCGCGCGATCGCAACAACAACCGCCACCGCAGAGATTCGCCCCCACGCAGACCCCGAGATCGATCGCGGTCACCAGCGCGAAGACCCAGAGGATCAGGCGGCTTCAAGTGGAAGGGAGAGCGCCGAGACAACGACAGAAACCGTGACTTCCGCAGGCGGTCACCGCAGCGACATCGGGATCGCGACTATGGCAGGGACCGGAACTACCGTCGAGATGACCGTGATGGAGGACGGGACAGACAGCGAGATGGCGATAGGGATCAGAGAAGGGAGAGGAAGGAAAAGAAGGAAGAGAAGCCCAAAGCTCCTGTGGCTCAGGCAGGCGAGGAGATGATCATCGTCAACGTCAACGATCGACTTGGTACGAAAGCTGCTGTACCCTGCTTGGAGTCTGATACCGTGGGTCAGCTGAAGATGATGGTCGCCGCCCGAATCGGTCGTGACCCTGGCCAGATCATCTTGAAGCGACAGAGTGAGAGGCCATTCAAAGACCACATCACCCTGGGTGATTATGGCATCTCGAATGGTGTGCAACTGGATCTGGAGATTGATACCCGGGACTAAAATGGCATGAAGCACTGTTCAATATGGACTCTTGGAGCAAAGTTTTCCACTTTTTACTTTTTATCTGGCGTTATCTGGATTGCATGGCTAAAACAATACACAATCGAACAGAAACAATTTAGTCTGGGAATACTGGCGTGAGCCATGCCATATAAAAGAAATCTCATCAAGAGGTCGTGTCCAAACTCATCAAAATCGTTAAGAAAAAGCGCCTCGTAACCCGCAACACGCCTGTACCGTGACATAGATCTTGAACCAAGATATAAAAGTAGGTCTATCGACCGGAACAATAGAAGAACCAAAAGAACTGCGATGCCCTCAAAGTATATGATATATATGCTTCAACATCTTTTTTTCCCGCACAACCAAGAAAATAGCCAAGGAAATATCCAACAAAGACAGAAACGTAAGAGACGAGGGTTGCTGGAAGATAAACGAATAATGGTCATAAGGATTACTTCGAGCTTTTCTTTATTTGAACATGGTGTTGGGGTCACCATCGAATATCCCTGATTGAGTGCGGTAGCCTGAATCCTGCTCTAGAGCACTGCGGAGCAAGGACGATATTTGACCGTCGGGCTTCAGATCCTGAAGCCCTTCTTCTGGTTGATGAAATTGAGGCTCGGCCATCTCGACAGTGACTCGAAGCTCGGGGTTAGACCCCATGTGGTCAAAGTTCATATCATTCAAATCATCATACTGCTGATCCAGCCACAGTTTCTCCTCGACCTTGGGTGACCGTTGCATGAGCCCCATGGATTCGCCAGCGGTAGATGGAACCCTTGAAGGAGTGGACTGAACCTGGGACACTATATCAGACAGTGATACTATCGCATCTCTATCATTATATGGCAGTGTCATGTCCTGCAAGAAACTCGGGTCTGCAGTTGCAGCGTCGAAACACGCCTCCAGGAGCATTTTATTTTCATCATTATAGATGGGCGAATGCATACTTGCTGGCCCTTGCATGCGTGATCCTTGACGATCGCTTGTGGCCGTTTTATGCATCAAGAATGTATCAAAAGACTGTTGTGACATGTTATTTTGTGTAGATGCAGGTTGAAGCCGGGTGAAATCGCCATTTTGAGAGGGGTCCTGCGAGAATGCCTGCGAAGGAGTCTGTTGGAATGATGGCTGCCAACTCGAGTAGGGGTAAGAAGGGGGAAGCATGCTCTGTGCCTGCGTCTGAGTCTGAGGTTGTGGATGCGCTTGTTGTGACCGAAAACTGTAACCGGGAGATCCACCTTGCAGACTTCCAAAGGAAGTTGCTTGGCTCACTGGCGAGTAGGGAGATTGAGTGACCTCCTGAATCCCGTTTCTTCGTATATTATTCATCATACCTGCGACAAGCTCTGGTGAGGTGTTATATATCATCACGGCAATTGGCGGTTGGGAAGGTTGCTGGGCACTTGGTTGCTGCCATGATGAGGGATGTGGTGGGTTTCTCGTAGCTTGTTGAGGAAACTGGTTGGGCCTTTCTGCCCGTGGCCGGTCCTGGGTTGCTGGAGAGACTGTGGATGTTGAAGGTGCCTTTGCCTTGCCCTGTCCATGGGATACCTTTGAGGCAGCAGGGCGAAGATCGCGAGTGGGCTGTTCCGTGGCAGGTCGGCGATGTGTCTGGTTGTTGCTGTTTTGCTGTCTCTGGTTGTTGCGATTGTACTTGTTTGCTAGGCTTCGATAGTTGGACTTGCGTGGTGGCAAGTTTTTAGGAGGTCCGCTGGGCTTTACGGTAACCGAACAGAAGGTGGTGTATAGAATATAGACCTTCTTCTCCTTTGGCTGCTCCGCATTGTAATCACATAATGGTTCAGCCATATGATCTTGCATGCCCTTCTTATCAAATGTGCGCCAGCATCGCAAGCAGAGGGCCTTGCCGTGATGCTCTTGATCTGAGAAGTCTTGTCCCTGCCACTCGTGTAATGAGTCGCATTTGCCACAGTTTCCTTTCGCTTTGATAAAAGGGTCGAAAGTTTGACAACTTGTCAGGTATTTACGAGCAGTATAGTATGGATCTTTTCCACGAATAAGACCATGATGATCGGCGGCGTGGGTGACAATGTGTGATATTTCATCCTTGCGGCCTGAGCATGCATGCCTTTCAGGAGAAGACAAGCGCTTTGGCTCGAATAGCCAGAAGAAACATGTCTCGCAAGCGCCTATGAAATCCTCAGGCGTGACCAAATTGTTTGGGCGCCCACGTACAGGACCGTCTTTCCGAACATTGGATGAATTTGAACCACTGGAAGCTGACAATGGTTGCAGATTTCGATTCTGCCGTTGAGACTCTTGTGTATCCTCGATGGTTTGCAGTGACACACTTGTGCCTTGCTGGGGAAGTCTGGAAGAACCAGATGACGCTGCAGATGTACGGTGTACCGATTGGCTCTTTTGTCCTGACCTGTACCGCTTTGCGTGTTGATATTTGCCAGTCGCTTCATCGTCAGTTGAGCGACTGTTTTGGCGCTTAGGTACTTTCTTCGAACCTGAAGATGTGTCTGTACCGGTTACCGACCAAGCTGTCTGTTGGGATTCCGGACCGGGGGGTTGCTTGTAAGTACCACGCGTATGCGGTCCAGATGGAGTAGTGAAAACTGAAGAACCTTGAGGTGTTGCTAAACCTGGAGGTCTTCCTTCGTCATGATTACCATTGTCGGTATATCTTATTTGTCTGTCGGAAGGGGTACCAAATGGCAGAAAAGATTGTGATGAAGGCCTAGGTCCCTGCATCAAACGTTCATCAATGGATGTAACATTGTTCGATGGGATGAAGAACCGATTGTGCGGACCCGTCGTACTTGGTGTACCAATTGCCTGAGTTGATGGCCTGCGGCCTCTTTGGAGCACATCATCGACACGGCCAATAACTCTGTAGTTATCAAGTTGGCGTTGAGGTAGAGATCGGGAAGTGATAAAGGTGTTCTGTGATGGCTGAGAGTTTGGTTGATGATGGAGCCAATTCGCTACTTGGAGACTGTTTCCGCGGCGTTGCTGTTCCTCTAGCTGTTGCAGCTCCCAGTCGGTAGGGTCATTCAATCGTGGGAGGTTGCCAAGGTCGATGTTTTCGTTACTCTCGACGATCTGGTCACTATTCGCGCGACCCAAGCCCTGGTTTGATAAACCGTCCATGGTGAATCCTTGATGCAAACTTCCCAATGGCGTTGCAATGCGACGGGAGGCGGGCTAGTACACCCCGCTCTCAGCCAAACGAGGATGACAGCTGTAGTTATTGATGAGGTTGAGATGGCAGATTGGTGGCAAAGGTTTGGAAGTGATGAAGCAAACGGGGAAGGGATTGAAAGATGGGAGGTGAGGCATGGTGGAATAGATTAAAGAGGCCCGACAATGGGAGTCCACAATGGGTAGGTAGGACAATGTGAAGGTATCTCGTACCGAATAAGGCTGCGAGATGGACAAGTTGATTGGTGGTCGAGGTTGAAAAAGGCATCCTTTCGAGTTAGCCCAACCCATTTTCAACCCCCCAGCGAAACTGCGCCCGACGATTTGGCGGAGGGAATGTCATGGTGAGTGAGCTTGGGTTGAGACGTTGATGTTGATGTGTTGTTGGAGGTTGAAAGATAGTTGAGATGATTTTGAGCCAACGGCGTGGATAATTGAGGGATGAAAACGGGGGAGTCTCAACGGCAAAAGACGATGTCGGTGTTATCGGCAGCCAGTGGTTCGCCCACTTATGTCGTTGCCGTCCATACAGAAAAGAGGGGTAATAGGCAGAAAGAAAAACTACACAAATGTGTGCAAGATTGGTAGCATTGGGTAACTAGATGACCGAGAATGTCTTGAGACCTTGCTTGTTTGCTTGTTTGTTTGAATGAGCAACGTTACCTCATGTCATACCAAGGTACTAAGCTACCTAATGTTCAACGCTCGATGCCAGCCTCAGCCACAAGACCAATTGAGAGGTCAAGAAAAAGATTGCCCAACATTTGAGTCCAGCCTATCATTGAACTATTTGGTATAGCAGCCGCTTGTTTGATTGGCCTTGGTAAAACAAGAGTATCGAATTGGAGCCCATTCATGCCTCGAAGCTTCAGAAGTCACTTACACAGCCCTCGATCTTTAATACGCCTGGTGGGGAAGAATGGAGTCGGTTTGGCCCCCTTTTCCGCGGGGTAGGAGGATCGCACTAATTGATATATCAAACCCGGGGAATTACTAGCAAATTTCCAATAAATATATAGGAACTAAAAGAAACGCCGAATTCGACTCCTAAACCGATCCCGCAGACTCTCATTGCGATGTCTAGGGTATTCTTAGAACCATGAATGGATGTCAGAAGACATATCCACCGTCTGGCTGCTATATGCTGGGCAATTGATTATTTGGTTGATCAAAAGGGTTCGCTAAGCTTACCTGAGCCTTCAAAAACCTTGATTTTCGAGGTCTTCTGCTCTATCTCATGTCCTGGGCGTTCCGACAAATCGCGATGATGCTGCTGATGGATTTTTCCCTTTGATCTCCCACGAATGTGGCAGCCAAGACTTGCATTTTACCCAAACTCGTAAAACTTGAGGCGAACAAGTCTGTGCTGCTGTCAGTCACCGGATCACGCATAGAAGACAAAGACCACGAGGAAGAATGATCCTGGGGCTACGACAGAGCCGCATCCAGCCCTGGATCTAAACCATTGGTTATCGCCAATCGATGCATGTAAACAGACATGACGCCGTGACAAGAAGCCTGTAGCCAACATACGCGTAAACCGAGATCGCGCCTGATTTGATAGTTGCCCAAGATATTACCCTCACCATATATTTCCATAATAGGATATCTAGGGGAGAAAAGAAACTTCAGGATCTCAAATCCTACATGACAAAAAGACTTAGGTAACTTAGCAGAAGTTTAGGATATCTTTTACTGAGTTTATTTTGACACCGAGGTCTCATGTTTTCTTGCTCCCTGAGGGATATCGGTCAAATATTCCCCTTGCTCCGTAAACCGTTACTGGGCGCGTGCCAAGAGATGCCATCATAGCCCATCACCTTTGAACAGGGCTGAAGTGTTGCCCATTCCGGCAAGTCTCGGCGCCGGCCACGAGCCTCAACTCCGAGGATCCGGGGCATGAATTCGAGGCCAGGGTTGCAATAGCCAACTTGTCTTTGTTAGGAAATATGCGGCGAGCTTGTCGATCGTTGCAGCGACGGCGAAGCCAACCTTGTATAGTAAAGCGGATCGACAACTTCTCCAGACTTATTCCGTGGTGTACGATTCGCTAGTGTTCTCGAAAATCAATGTCAATGCCGCCAATTTCCATAGAAGGAGATATATAGTTACTGAACGTCATTGCCTCATATGAATCCCTGGTTGCTACAATTACAGGATGTATATCTCATATGAATTCGGAGAGGTATCCGACTGTTGTTCGCACAACTCGCCGTGACACAAACGCATGCCGAATCGTTTCAACCGACAATCAGTAGACAATTGATATCAGTCGGAAATGTATTGTAGAAGACATTTAAAGGTTATATGCCACTAGTCTCTTTTCTGAGACTAGAACAGCCACCAAGCTCAGTACGAGGTCGTCTTAGACTTGGAACGTCCCGCGTGGAAGTTGTTTTGATCAAGGCTAGAACTTGGCTTTTCGATATTAGAAGGAAACTGTAGACTGTGCAATAGGCCATTGAAATACAGACCGGAGCATGAGTCGTGTTGCAATATCGCCGAGTAGGTAAATGTCGATCATTCTCTGTCGAGGTCTAGCGTCCTGGGGAAGAAACAAGATTCGGAGAAAAATACCACGAGTTCTAGACCTTGAGCTCCAACTCCAAAGACGCATCTAGAGCCTTAGAATTCATGTTCAACTGCGAAGAATTCAAGTTCTCAGAATCTTCAATGCTGAACACAGCATTGAGACGATGCGAATATCTACCCAAGCTTGAGGTGAAAGGCTCCGGTGACCTCTCATCACTATCAAGTCTGTAGAATATGACCGACGAATCCTTGCATCCTCTCTGCTATTCCCCAGACCATACCCCAGATGATGAACTTTATTCCCCGCACACTATCTAGCCACACCCCATGTATGGATGCGCACTCCTGCATGACAACGTCCCGTCATCACTCGCGTTCTCCAGATTTTGACTGCCCGGGTGGCGCCGTTGGGAACAGTTAATCGTCATTGCACTATCTGTGTTTGGCTTAAGGGCGTGGAGCAGAGAATGCCTACTTGAATTAGGATTCGGAGCCAAGAGAATTTGAACAGACACTCCAGCCGTTGAGCAGATTCGGAGGTTTATCTAGAAAACTGCAGTCTTCTTGTCAGTATATAAAGCCTGTAATAACCCGAACGAGTCGTGCTTCTCCGTTTCAAATAGTTCCATCAACACTAGTAACCCAACATCCAGCGCTCCACATAACCCCTTATTCTCCCATTGGCAGTCATGTCTTCCAAGGATGACAAAATTCTCCATGATGAGGATGATGGAACTATAGAAGACATAAACACCGTGCCTACAGCAGACCTCCCGACAAGACTCGCAGATAGCGTTGCCTATGGTCCAGGAGGTATCCGAGGCGTTATACAGTCCCCCTTTGTCTTTGGAGCTGCATTTCTCGCCTCACTAGGCGGCTTTTCCTTTGGATATGACCAAGGCGTCATTTCCATTATCAACGTCATGCCTCAGTTCCATGATGTCTTTCCTAGAGCAGCTTCTGGCTTTGGGAAGGGCTTCATGACTGGTATGCTGGAATTTGGAGCGTTCCTGGGCTGTTTCTTCATGCCCTGGATGGCCGATAAGATCTCCCGAAAGAAGGCCCTAGCTGTTGTTGTTGTGATCTTCAATATTGGTGCCATACTTCAGACTGCTGCCGTTAGCTACGAAATGCTCGTTCTTGGTCGCACAGTTGGCGGAATAGGTGTCGGTACTCTTGCATTGGTAAGTCTCAAAACCCATATAACTTGAAGCACTTGTCTGAGACCTTTCTAGGGCGCTCCTCTTTACATCTCCGAGATCTCACCCCCGAATCTACGAGGAACTCTTCTGGTTCTCGAATCTATATCTATCTGTGCCGGCGTAGTTGTTTCATTTTATATCACTTATGGAACTCGCCACTTGGAGGGAGATACCGCCTTCCGCCTTCCTCTTGGTCTCCAAATGGTCTCTGCAACAATCGTTGGAGTTGGGATCCTCTTCTTCCCTTACTCACCCAGATGGCTTGCCCTTGTTGGACGCACAGAAGATGCTGTTAGCAGTCTATCTCGAATGCGCCGTCTTCCTCCTGACGACTCCAGAGTCCTTACGGAGTATCAAGGCATTATCGCCGAGGCGCAATTCCAGAAAACCGTACTTGAGCGCCGCCAACCTGGTAAACAGGGCTTCAAGCTTGAAGTCTTGACATGGCTTGACTTGTTTAGCCCCAAGACATGGCGAAGAACCGCCGTGGGTTGTGGAATTCTCTTCTTTCAGCAATTCAGGTTAGTCAGTCATATACCATAAAATACCTTGCTATAGCAAGGTGTTCCCCGAGTTTTGGCTTGGTCTAACAATTTAGCGGAATCAACGCATTCATTTACTACGCCCCGACTCTTTTCCAGTCACTTGGCCAGTCTGAGGAGATGTCTCTGACCATGTCTGGCATCTTTAATGTTCTTCAGCTAGTCGCCGTTGGCGTCTGTTTCTTCATCATAGATCGAGTTGGCCGCCGCCCTCTAGCCATCTTTGGTGGTGTTGGAGGTGCTGTTTCGTGGGGAATCATGGCTATCCTGGTTGGCACCTTCTCCCACGACTGGAAGGCCAATGCAGCAGCTGGTTGGGGATGTGTTGCTATGGCTTTCATATTCATTCTATGTTATGGAGTTTCGTATTCGCCTCTGGGTTGGGCCCTGCCATCAGAAGTCTTTCCCAGTGCAACTCGATCTAAGGGCGTAGCGCTTTCAACTGTAACTTGCTGGGTTTGTAACTTTATTGTCGGTGAGTCTTATAGAGTCCTTTCTTCCAAGAGGTGTCACTAATACACATGTGTAGGTGTCATTACTCCTCCTATGTTGGAGTCCATTGGATTTGGCACGTATGTCTTTTACGGATCCTGGTGTGCCATCGCTGCGGCCTGGGCATACTTTCTTGTTCCTGAGACCAAGGGGAGATCTCTAGAGGAGATGGACAAAGTATTTGGAGACAACAGTGGTCAAGAGGAGAAGGAGATTTTGAAAGCAACTGCTGCTCAGGCCAGGAGCGCAGGCAACCCTATTCATCATGTGTAGTTCGTTTGCTGCCCTCAGCTGGTATAGTGAATCTAGATTTTGGTCAAGATATGATCCTCACTAACGAAACCGGAAAACCTATGCTTTCTTATCAATTTTCTATAGTTAAACTAAATATTCTACCTTCCTTACCTCATATCCCGTTCTCCATGGCCATAAACATCCCAGTAACCCGAACACCAAAAAGCAAGTTTATTTTTAATTTAAGCAACCCATTTACGGGCGTTCAAGAAGAGCTGGAACCAAGGACCATATTGTCCCCACTCAGCCAGCTGGCGCTCGGGCTTCCATGAGCCAACGTCGGCCATAATGGTACGCTCGGGGTGAGGCATCATGGCAACGACACGGCCGTCCCTGCTCTGCACACCTGCGATACCCTGAGGGCTGCCGTTGGGGTTGAAGGGATATCTCTCTGTAACGGAGCCGTAGTTATCGACATAGCGGAAGGGAATAAGACCTGAGTCGTTCACGGACTGCAAGTCGTTGGCAGAGGAGAAAGCTGCTCGGCCCTCACCATGAGAAACGACGATGGGGAAAGAGGATCCGCTCATGCCACTGAAGAAGACCGAGTTCTCGGACTTGTCTTCGATGGTCACCATCGAGTATCGGCCCTCGAACTGGGTGCTGGCGTTTTCAACTGGAAATGGTTAGCTTCCGCGGCCGTGAATATAAGCAAAATGACGTACCGAATGTTGGCCAGTGCTCGGCTCCGGGGATCAACTCCTTAACTGAAGATTGTTAGCATGATTCAAGAACTAACGAATGAGATATGAACTCACGTCGAGTCAGCATCTGACAACCGTTGCAGACACCTAGTGAGAAGGTATCAGGACGCTGGAAGAAAGCCTCAAACGTCTTGCGAGCACCGTCATGCATCAGGATAGACTGAGCCCAGCCGTTACCAGCACCGAGAACGTCACTATCGAATGTTAGTATCGCTCCAAGGACAAGCAAATTCCGGCACAACGCCGATAATGGATATACTTACCCATACGAGAAACCACCACAGGCAGCAAGGCCTCGGAATCCGTCTAGAGAGAAGCCGTCAAGGATATCAGACATGTGAACATCAACAGCGTCAAAGCCAGCAGCTCGGAAGGCAAAGGCCATTTCGGCGTGACCGTTAACACCTTGCTCTCGAAGAATGGCAACTGCGTGATGTTAGTCTATACTCAATTCGTTCAGGACTTTGTGATCTTACCTCTGGGCTTGTATACCAGGCTCTTGATACTTGTGAGAGCTGGAAGACTGACATCAGCGGGATCAAACTTGAGCTTGTAGTGTAGACCAGGATCCCTGTTATCCTGAATAGCCTCGAACTCTGACTGAGCGCACTCGGGGTTGTCTCGGAGCTTCTGCATCTCGTAAGAAGTGCTGGTCCACCACTGTTGGATCTTGGCACGCTCCAGGTCGACGATGGTCTTTGATCTGTACTTGACAAGGAGAGACTGCTTGCTAGTAGGGCGAACATAGCCGATAGTCTTGATAAGACCATGGGGAGGACCACATGTTGCGAAGCACCTCTTGAACTTGATCTCGTCACCTCGGCGGATCTGGAAGACAGCTCCCAACTCTTCGTTGAAGAGGGCATCGAGCACCTTGTCCTCAGACTCAGCAAGGTTGTCGAGAGAAATATCAGCGCCACAACGGCCAGCAAACATCATCTCGGCAACAGTTGTGAGCAGACCACCATCAGAACGATCGTGGTATGCAAGGACAATGTCTTCCTGATGAAGCTGCCATAAAGCATCAAAGAAGTCGCGGATGATCTGAACATCGCGAACATCGGGAGATTCGTTACCAATCTGACCGAGTGTCTGAGCAAGAGCGGAGCCACCCATGGCACGGAAGCCCTGAGCAAGGTCAACGAAGACCAGGACAGACTCTCCAACCTCCTCAACACGGCGAAGCTGGGGCGTCCATGTGCTGCGGACATCTTCGACCAAGCTGAAGGCTGAGATAACCAGTGAGACAGGAGCAGTGACAGTCTGGGACTCAGAGGTGTTCTTGTCCTTCCAGGAGGCCTTCATAGACAGAGAGTCCTTTCCGACAGGAATTGAAACACCAAGTTGAGGGCAGAGCTCCATGCCGATAGCCTGGACAGCATCGTAAAGAGCAGCACCTTCGCCAGGGTGACCAACAGCGGCCATCCAGTTGGCCGAGAGCTTAACGCGCTTGAGATCACCGTTGACGGGACCAGGCTTGATGTCAGCAGCACCAAGGTTCATCAAACTCTCAACAACAGCCATACGGGCAGATGCGGCTGCCGAGATGAGAGCGAGGTTAGGCTTCTCGCCCATGGCCATGGCCTCACCACGTCGCTTCTTGTCATCAAGACTGAAGCTAGTAAGGGTGACGGCGACGTCGGCAACCGGAGTCTGCCAAGGACCAACAAGCTGGTCTCGAACAGATAGACCGCCAACAGTACGGTCACCGATAGTGATAAGGAAATTCTTTGACCCAACAGAGGGAAGGTTGAAAACCAGCTCTGTAGCTTTAGTGACCAAATCGCCAATGTCAGAGCTGCCGCAGTGCTCGGTGAGACTCTTGACAGCGTCAAAGGGACGAAGGTTCTTCTCAACACGTTGAACGTCCTTGGAGATTCGCCGTCCAGGAGGGAAGAGAACATCCATGGGAAGGTTAATGGGATCAACAGGAGGCTGAATAGTAGGCTCACGATCAGTGAGAACAAGCTTTGAAACACCACTCTCATCCTTGGTAACGGCAGTTCCCACAACGGAGAAGCCACATCGCTCTCGTCGGCAGATGCTAGTGAAGCGGTTGAGACCATCCTTGTTGACGAGAAGAACATATCGTTCCTGAGCCTCGTTACACCAGATCTGAAGAGGAGACATAGAGTTATCGGCGCTCTCAATCTGTCGAAGTTCGAACTTGCCTCCAAACCCAGCGTCCTTCACAAGCTCAGGAAGAGCGTTTGAGAGACCGCCAGCACCAACATCGTGGATAAACGCAATTGGACTTTCTGGCCCAAGGGCAACGCAAGTGTTGATGACCATCTGGGCTCGTCGCTCCATTTCGGGGTTTCCACGTTGAACACTGTCGAAGTCAAGATCCGCTGTGGCATCGCTGCCAGTGTTGGACGAGGCAGCACCACCACCAAGACCAATCAGCATAGCAGGGCCACCCAGGACAATAACATGGGCCCCCTCTTCAACATGGCTCTCCTCCTTGAGAGCATGTTGGGGTCGAACGCTACCGATACCACCAGCAATCATGATTGGCTTGTGGTATCCTCTGTACTCTGGAGCATCGGATCCGGCCTCGTTGGTGAGAAGAGTACGGAAAGTACCGGTCAGGGCCGGACGACCAAACTCGTTGTTGAAGCGAGCAGAGCCAATTGGGGCCTCCAGCATGATGTCAAGACTGGAGGCGTAGTGAGAGGGACGTCCAATATCAAGCTCCCATGGCCTCTTGTTGCCAGGAATCAAGAGATCAGAAACCCAGAAACCGGCAAGACCAGCTTTGGGAGAAGAGCCACGTCCAACAGCGCCCTCATCTCGAATCTCACCACCACTTCCAGTTGCGGCACCGGGAAAGGGGGAGATGGCAGTGGGATGGTTATGCGTCTCAACCTTGATGAGAGGCTGGACAACCTCGCGGGTGAGCTTCCAGCTTCCGGTGGAATAGTCTGGAGCCCAGTAGTTACCCTCGTCACCGGAAAGGCTACGAGTGAACGTTAGCAAACAAGCTCGAATACTTGATCTCCAACCGCAATTATATTTGTGTAACCGAGACTTACACGGCCGCGTTGTCAGAATAGGCGCTGATGACATATTCAGGGTTTAATTTATGGGTGTTCTTAATCATGCCGAATAAGCTGTTCTCCTGGCTGACACCGTCAATTGTCCATGAAGCATTAAAGACATGATGCCGGCAGTGCTCAGAGTTGACCTGAGCAAACATGAACAGCTCAACGTCGTTCTACTGAAATCAGTAATTGATTTTCAACGTCGGACTCATGAGTCATACAGGAGATCGACCAAGAGCAGTGTACTGTTTAACCAAGTACTCCATGTTAGGTTGGTCGAGACCAAGCCCAGCCTGTTTGTTATGGTCCTGGAGAGCGGCCAAGGGACCGCGCTCATCGGAAAAGATGTCGACGACGACGAGAGGGTTTCGAGCACCATGAGCGAACATGGTATTGAGGGCCGGTGGAGAAAGACTGAAGAATTCTGTCATGCGATCATGCAGGATGTCCCGGAAACCCAAATCCTCCTCTCCCTTGAAACCATCCTCGAGTTCGATATGGATGACTCGACCTCGTTCGATGCGGTTGACGGTCTTGAGATCGCAGACGAGGGCGATGCTTGTAGCTTTGGAGCTCCATGGGGAAACGTTCCGGGGGCTGACGTAGATATCGATGGCATTCTTATTGTCACTGGTTGAAGGAGCATCTGCAGGCTGCTCAATGGCCTCGAGGATCTTCTGAATGCTGCCGAGAACGGCGGCATCCTCAGTCTCGAGGTCGAGGTAGTATTGCCAGGAGCCCGTGAGCTTAGCAACCTTGACGGGACTCTGATCATTGATGCGCTGCACGAGCTTCTGGACTTCAGACGCCGTGTAGCACGACTCGCCGATCAGGACGTGGTGCATGATGAATGGATTTGCGAGTTCAAAGCAAGATACGCCTTGACGCTTGTACGCCAACGTCCTGTAGCAGGAAGAAAAAAATAATTGCCAGTTCCGATCAAGGCGCCCCGCCGGGTAGAGGAACAAAGTTTCGCCGCGATTTGCCTTGTTGCCCGCGGTCCAACTCTATCTGCCCGTGGCCACCGGAATCTACTCGCGGAAGTTTTTTTTCTAATTCTAGGTGTAAAATATTCCTTGGGGTGTCTGATATCCTAAGTATTTGCTCACTGATACTATGTTTCTTTTCAATCCGGTATAATCGCATCGCGACATGGCTGAAGATCGGCACGTTCCCTTAGCGCGGGGCAATCAATTGTCTGCGGGGTCCTGAAGCTCTCTGAGTCGAAAGTATCAAGCCAGCGTAAGATGAAATTATTCACGTACATTACTTCTACCTTGTAAAGATAATATACTAAGGTACTGAACTTGGTCAATTCAACTGAGTAATAATGTATACACTACCCTAGATAATAAACCTTATATATCGTCAAGCTATTCTGGCCAATATGACTGTTTTTGGACGGTCCGGATATAGTGATCTATGGATATGGAACCGGTAGCTTGCGAACACCAAAACAATCGATTGACTTTGATATCTATCTAGCGTAAAGTGATCTTCTGTTGTATGCTTCTAGGTCATAACTGAAGGGAAATGAAAACAATTGACTCGGTATCCTTAAGCTAAAGGTAAAGTGTTATTGCTAAGGTTTTAACTCAAAGAGAGATGTCATACTTAAGTATACCTAATTTAGCAAGAGACCTGGATTCTTATTCTTACCTGGTATCTTCTTGAAATTTGTTTTGAAATTTGAGTCGGCTTAATTACCACAAAATTGCGATAATCTGTTGTGGCTGGGCAACGTTTTCATCAATAAAGGTCTAGACGCAGCAGGAACAATGAGGACAATTTCAACTGTATTCGGTTGCCGGAGAAAAACTGTCTTATTGTATCAGGGTAAGACATCCATGTGCAATGCCAGCAGACACGTCTGAGACATGGAAATTATCAAATTTAGGCAATCCCGAGAACAAACTGTCATGTTTATTTCGTATTCTCAAGAGATCGCTTTGGCTTGGGAATGAGTTGGGTTGAATAGTGTCACGACTCAGCAAAACAAGGTCGCCATCGGTCGGCGTTTGCCGTGACGCCAGCGACATCTGTCGAGAGTCGGAAGAAAAAGTATAAGCAAAAGGCGCAGTGGCAGAGTGGTCTAATGCGATAGACTAGAAATCTATTCTCTTCGGAGGCGTCTGTTCGAATCAGGCCTGCGTCGCTTCAATACCTTTTTGACAGTTTATATAAGTTCCCACCCTTTAGAACATTCATTGTTCATAGTGGCATGTTTTCCCTGTATGCTAAAAACGTGCTACATTGATTTATTAATTATAGGGTAGCTATAAAACTAACCGAGCTTTTACTATAATTCTCACGCTAGATAAATCGTGATTTATTTTAAGGATTTCAGTTTATAAAAGTTAATAAATAGATATAATTAAGTAAATTACTTATAACAATAATACTCTTTAGAAGTTAGACATTTTTATAACTTTAATTATAATATTAACTCTGGGTCTATAAGGCTTTAAACCCTCAGGGTATGCTCTTGTTATTATTTACTACATTTTACTACTATATACTCTACTTTTTATTGATTTTATTCCTTTATATAACAGTAACTACAGCACAGCGAGAGCCATGAATCGATTATTGGGAACAAAGCTGTCCCAGGAATGACAAAGAAAAGATGCAGGACTAATTAAATTGAGTTGAACTATTGAACGGCTACAAGGAGGGTGAACTTACACTCTCTGTCAAGTTTCTATCAAATATAGACTACCCAGCTGACAGCTTCAAGCTTCTAACTCTTAGGTTTTTATAATTATCAATAGCTTACACCAACTAACAATCTTGGCAGGGCCGAGACTCATGAAGCTCCCATGAGCCTGGCGCTCGGCTTAGAGGCTAACAGAAGAACACAATTAAACAATGAATTGACACTGAGTAAGAAGAGAGTTTGCACGAAGGCCAATAGTGCATTGCAAATTAATGGCTTGATTTGTAATAAGTCAATTGCCACATGGGAAGAATCTAATTGTTAACGGGAAAGGCTTCGCCTCTCTGACCGATGCAATGGATTCGGGTAAAAGAAAGTTGGATCCCCCCGAGACACGAGCAAGATCCTGATGCTCATTATGGGCATTGTGATGACTGAGACAGATTCCGGTGTCTCGCCCAGCAACACGAGCAAACGATGGCTAAAACGGAAATGTCTCTCAAAACCATACCTGACGATCACGTTCCTTTGACCAACATGAATCCATTGACAGCGATGAGATCGGCGTTATTCGACGTCATCCATTGACGATGTGTTCAGAGAATGAAGCCATCTTATGATCGAGGGTCATCGATCTTTGAAATTCGTGCAGACTATCATATCATCTATGTCAACAGTTTGTTGGTAAGGAATCTTTTCATCAGCCTCCTTGGTAAGTGTCTAGATACAGTTTCTATAATCCGACCTGGATTGATTCTTGACCAATCGGTTTCTTCTGTCATATCAACAGACTCTCTAAGTGACGCCTTATATCAAGTGAAAGTGAGATATCAACAGAGTGAAAGCCGCAACTGGTTAGGTTGACTAGGCTTGGCATCCAGGCCCGAAGCAAACCTTACTTTTAGATAACTCTAAAAAAAAACAGATTGAGGGGAGACGCTTACAGTCCAAATCACGAATATGATGTTGGTTCTCTCTTCAAGCCCCCCTGTCGACATGATGTGGCGTGTGTGGCGCCTGGGGCTTGCACGCTTTCACCCAAGACAAACGCAAAAAGATGGACTCACCCCTGGCCCACACGATCTACGCCTAAGATCTCTATCCCGATCGGTGCGGCACGTTCCAGTCCATAGCCCCAATAGTTCAGATCTAAGCTGTCTACGTGAGACATGACCCAATCACGGTCCAGCGCATGCAGGTCCATTCAGGGCGAGATTCTTCGGACCTGACAACCCGCCCAACGAGGCTGGCAACGATCGCCACAAAGGCCCTCCAGGAAAAGATGAGCTCCTAGCTCAATGACGACATTCCTGGCTCTTCCAGAACGTCCCGGGAACATGGATTGGGAATGCGGACCTGTGGGCGAGAACAGCCTACCGTAGAGACCGGCTCTGTGAACCATGGCGACGAAAACAGACAGGCCGTGAGAGCCACGCGATGCAGTGCAGCCGTACCGGGTGATCGGGTCCGTCTCTCGAGTTCTTATAAACGATGATGATGCCTCGGAATGGAGCTTGAAAGCCTCATACGGACTCTCTCCAACACCAAATTAATTTGCTAGCTGCGTCTCCGACGACAACTCACACCATGTTGTTGTCACGGGGGCTGCTAGCCTCTACACTCCTTCTCGCCGTCGAGGCACAAGATGGTATCGACCAAGCCGCAGTCAACATTGCTACCGGATTTGCAGAGACTCTCATTCAACATGCTTATACTACTCTTAACGGAGATTCAGGAGGTTCTGGTGATGCTGGAAGCGGTGGAAACCAGGGCCAAGCTTTCGATGCGAGTTTACTCGACAAGCAACAGAATGCAGCCGACAACGATGCCACCGTCACACAGGTCATACAGGGCCAAGTTACTGTCGAGACATACACTCGCCCCGGAGGAGTACTATTCCCCGTGACACTCCTTCCACACCCGAGAATTACGCTTGCTCCGACTCGTAATGACCCTTATGAAAGGATCATTCAGGCTTATACTGGAGGTAACGATGCCACTACGAACCAGGAAATCACAATTGCCGAGCCCTCTGGAACAAACCCGGGTACTATTCTTGTCGATATTCCTGGTACTGCTTATTCTTCTTTCTCATCAGGCCAGGCCGGCGCGTTGACAATTCCCCCTTCAAACGACAACCCGATAGCCACGATTATCTCGGCGTTGCCTAGTGGTGTTGCCATCACTGGCGAGGCTACAAGGACAATTCCCGCGGCCGGAAATGCCCCTGCGACTGTTGTTATTCAGACTCCTTGGGCAGACGTGCCACCAAGTACACCTGGTGTTGGAGGTGCTGGTGGTGGCAACGCTGCAGGCAGTACATCCAACGTTTTGGTGATTCAAACATACACCGGAACTGAGTACATCACCCAGGCTCGGGTTTCCACCATTGTTGGTTCTGGAGGCGATCAGGGCACAGTAGTTGTCCAGGTCCCTCAAGGTAACCAGAACCCCGGTGGTGCTGTCACGATCCCTCCAAGTGACGGCGGCCATTTTACCACAATTCTCAGGCAATACACAGGAGTTTCTGCTATATCAACTCCTGTCACAATCCTTGTCCCAACATCGGCAGGACAGGACGGAACAATCATCATTGAGACCCCTGGACCCTCGAGCACATCCGGTAGTGGTGGAGATAGTGATCTCCCTGAAAACCAACCGCAGGTTATTCCACCCAGTGGCGATAACCCTTATTCTACGATCTTGCGACCTCACGCAGGTTCCGATCAGATTACTGAACCTGTCACTTACACTGTATCACCATCTGGTACCAATCCAGGAACGATCATTATTGAGACACCGGCTGTGCGCGCTGGTCAGCAGGTTATCACACTTCCATCTGACCCCAACAGTGGTTACATAACGATTGTCAGACAGCCCAACAGTGTTATCACTGCACCCAACACGATCACAATCGCACCCTCCGGTGGCCAACCAGGAACGATCATCATCGAGACTCCTGCCCCTCAACCCGGCGATGTCGAGATCACAATTCCTCCTGGTCAGGACGGTTCCTTCGTTACCATTATCCAAGGTCCCACAGGATCCAATGCTGTCACAGCCCCTAACACGATCACAATCACTGGGGCTCCTGGCCAGCCAGGAACAATTATCATTCAGACCCCAGTGCCTTCTGGAGGTGGACAGATCACTCGAGGGCCTGGTGATCCTTTCACCATTCCCGCTGGATCGGGTCAATATGTCACCATTTTCCGACCTCATAGCGGTGATCCAATTTCGGTTCCGATTACGCTCACCCAGCCAGGTACAAATGGTCAGCCAGGCACTATCATTATTGAGACGCCTGATCCGACTACATCTGCACCAGGAAGTGGTCCTATTACCATTCCTGCTGGAGGTAACAGCCCCTATGTGACTATCTATAGGCCACATAGTGGAAGCCCTATCAGCGCACCAGTCACGATCACCATCCAACCCAGTGGTACCCAGCCGGGAACTATTATCGTCGAGACACCAATACCAACGCTTGAGACCCCCAAGGGCCAGAATGTGGTGACTTCCCCTGCTGCGGGTGGCCAGCCGATCACCGTCACTGAGACTGAACCTGGTGCGACCGTGACGGTTCAACCTGATAATCCTGATGGATATACAACCATATATCGACCACATACAGGTGACCTAATCTCTGAGCCTATCACCGTCACAACGATTAGTGGTTCGAACGGCCAGCCGGGAACCGTTATCATTGAGACCCAAGGCCCCTTTACGGTCACTGCCACGGGTCCCGGCGGTACTGCCACTATCTACACTCCTGGATCAGATGTTAGCACCACAGTTACGAAGACCGTCACCTTGACAGCTTCAGGAGGTCAACAATCTACCGCGGTTGTTATTGAGACTCCACCTCCAATTAAGGTTCAACCCACAACTGCAATGGTTACGGTGACTGGCCCTTATGGATATGTCACGGTTACTGAACAGTACACCGGGACGAGTGTTATTACGGCCATCTTTACTACCACAATCACTGGATCTGGTACAAATCCAGGAACGGTTTACATTGAGACACCGCCACCAATCAAGTTCGCACCCACTTCAATGGTCTCTGGCACCGACAACTATGTCACTGTCTATGAACCGTTCCCCGGCCCAGGCATCATTACGGCACCAATTACCGTAACGCAGGCTACTCCTTCCGGTGGGCAGCCGGGTACAGTGATCATCCAGACTCCCGTTGCGGATACCCCCGCGACTACACCATTGCCAGACCCTACTACCACACAGGGACCTGATGGTTATGTCACTGTGTATCTTCCGTTCCCTGGCCCTGGTGTCATTACCACGTCCTATACCAGGACTCAGGCCCCTTCAGGTGGAAATCCTGGAACAGTATTCATTACAACGCCAGCCCCTCTACCTGCTACAACTTCTGAGGCAAACCTCCCTAGTACTACTTCTGGAACAGATGGTTATGTGACAGTTTTTATCCCATATCCGGGACCGGGCGAGATCACTGCGCCCATCACCAGGACTCAGCCACCCGCAAATGGCCAACCTGGTACTGTCTTCATTACCACGCCTGTCCCTGCGTTCACTACACCGAAGCAGATGAATGGGTTAACTTCCACGTCTCAAGGAACAGATGGTTATGTCACAGTTTTTGTTCCTTACCCAGGACCAGGCGAAATCACTGCACCCATCACAAGCACCCAGCCGCCTGCCAATGGTCAGCCTGGTACTGTTTGGATCACTACACCTGTTCCTGCATTCACTACACCAAAACAGATGAATGGGTTGACTTCCACTTCCCAAGGAACAGATGGCTATGTGACAGTATTCCTGCCCTTCCCTGGCCCAGGTGTAATTACTGCTCCTATAACAAGTACTCAACCCCCTGCTAATGGCCAGCCCGGAACCGTTTTCATCACGACGCCAGCGCCGCTGTCCACTGATCAGCAGAACGTGGCAACCACTACACCTGGTGATCAATATGTGACCGTTTTCCTGCCCTTCCCGGGTCCTGGTGTTATCACTGCACCCATTACCCGCACTCAGGCACCGTCTGGTGGTAACCCAGGAACTGTGTTTATCACGACACCGACTCCTGAGACTACGGCCCAGCCCCAGACTTCTGCCCTTACTACGGATAACTATATCACCATTTACACCCCCTTCCCAGGACCAGGTGTAATTACCGCACCTATCACTATTACCAAGCCGCCGTCCAATGGTCAGCCCGGAACAGTTCTTATTGAGACTCCTGTTCCATTGAGCTCTATTGCCGATACCTACGTGACGGTCTACAGACCCTATCCAGGCCCTGGAACGATCACTGCACCAATAACCCTGACTCAGGCTCCTTCCAACGGCCAGCCCGGTACGGTGTTCATCGAGACTCAGCCAACAGAAACGCCTACTCCAACAACGCAAACTACTGACGGCTCTACTCCTCCTATTACCATCCCTCCTGATCCAACTGGTTCTTATGTGACAATCTACCGACCGTATCCTGGCCCTGGCCAGATTACATCTCCCATCACATACACTCAAGCCCCTGTGTCTGGGCAACCCGGTACAATCATCATTGAGACCCCCAATCCTGATGCCAATACTGCCACCCAGACAGGACCAGTTACTGTTCCTACCGGAAGCAACAACCCATATATCACAGTATACAAGCCTTACCCTGGCCCCGGCAACATTGATCAGCCTATCACCATCACTGCTGCGACTCCCTCGGGTGACCAGCCAGGCACGATCATCATTGAGACACCTACACTGGAGGTCAACACCAAGTTTGCGCCGTCGCCGACTTCTTCGCCTCCAGTTACCATCCCGGCTGACAACAACAACTATGTCACTGTCTATAGGCCACACACTGGATCACCTATTACTGCGCCAATTACTGTCACGACCATTGAACCTTCAGGAGGTCAACCTGGCACTGTGATCATTGAGACACCTGCTCCTGAGGCCCCAACTTCTTCCTCTTCTGACGAGCCTCAAACCACAGCGTCTGCTGTCACCACTTCGGATGGTAACGCTGACTATGTGACTGTATACAGACCCTACCCCGGACCTGGAACAATCACTGCCCCTCTTACAGTTGGAACTGTTGCACCAACTAATGGCCAGCCTGGAACGGTCATCATTGAGACACCTGTGCCTCAAACCGCGCCGGAGACCACATCATCACCCGAAGTTACTTCTACTCAAGGAACTGATGGTTATATCACGGTCTTCCGACCATACACCGGCACTGGCCTCATCACAGCGGCTATCACTGTCTCCACCATTCCTCCATCTAATGGTCAACCAGGAACCATCATTGTCGAGACGCCTGTGCCTCAGGATCCAACGACAACAACTGGTGATTCTACGCCTGTCACAATTCCACCGGGACCCGGAAACTCGTACGTGACGGTCTATAGACCTCATACGGGTACTGACGTTATCACGGCACCTGTGACAATTACCACTATTGAAGGAGTTAACGGTCAGCCCGGGACAATCATCATTGAGACACCAGTACCTCAGGCGGCAACTTCGACAGATGAGACTACCGAGGCTGCGCCGTTGACTATTCCACCCGGTCCGGACAGCTCCTTCATCACTGTGTACAGGCCACATACAGGAACTGATGTCATTACGGCACCTGTGACCGTAACTACGATCCCAGGTGTCAATGGGCAACCGGGAACAATAATTATCGAGACTCCCGTGGCCCAGGATACCAATGCGCCTAGCACAGCCCCTGCAAGCCCTGGCAGTACCTATGTCACCGAATATCGTCCATATCCTGGACCAGGCAATATTGATCAGCCCATCACGGTCACAACTATCGAGCCCTCCAACGGGAACCCGGGAACTGTTATCATCGAGACACCTACTCCAGATGTCAACACGAAGGTTGCTCAGCCTCCTGTTACGCTCGATCCTGGTCCAGGCGATCAGTATGTTACTGTTTACAGACCTTACACAGGTACTGGCGTAATCACTGCACCGGTCACCGTTCGTACCATTGCACCTTCAGGTGGCCAGCCCGGAACAGTCATCATTGAGACCCCCGAACCAGAGACACCTGGCTCTAATCCAACAGTGACATTGCCCGCTGGACCTAATGAGTCTTACATTACTGTGTTCCGACCTCATACGGGCACTGATGTGATTACTGGCCCTGTCACGACTACAACTATCGCCCCCGCCAATGGTCAGCCCGGCACTGTAATCATTGAAACTCCTGTTGAGTCTGAGCCTGCCTCTACCCCGGCTCCTGTTGATTCAGTAACGAGCACTCCTGCTCAAGCTACTTATGTTACGGTCTACCGCCCTCATACTGGAGCAGACCGTATCACTGCGCCCGTCACTGTCACAACCATTGAGCCGTCAGGAGATCAGCCGGGAACAGTCATAATTGAGACCCCCGATCGAGATTTACCTCCTGTGACAACCTCTGCTGGGCCTCTTGCCACCTATGTTACGGTTTACCGACCCTACACAGGAGCAGACAGGATCACAGAACCCGTCACTATCACGACTATTGAGCCGACCAACGGCCAACCCGGTACAGTTATCATTGAGACTCCAGGACAGCAAGCGCCTCCTGTGACGACCATCCCTGCCCCTGCTACTTACGTGACTATCACTAGACTCTACACCGGAACAGACCAGATTACAGAACCAATCACGACCACTATCCCTCCTCAAGGTGATCAGCCTGGTACCGTGATCGTTGAGACCCCAGGCCAGCAAGTGCCGCCGGTAACCTCAACGCCTGGTCCTGCTTCATATGTGACCACCACCAGGCTTTACACGGGTACAGATCAGATCACAGAGGCTATAACGAGCACCATTCCACCCCAGGGTGATCAGCCTGGAACTGTAATCATTGAGACTCCTGGGCAGCAAGTGGCCGCTGTGACCTCCACCTCTGCACCTCCTTCTTATGTGACAACGACAGTTCCCTATACTGGCACTGACCAGATTAGCGTACCTATTGTTACTACTGTTTATCCTCAAGGCGACCAGCCAGGAACTGTCATCGTTGAAACACAGGCTCCGTTTGTGACAGTCTATCGTCCTCATACAGGGCCAGATCAGATCACCGGCCCAGTCACTGTGTCGACCATTGCTCCCACAGGAGATCAGCCTGGCACAATCATCATCGAGACCCCTGGCGCGGCCCCTGCTGTCACCACCACACCACCCGCGCCATCGTACGTCACTATCACCACTTTGTACACTGGAACAGAGATACTCAGCGAGCCCACTACCGTCACTACGATTCCCCCTCAAGGAGATCAACCCGGTACTGTCATTGTTGAGACCCAGGGTCCTTTCGTGACAATTTCAACACTTTATACTGGAACAGGTGTAATCACAGCGCCGACTGCCCTTACAACCATTCCTCCTCAGGGAGGGCAGCCTGGAACTGTTGCTATTGGAACACCAGGAACATACGTCACAACGACTGTTCTGTATACCGGATCTGACTCGATTACCGGCCCCACAGCTTTTACAACCATTCCACCTCAAGGTGATCAACCTGGCACGGTCGTTGTTGGAACTCCTGGATCTTATGTCACAACCACAGTGCTTTACACCGGCACCGATTCGATTACTGGGTCTACAGCTCTCACAACGGTCCCCCCTCAAGGCGGCCAGTCCGGCACCGTTGTCATTGCCACCCCCCCTTCGTATGTCACGACAACTATTCCTTACACTGGAACCGACCAGATCACAGCGCCAATTACAGCGACTACCATTCCTCCGTCAGGGAACCAACCTGGAACTGTTATCATCGAGACTCAGGCCCCATTTGTCACGATCTATCGCCCTCACACTGGTATCGACAGAATCACTGCGCCTGTTACGGTTTCGACCATCGCCCCATCTGGTGACCAGCCAGGTACGATTGTGGTCGAAACCCCCGGCGCAGAACCTCCTGTTACTACATCACCTCCTGCTCCAACATACACGACGCTTTATGAGGAGTACTCCGGCACCGAAGATATTACTGAGTCTCTCGTTAAGACAACTATTGAGCCACAAGGAGACCAGCCCGGTACCATTATCTTTGATACTCCTGCCCAGCGAATTGTGTCCACTAGCGCTGCACAGCCTTCCTATGTTACCGTTTACCAGCCTCATTCTGGCCCAGACAGAATCACCGCCCCTGTTACGGTCACTACCATCCCTCCACAGGGAGATCAACCGGGCACTGTTATCATTGAAACACCAGGTTCGGAGCCTGCTATCACGTCGACGCCTGCCCCCGAACCATCTTACGTCACAGTGTATCAGCCTCATACTGGGCTCGACAGAATTACCGAGCCTGTCACGATCACAACCATTCCTCCCCAAGGCTATCAGCCGGGTACCGTGATCATTGAGACACCAGGTGCAGAACCCCCCGTAACTTCAGGACCAGCTCCTGAACCTTCTTACATCACAATATACCAGCCGCACACCGGTCTTGATAGAATCACCGAGCCTGTCACGGTTACAACTATTCCTCCCCAAGGTGATCAGCCTGGTACCGTGATTATTGAGACACCAGGAGCGGAGCCTCCCGTGACATCGGGACCTGCTCCGGAGCCTTCCTATGTGACAGTCTATCAGCCGCATACTGGATCTGATAGAATTACTGAGCCTGTTACACTTACAACTATCCCTCCTCAAGGAGGTCAGCCAGGCACGGTTATTATTGAAACCCCTGGCTCGGAGCCCCCTGTCACCTCAACCCCAGCTCCTGAGCCTTCATATGTGACGATCTATCAGCCATACACTGGCACAGATCAGATAACTGCTCCAGTCACACTGACCACCATCGTACCATCTGGGGATCAGCCTGGAACCGTTATCATTGAAACACCTGGGTCTGCACCTCCAGTCACATCAACCCCTGCCCCCGAGCCTTCATATGTGACAGTCTATCGACCTCACACACGCGCAGATCAGATCACTGCACCGGTCACTATCACAACCATTGAGCCTCAAGGGGGCCAACCAGGAACTGTGATCATTGAGACACCTGGCTCGGAGCCAGCAGTGACATCTTCACCGGAACCTGCCCCTCAACCTTCGTATGTGACAGTGTATCGATCTCACACTGGTGCTGACCAGATCACTGCGCCGGTCACAATTACGACAATCGAGCCTCAAGGGGACCAGCCAGGAACCGTGATTGTCGAGACACCTGGCTCTGAGCCTCCTGTTACCTCGGCACCTGCTCCCTCATATACCACCATCTACGAGCCTTACACTGGTACAGGCGAGATTACAGGCGAAGCCACCGTCACAACTGTTCCTCCTCAGGGTGATCAGCCAGGTACTGTCATAATTGAGACACCGGGTCCGCAAACCGCAAACAAGGGAGCGAACCCTCCTCTGACTATTCCTGCTGGGGACGATAGCTATGTGACGGTCTTCAGGCCATACACAGGAACCCCTATGATAACAGCGCCTGTCACGGTCACGACCATCTCTCCGTCTGGTGGCAACCCAGGTACCGTTATCATTGAAACACCCGCACCTGAAGCTGCAGCTACATCGGCACCCGAGGATGTTTACGTTACCGTCTACACCATTTACACTGGCACTGGCCAGCTTACAGCGCCAACCACGGTCACAACCATAGCTCCTGTCTCCGGAACTGGTACTATCATAGTTGAGACTCAGGCTGAGGCTACTACTCCTCCGCCCGTCACGATCCCGCCTAGTGACAACAGCCCCAACATCACCATTGTGCGTCAGTATCCTGGCCCAGGAATCATCACTGCCCCTGTGACCTCTTACGAGCCACCAAGTACGCCTGGACAGCCTGGAACGATCATCATTGAGACTCCAGCCCCCATTTCTGAGACTACATCTGAGGCACCAGGCACCAATGTTACTCTCTATACCTTGGCTCCCCCAGGCGTCAAGATTCCCATCACTAGTTACGCACCCCCACAAACACCCGGACAGCCAGGAACTGTTTTCATTCAGACTGTGGCCACTGATGCTGAGTCTACTTCCGAGGAGGGCAGGAACGTGACTATCTACACCGACGGTCCTGATTCTCTTACTGCCCCGTACACTACCTACTATCCTCCTGGCTCCCCTGGAGATCCCGGAACCGTGCTCATTGAGACTCCTCCTCCAGTGCCAACTGGTCCTGCCTCAGTATCGGCAGTGCCGACCACTGATGATTCAGCCAGCAGTATCACAACACCTGCTTCGAGCAACCCCGACGCGCTCACCTTGACTCCGAGTGATAGTAACGATGACTTTACCGTCATTGAACCCAACACCAGGTTCGCTGATGCTAGCGGGAATGTCACGCAGATTATTCCCGCAACTGATGGAACCCCCGGAACACAGATCATTTACACACCTGTGGATACATCGAGAGACTCATCCGTTGGTGCACCAGATACTGATAGTTATGTTACCATCAGTGCGACAGTCACTATTCCTGGCGATCCCTCAACACGTACCGGGTCCAACTCCGACGCCGGAAGTGACGCAGGTACCACAGGCGCGGAAACCAATGTCATCGTTATCCCCCCCAGTGGTACTGAGCCAGGAACCGTTCTCTCGCAAACTAGTGTTTACTTGGACCAGGCCTTGGCTGAGCACGGAAATGTGACAATCACCAGGACAGCTCCCAGTGGTGTTACCACAAGGTTCACTACCTACTCGCCCCCAGCCCAACCAGCTGATCCAGGGACCATCATCATTGAGATCCCAGACTACAATGTCACCATTACGAGGGCAGCTCCTGCTGATATCACGACCACAATCACAACCTACTCACCTCCTGCAACGCCTGGCGACCCAGGTACTGTCATCGTCGAGACGCCTGATTATAATGTCACTATTACTCGCGAGGCACCCGCATCGATTACAAGTCTCCGCACAAGCTACGCTCCTCCCGGAACTCCTGGCGATCCTGGCACCGTAATTGTTGAAACTCCAAATAACGACTACAACGTGACCATCACTCGCGGCGCCTCGATTACAGCGCCCTTTACCACATATTCGCCTCCTGGCGCCTCAGGAGATCCTGGCACCATTATCGTTGAGACCCCGGATTATAACGTCACCATTACCCGAGAGGCACCAGCTTCGATTACTGATGTGCGGACGACATACAATCCTCCAGGCACTCCAGGCGATCCAGGAACTGTCATCGTAGAGACACCAAACAATGCCTACAACGTCACTATCACAAGGGCAGCTCCCGCTTCGATTACAAGTATATATACCACCTACTCCCCTCCAGGCGCTCCTGGTGATCCCGGCACAGTTATTGTTGAGACACCTGACTACAATGTTACTGTTACTCGTGGTGCCTCGATCACGGCCCCTTTCACAACGTATTCGCCCCCAGCTACACCTGGTGATCCCGGTACTGTCATTGTCGAGACACCTGATTACAATGTCACCATCACACGAGAAGCACCAAGAACCGTCACAACCTTACGCTCATCATATGCCCCACCTGGCACTCCAGGTGATCCGGGCACCGTTATCATCGAGACACCTCTTGGTCCTTACAACGTGACGACGACTCGCGGTGCTTCAACAATTACGGCGCCGTTTACAACCTACTCGCCTCCTGATGGGCCTGGAGATCCCGGCACCATTATTGTTGAAACTCCTGAATATAATGTCACTGTCACCAGCGACGCTGAATCTACGGACGCTGCAACAGATGTTGTCACCAGGTACAACCCTCCAGGCACTCCAGGTGACCCAGGTACCATCGCCATCATCATGCCGAACCAGAGGGTCGTGTCGACTTCTCAAGATACTTCCACTACTGAAGCTCCTGGACAAAACGTCACTGTCTACAGGCCTGGCCCACGAACTATGACTGGTCCTGTCACTTCATACATACCTCCTGCGAGCCGCGGAGACAACGGTACGGTAATCATCGAGACCCCTGGCCCAGCCACTCCTTTCAACGTGACAATCACCCAGACTATCAGTACCATTACAGCGATCTACACTACCTACTCGCCGGCCGGTGCTGAAGATGATCCGGGAACTATCGTCGTTGGAATGCCGTCTGATCGAAATGTGACCATCACAGAGGAGGTCAGCACTATCACGGCCCCTTACACAAAGTACTCTTCCCCTGGCTCGCCTGGCGATCCCGGCACTGTCATTATTGAGGTGCCCCCCAACCACAATGTGACTGTCACTGAAGTCATCAGCACTATCACCTCTCCCTACACAAAGTACTCCCCGCCTGCAAACCGTGGAGATCCTGGTACAGTGTATATTGGGCTGCCCCCAGACTCAAATATTACTATCACAACTGAGGTGGATTCGAGAACAGCGCCTTATACCACCTACTATCCTCCCGGTTCCCAGGGAGATCCTGGCACTGTTCTTGTTGAATTGCCTCCTAGTCGCAACGTCACCATCACGACCGAAGTCGCGAGTCGAACTGCGCCTTATACAACATACTCAGCGCCAGCTAACAGAGGAGATCCGGGGACAGTCATCGTAGAGATGCCTCCTGACAGCAACGTCACAATCACCACCGAGGTGCCCAGCAGGACAGCCCCTTACACCACGTATTCCCCACCAGCGAAGAAGGGCGACCCAGGCACAATTATCATTGAATTGCCTCCTGATCGTAACGTGACGACTACAGAAGAAGTCCCTACGTTGACCGAGGCCTATACTACTTATTCACCACCGGGCAACCGCGGTGATCCCGGCACTGTCATTGTACGACTCCCACCTGACAGGAACGTGACTAGAACGACCGAGATTGCTACACTGACTGCTCCGTATACAACCTATTCTCCACCTGCAAACAAAGGCGATCCGGGTACTATTATCATTGAATTGCCTCCTGATAGGAATGTCACCACTACGGAAGAGGTCAGCACAATCACCCGTGTCAGAACAACATATATGCCTCCCGCCAACCAAGGAGATCCCGGCACAGTCATTGTTCAAGAGCCTTCGGATACCAACACCACTATCGTTGATGTCGTGCCCACAATCACACGCCCGGCCACTCGGTTTGTACCAGCTGCCACGAAGGGTGATCCAGGCACGGTCTATATAGATGTGCCGCCGAACCACAACGTGACAATGACCACAACTGTCAGCACAATCACTCGACCAAGCACAACGTTTGAACCCCCTGCCACTGAAGGCGATGCCGGCACAGTGCTCGTCCAGATGCCCCCTGAGTACAATGTCACCACAACACAGACCATTGAAACAATCAGTAGGCCAGTCACTCGGTACTCTAGCCCTGCTGAGATTGGCGACCCTGGCACCGTGTATCTAGATCTACCACCCGAGTACAACGTCACCGTCACAACCACGATTTACAGTATCACACGACAGAGCACAACCTTTGCTCCTGGTGCTACACAAGGAGATCCTGGCACTATCATAATTGAGATGCCTCCTGAGTATGATGTGACTACAACACAGACTGTTGAGACAATCAGCAGACCAGTCACTCGGTACTCGAAGGCCGGCACTGTCGGCGACCCCAACACTATCTATGTTGACCTTCCGCCGGAATATAATGTCACCATAACCACAACAGTCCCCACAATCACGAGACAGTCAACGGCATTTGCTCCTGCTGCCGCTCAAGGCGATCCTGGAACTATCATTATCGAAATGCCCCCCGAGTATAACATCTCGACAACTCAAACTATCTCTACGATCTCGAGACCCACCACCCGTTACTCTCGTCCAGATACAGTTGGAGACCCCGGTACCGTGTACGTTGATCTACCGCCGGAGTACAACGTCACTATCACCACGACCATTGAGACCATCACAAGGCCTTCAACCACCTTTGCCCCAGCTGGAACCCAGGGCGATCCTGGTACCATCATTGTTGAGCTTCCCCCTGATTCCAATGTCACGGTCTCATCAACAGTCCCTACCATCAGCCGCCCTGCCACACGCTTTGCAAGCCCTGCAGCCGTGGGTGATCCTGGCACTGTTTATGTTGATCTGCCGCCAGAGTATAACGTCACCACAACTGAGACTGTTAGCACTATCAGTCGCGTCCGCACAACCTTTAATCCAGCCGCAACCGAAGGCGACCCAGGCACTATTCTAGTCGAGGTTCCAGTGGACTACAACGTCACTACCACTGAGTTGAATAGTGCGATCAACAGGGTTAGGACTACCTACATGCCTGCTGGTACACAAGGTGACCCGAATACCGTCCTTGTTGAGATTCCTCCTGACTACACCATCACAACTACTGAGACTGTCAGTTCAATTACTCGTGTTCGAACTACTTACATGACTGCCGCGACGCAGGGTGATGCAAACACGGTTCTTATCGAGGTCCCGCCGGACTACAATGTCACATCCACGGAGACCGTCAGTTCGATCAACAGGGTCAGGACGACTTATATGCCCGCCGGAACCCAGGGTGACCCCAACACAGTTCTTATCCAGGTTCCACCTGACTACACTGTCACAACTACTGAAACCAACAGTGGTATCAGCCGTGTGAGGACCTCATATATGACTGCTGCAACACAGGGTGATCCCAATACGGTCCTCATCGAGGTTCCGCCGGATTATAATGTTACATCAACCGAAACCATCAGCACGATCAACAGGGTCAGGACCTCATACTATCCTGCCGGCACCCAAGGAGATCCTAACACGGTTCTCATTCAGGTTCCTCCTGACTACACTCTGACAACGACAGAAACCAACAGTGCTATCACTCGGGTTAGGACCACGTATATGTCTGCTGCCACTCAAGGCGACCCGAACACAGTTCTCATTGAAGTCCCACCGGATTCCAATGTGACGACAACCCAGACCAACAGTGAAATTAGCCGCATCAGGACCACCTATATGCCAGCCGGTACTCAGGGTGATCCCAACACCGTACTAATTGAGGTCCCTGTTGACTACAACGTGACCACCACCGAAACCAACAGTGCGATCACGCGGGTTAGGACCACCTATAGCGCGGGTGCAACTCAAGGCGACCCTGGAACAATTTTGGTTCAGGTCCCAGTTGACTATAACGTAACAACCACTGAAACTGTCAGCACAATCAGCCGGGCTAGAACGACATATAATCCCGCCTCTGTTCAGGGTGATCCTAACACAGTCCTTGTGCAGGTGCCTGTCGACTACAATGTCACTAGCACCCAAACAGTCAGCACGATCAGTCGGGTCAGAACGTCTTATTATCCAGCTGCCACTCAAGGCGACCCCAATACAGTCTTGGTTCAAGTCCCGATGGACTACAACGTGACAGTTACCCACACAATCACCAGTATCAGTCGTGTCAGGACAACATATGGTCCTGCTGCCACACAGGGAGACCCTGGAACCATCTACGTGGACGTACCGCCGGAGTATAACGTCACTGTCACATCAACTGTCAGTACGATTTCGAGAGCTTATACAACCTATTCTGCGCCTGGTACACAAGGTGATCCAGGAACCATCTGGGTAAGGCTGCCGCCTGCATATAACGTGACAACCACTCAGACCGTCCCCACGATCACTCGTATGTCTACAACATATGCTCCTCCAGCTACACAGGGTGACCCCGGAACTTTCATTGTGCAGGTCCCCCCTGACCGTAATGTCACTACCACTGAGACTGTTCCCACGATATCTCGACCTGCAACCAGATATGTGGCCCCGGCTACTCAGGGAGATCCAGGTACAGTTGTGGTGCAGATGCCACCACAGTACAATGTCACGACAACACAAACAGTATCAACTATCTCTCGCGTGGCTACTGCATATAACCCTCCAGCTACGCAGGGAGATCCAGGTACTATTGTTGTGCAAATGCCCCCTTCGTATAACGTCACGTCAACACAGACTGTTTCAACCATATCCCGACTTACAACTGCATACTCAGCCCCTGCTACGCAAGGTGACCCCGGAACCGTCTGGGTCCGGGTACCTCCTGAGTACAACGTCACGTCCACGACTACAGTCTCAACTATTTCCCGACTTACAACCACATACGCACCTCCGGCTACTCAAGGTGATCCAGGCACTGTCATCGTGAGAGTACCTCCATCTTACAATGTCACCACGACGCAGACCGTGTCAACCATTTCACGTGTTGCAACAGCTTACTCGCCGCCGGCCACCCAAGGAGATCCTGGTACTGTCATTATACAGATGCCTCCAGCTTATAATGTCACTACTACAACAACTGTCTCAACTATTTCCCGGCTTACAACAACTTACGCACCGCCAGCTACCCAAGGCGATCCAGGTACCTTCATTGTGTGGGTACCTCCCAAATACACTGTCACGACGACACAAACAGCCAGCACTATTACCCGACCTACTACTGTCTTTGCGCCTGCACAAACTCAAGGCGATCCCGATACTGTTATCGTGCAATATCCCCCTCCTTACAACGTCACGGTCACTACAGCAGGACCGACAACGCTCACTGCACGATACACCACATACTCACCACCTGGCCAACCTGGCGATCCCGGTACTGTCATCGTCGAGATGCCACCGAGTCGCACAGTCACAATCACTACAAACGGCGGCACTACAATCTCTACCCCTGTTACCTCCACTTATGCTCCGGGTCAGCCTGGCGACCCTGCCACCGTGGTCATCGCAACCCCAGCTCCCCGATCTACTACATCTACAACATCTTCCAGGCCGCTCACCACCAGCAGCACCACGACTACTGCGCCGGCAGCCACCGTCTCCTTCAATTGTGATGTTTACGGTTACCTCATGCAGAAGACGGCTCTCTACCGTGTCGAGATCACATCTGGTAAGACGACTCTTATCAAGGGTGATGTCGGCCCTGGTGGTTGGATTAACGCCATCGGCTACAACCGTTTCGACAACTACATCTACGGTATGCATATGGACGACACGGGTTCTCAAGTTATCCGTATCGGTGGCGACGGTGGTTGGACACTTCTCGGCACTCGTACCAATGATCGTCTCGTTCAGATGGGTGATATCGATAACCAAGGTCGCTTCTGGATCTCGAACCAGGGTGAAGGCTGGTGGTGTATCGATCTCATGCCAGGCTCATCTACTTACGGCAAGATTCTCATGAGCGGCACCGCCAAGAACCCCCTCAACTCTGCCGATTGGGCCTTTGTCCCTGGAGGAGGCGACTTCATGTACTCCATCATGTACGACGACCAGGGCAAGACGTCCACACTGTGCAAGTTTAGCCGTACATCATACACATGGACAACTATCCAAGGCTTCGGTATGATTGCTGGTCAGAACGTATGGGGAGCCGCCTATGCCTCACAAGACGGAACCCTCTACGGTTCAGAGAATACCAGCGGCCAGATCTGGAAGTTCCCTATCGCCCCTTCGATTGGAACTCCAAAGTTCGTGGCAACAGGTCCATCGTCGTCCTGGAACGATGGTGCAAGATGTATCGACAGTCAGACTCTATAAAGCTAAGACGCATAGGGTTTCGACATCTAATCCCTTTCCTATGTCTGTTTACAGTCCGACTCTCTAAGAAGTCACGACCTGAATTCGTTTCCTATGTGTCCACTGTCGGATCCTCGAGTCTCAGACCAAGAGTTTCTGACACGAATTCGTTTCCTATGTCGATATCTGTATTTGTACCTGTATCTGTACTTGTATCTTTATACGATGTATAATAGCTAGTTATTGTTGAGATTGTTAGTGTATCTGCTTCCATAAATTGACAGCACTTATCTTGTTCATAACATTCTGATCTGTGCCCACCATTTCACCTTCTTTGATTGAGGGTATAAACGATATTCTCGTCAGGCAACTACTCCGCTTTGAAGCCGGCCATATCATCCTTACGCGTGTCTAAAGGCTGTAAAGATTGGCTACACCAGGATATGTTGCCTTTACCTCGTTCAGTCGAGTAAACATTCCTACAAGCGAACTGCGAAACGTTTCAATCAAGGATTTGGACCTAATTTTCGCCCAAAGCCTCACAATTTCTTGCTGAAGGGCAATCCAAGGGCAATGCAATAGAGGCACTGCTTTGAGTCTGTGGACACTGTCACCGTACCAGGCACTTGCTTATTGTAGCTTCATCTGCTGTACTGACGCTCCGAGTTCACCTCTGCCGCCGTCACCACTTGATACTGGCTCACTCGTACGCATCCGTGGCATTTTGTGAGAAGTTTGTAGAATAACACTCGAACGATCGTTACCTCACGCTACCTGATATAAATCAAGATTCTCGAGTGACATTCATTTAGTTCACGGAGATCACATCGCGCCCGCGTTTTAGTAACACAATTACAAGCTTGTTATAAAATTAAGACCGATCATTATCCATTCCTAGAACACGTTTTCTCTCTATGGCCACACGGCAACCTCATCTGTGATAACTCAAGGGTTTCACAGCCATAGAACATTCGGCATTCTCATAGTGATGTCCAACAGAGGTTAATCTGGGGCGTTGGGCTCTAGTTGCGGAGCTTCATTATGAAGGCTTGAAGAAAGAGTTATCATAGATGTCATATTGATACATGTTACTGAAATATGACACGGTCTCCGTAGGTCGACTTGCTGGCAAACTTAATGTCAACATCAGCGATATTGCATTTTTCATCATGGTCATTCCCGACGACATGTTTTCCTCCCGGTTTCAGAACCTCGATCAGGAAAGGTTCTGGTCAGTCGTTTCTCCTTCTCATTTTCAACTTAGTTCCCCCCTCACTCTTCCTTTCTAATTTTCCACTAAATGGTTTTGAATTCTCAGATTTGATTCAAGTACTGGCAGCCCTTGCCTATCTTTTAGAATCTCGTCTAAGAAATCGGGCCTGATGTGTGAAGATTGGCAATCTGACCAAGCCAACCAGGAGCACATTTCCTTAGTTCCCAGCAATCCATATAGCCCCTTAAGCCATGAACCGGAGAGTTCTTTCTGACCACTAGCTGACTGATTTCTTGGCCATTATGTCAATACTAGTCCATCTGTTCACAAGACAGCGGCTTCTGTGCAGCCTGCAAGGAGTACAAGCTTGTCATGGAGAAGCACTTTCGCCTGCAATATTATGAATAAGCAAGACAGAAAAACAGCTCAAGTCTGAAAGGTCATAGCCTTAAAATGCCACCAAGTTGATGAAATTTCGAAGCAAATGCTCAAAGGCCAGCTATACAGGGACAACAGGTCAGGTCAAGGTTTCTGGTCTATCGACTAACTCACCTTATCAAGATGCGAGCCAACGAGCTCTTGGGCCAAAAGGCCTCCCGTACAGATGCACAGCATTTCCGTTCGTGCCATATATTGAACGCTATGGTAATCTCTCTGAGGACAATGTATTAGGCCAAGAAGACGACCACAGGCGAAGGTTTTCCTCCTCCGCTGAATCAGGAGCTGGGTGCTAAGTGATCACTGATCAGAGTAACAAAGCTTACATGCTTGACCAACGGTTCCAATCTTTTGATCCCTTGGCACGCAGGGAGTTTTGTTTGATATCTTTCTCTGCCAACCTGGTCAAGGGATGAGAAAAAGGGTTGAAAAATGTGTAATTATATAGATCTTGGCGACCGAATTGCCATGTATTCAGGGGGACAATTTCAAGGATAAAAAAGACTCGAGTATCGTAACTTGGTTACTCGCCGAATGTCTGTATTCCCTTAGGTTCGTAACTCACAATTTCGGATTAATGAATTTCAAAATTCCAAAGGAAGCTTCGCATTCAAATTTCTTCAGAGAATCTTCCCTCGACTTCCTACTCAGCATCACTGTGAGTCACCCAGCTCCACGAGTCTACGTAACCTTCCACAGGCAGAATATATATCATCAATTCCATACTCCATGGGCACAAGTTATACCCTGATGTGAAAAGAGTAAAGGAGGTGATCCGTCGGTGCGTTGATACGACACGCTTACACAGCAGGTGATCACCAGTCAGGGGCGGAGCTTTTGCAGCGGCTCGACGTGATGAAGCTCAAGGAACAATTTACGAATCCAACAACATGTCAGGATCACACCAAGGATCCCCTTCTCAGATAAATGAGCGGTGAAAAATCAAGTCGGCTCCGGTAGTTTCGTCTGGTTACTGTCTTCGTGTGGTCAGCAGTTTTCAAACGTAGTTACTCATCACTTACAGTAGCACAATCCAAGAGCTCCTTCTTTTACTCGCAGACCTGATGGCTCGTAGTTACTTGATATTCTTTAGTTAACTGTCTTCGTCTTTCTCTGAATGAGCCACTTCTCTCGTAATGAAAATGCGCCAACAGGACGCGCAAACTTGTCTGCGTCAGCCGCGATAACCACCTTAGTCTTCAGTCTTTACCGCTATACCTCAACTCCCACCGAACTAGTTGTTTCTCTAACTTACAAAGTGCAAGTCCCACTGCGTGAGATGCGCCGACTAATGGAGCCTGTTGGTTAGTTACACCGTTCTTTGAGAAAGGTCCCGCTGCCTCTACCAACACCGTCCGTGATGACGTCCAAGCTATCCAAGTCACCTAGTGCTCGGACGGCTGTATTCCCTGCTGGAAGCGAAGGAACTAGAAACTTCGACTCCTAATACAATGGGTATTGAGAAGTTGTCATTCTACGAAGGGCCAAAGGATCCGCTCTTAGATAGACAACGAGGCTGAACAGGTTAGGACGTGTATAGATTACGTGGGGGTTCAGCTCGTCCCGTCGCAGTTCTGAATGAATTCTTGTGGCTTGCCATCTCAACAAGGAAGCACAAGGGTTGCCCTTGCGGCTCGTCCAGTGCCCGTGCTTTGTTGAAGAAACGGTTATGCATGCATGCACGATGTAGAATAAGCTGGCTGATTGACTCTATCCTCAGAATGGCATAGCCAGCCGACAGAGGCCCTCAGGTGGCCCGACAGATATTGGAGATATCTGCCCAACTTTAGGTAAGAAGACTGAGGATTGAGACTTTGCAAGCCCGTTATTCGCTGGTTCGTCAACTGCTATCGTGCGTACGCAACCAGTAGCCATTGTGGCAACAGTATTCAAGCCTAATTTTGACTGTCCTCGGCGAAATGTATAGAATGTTACATTCCAGTCGATCAGAACAATCGTGTTCTTCGTAGAATCTTCTAGCAAACGGCAGTTGAGAATATGACGTCAATGAGGCATCTCGACACCATCACAGCCCATTTCCCCCTCACTTTGGTGCATACCAACAGCACAGCACAGTATGAATTTCTTTTCTTCTGTAAGATCCATGCCACTGGGGGAGTTATGAGTGGCTGTTCTCCCCTGCAAAGCCAAGTATGGCTGCAGCAATGCGTCGCAATATCCGGAGATGGCTCCGGGCTGTTTTTCCCCCTTGTCAATGCCTGATTGGACGATGGACTCAGAGGAGTAAACTCTCCGCTTGGAGTAAGCAAAAAGTCCCCTGTGAAATTGCTCGTATTTCCGCAATGCAGTGCGGAAATCGCATATCGTATCGCATCTTATCTCATCACACAGCTGATATGCATCATTTTGCAGTGCAACGATTTCCCCATCCTCAATGTCACGATCCACACCGGAAGACCCTCTCCGACTGGATTTGACTTGACTTGACTTGCTTCGACCTGACCGCTGAGGCCACTTAAGCCGTGGATCAGCCTCATTGAAGCGATGTACATAGAATTTGACCATTGGTGTGATGAGGAATTCTTCCGGTTTGTCGTAGATCACTCACCGCTTAGCCTCCATTCCCCTGCTTCTGAAAAATTCCAAGCTCAACCGCAAACCTGAAAGTGTCTGGGGCAGAAACTTGACGGCCGCTGATGTTTCACCCCCTAAATGGTAAACAGGGGTCCATTAGGTTACACCCAATTCCGTCTTGTATCCGTGCCGTGAACACAAAAGCAAACTGAAGCCAATCCGAGCCCTAACAACTGATGCATCAAATTTTGAGCAACGAGCCGCGAAAGCGCTTGCCACTAACATCCGTTCTTCAATCCATTTCAACTCATTCAAGTTACCCCTGTTGGTGGCTGAAGGTGGCTCTGCGCTTGTCGAACTTGGTAGTGGTGGCCCCAAAAGAGCAAGATCTTCAATATGCAGCTCTATCATCTTGTAATTGCTTCCAGACTCTGGCCCAATTGACTTCGAGAACTCAACTAATGGGATGTCGACAGCAGTTACAACTTACGCCACAGCGTGGCCCACCACCATCCGTTCACCACTGCCGAACCCAACCAGGTGATTAAAGAAATGTGTCACTTACGGTAACACCGAGTCCATCTCATTGCGTCGACCGAGGCTGTCTTGAATGTCCTATAGTGTCCTCCCGATCTGGAGACCAAATAGTTGCATTCTGTAGACCTTCATGATCGGGGAACGAGCTGCATGGCCATGTTTATCTTGATGGTCTAGACCCCGCGGCCAGGGTTCCGGTACGTGGCTGACAAGCTGACCGGAGATGCCACTAATTCTGCATTTCAACAGGGTGCAGGGGTAATCCCAAAAGACACACACGGTTTCTCGAGAGTGCAAACAGAGGCAGCTTTATTAAACATTCGGGAACTTAATCCCTGTTCTGACCCATACGCATGACCCTGGCCTGTGGCGCAGCTGAATTGAAGCAGCACATGTTCGTTCCACGAACCGAATACTGTACAGCAAACAAAAGTATTTTTTGAGTGTTTTCAGCTAGTTTCAGGTGGATTTGAAGAGAGATATTCGGCCGCACTGACGCTTGGTTAGCCCGGCCAGTAGAGTCGATGTCGTGACGTGACGCCGTTCGATCTACCACAACAATGCTCCATTCACGATCGTAGGTCCCGAGATCGCGGGCCACAACGAGGACCCTGACGGTGGTAGCGTCGGGATCTTTAGCTCGGGCCAACCCCAAATCAAATGCCAGAGTCTCGGAATGGTATCAATCAGTCTGCCCTGTAACTGTGCAAGACTTGCTATGTGACATATTGTATACGCAGACAAGTCCGCTGGCCAACGGTGCCGTCCGAAGCTCCCGTACCGATTCCGAGGTGCAGAATGCCCGCGCCTGGATCTTGCGAGGCCCCGAACCGCTGGGTTTTTCTGGAGCCTTGTGCTGTCTGAGAATGGGTGTCTCCAGTTACGATTCGATGGCGCGAGTGTGACGGAGAGACACGTCCGATCTTTTCAGGCTGGGCACATCAACGGTTCCGGTCAGTCGGTTGGGCGATCTCAAGTGTCAGCGCCAGGGCCAGTGTCAGTTCCAACATCGATGCTAATTCTGCTAGAAACATGAATGGGAATCGCGAGTCAAGTCATGGATATGTAATCTTCGAGTTGGTTCATGAAGAAACTCATGCTCTCAGGTAAGAAAGGTGGACCCTGTTCGAGGTTGGGTTATCCATATAGTACGTTTTGTAAGCGCTGCATTACCGCCCCCCGCCTACCGTGCGGGTCAAGGAGCAAAAGCTCCGGGTGCTTGACGGTGCTCATCAGACAAGCGTAAAGGCAAGGTAGTGTTTTCCACCAAAAGTCGCTGCTCGGCGGACGCACAGGATTTTAATATCTCCTTCTTCAAAATGCCTCGTGGTCGCATGCTCTTGTTCCCTTTTCTATTTCGTGCGGTACCATCCGCTCGTCACCATGTCCCTCTTTTGCCACGAGCCCTCCAGGTAACGTCGCCCGGGGCCGAGACAACCAACCTGACGTGGACTCGTCTTCTCGCCTTTTTAAGCTCCGGTTGGGTACCTGTACCCCCCTGAAGCCCCCCTGGATATACCGGACACACTGGGCCTCGGTGGCAACCACGTCTTCACAGTACTGTACTTTCTAAGACAGCACGTTTGTTTCGACGCCACACTCTTTATATCAGCCCTATCCGGTTACTGCCAGAAAGTTATTTTGCAACGACTCCTGAGAATTGATCACCAGTATCTTTTGTCTGTGGTAATTGTCAACTTGTCCCTACTTACTCATTCATGCGCCATCTTCAACGTTTCAACGTCGTTGTCCATGTCGTTCGTGCGAGCCTCCCCCTTCTCAATTGTCGACTTCAATCATCACCCGCTCGAACTTTAAGAACAAGCTCGATTTCACGATAAATGTGCACGCAGCATTCGGCTGCATGCCACGTCTGCGGGAAAGATTATCTGGTTTATGTTGAATTCTGTCACTTCTTCCATCCGCCATTGCTTGTATGCCCACAAGGCCTGCTTTTCCTTCGGAATGGTATGCGTGACGGACAGTGTCCAAGCCCAGTTTGTCCGAATAGTCTGAGAGGAGGCTGTCGGGTCATGTAAACGCCTGTTATGTATTCAAAATCTCGAACAAGGGGTAGTTACTGCATACTTCCTCTTTCCGATCCGCCATCATTCCAACAATGTCTCTCAGAGCTTCTGTCCAGCTACTTCAACCTCCACGACTTGATCGACTCCTTTGTACTCTGGGACCTCCAAGTCATATTTCTTTGCGATGGATGGACTTACAAACCTATGCTGGAGGTTAGTTGCCTCGAAACAGCGTTGTTGGCTGGTACGTACCGCCCGCCAATAAAGTGTCGACCTTTGAAATGCTTCACTAGTGGCTTTGGTGCCGTAAGGCTAATAAGTGCTGTAGGCATGAAGGAACTGCCGAGTCCCGACTTCGGTGGACCATCTTCGATATCCCAGGATGAAGGAGCATCAACTGCTGTGACTGGCAGCTTCGTGTCCTGAAGAGCTTGAATCACGGCAGGAAATGGTTCTCGAACTTCTCCTGAAAAGCTGAAACCTAGTTGAACGGTCAAAGATTGTCGCTATCGAAAAATTCCAAGTACAAACCAAAGATCGCATCGACAACATGATCCGTCGAGTTCAGCGCCGAGGAGAAGTCATCGACGAAAGGGACCTCAAGGTCTTCGAGTTGTTTCGCGAGTCGCTGGGAGCAGCATCAGCAACTATTCAGCTTTCGGATATGGAATCGAGACGAGACGTGTTTGAAAGGCTGGGTACACCGATTTTCTGGTGCACCGGTTGTTACCATTCAACGATTCCCGCAGTACTGGTAGAAAACCGACAAGATAATTGTGAGAAGCACATAGCTGCAAGATCGCGGCAATGTTACGAACAAAACGTCATGCGACTTTCATGGTGAAAAAACAGTGAACACCGGATTTTCTTGGTAAACCTACCTGGTAGAGATCGTTCTTGCTTCGTTTGGGATAGAAGACGCTCGGGCTGTAGCCATACTGACAAAGATGGCGAGCAGCGACAAGTCCGTCACCACCTGATGTTGTGAGTGAGCATTCTTGGTATAAGCAGGTAAGCAGAAAACACCAACCATTGTTTCCAGGTCCACAGGCAACAAGGATCCTACGGCCGCTCTCGAGAGGCTGGAGGCGGTAGACTTATGATGTTAGCAGTTCATCGTCATGAGAAATGACATGGGCTTTGTGAGACCAAAGTGAATCTTTAAGGGCTCAAGTGAGGTAAAGTCACTAACCAGCTTGAGAAACAGCAAGTCCAGCGAGTTCCATGAGCTGATCAATAGAGAACGCTCCCGTACTCATGAGCTCCTGATCAAGAGCAGCAGCAGCTTTGGCTCCGAGGGTCTGAAACAGTCAGTGAATGAACGTAAAGTAACAACGAGAGTGCTTATGACTTACCTTGATCGCCATAATGCCTTTGAATCTTGTGTGCTTAGTAGTGATCGATGGATCTTCGCAAAGGTCTCAGCGAAAATTAGATGTTGTATGGGTCCGAGAGATGTAAAAGTTAAGTAATTTCGAAAATGTCGTCAGTCAGGAATGGTTGACATGTCCAGGGAGTCACGGACTGACATCACTGGGCAAGAGCTGTTTCATCAGCCGCCGTTGGAGATCCATTTGGATAGCCACACTATTCCCGGTCGACCCCACCATTTCCTGGTGATCAAGCCACATCGGCGAAAATAACCCCCGGCTCCGTGTCGAGATTGTCCCAACTTTCAGAATAGCAGCGACAACTGGTGATTGCTTTAATTCGTGGTCTTCAAGTCCCCCATATCGCCGCCATGGTAGTCAAGATCCGTCTCGCCCGGTTTGGGCGCCGAAACCAGCCCTTCTACAATATTGTCATTGCCCATGCCCGGTCCGTCAGCCCGTGATATTTTAACAATTGAGCGCACCATTGACAGGTATTTAGGACGGCTCGCAACTCCCGGCCACTCGAGGTCATTGGCACATACGACCCAATTCCTAAGCCCGACCCTTACGACACATCCGGAAAGCTCCATAAGGATATCAAGCTCGATAGTCAGCGCGCGAAGTACTGGATCGGTGTTGGTGCACAGCCCACAGACACAGCCTGGAGGTTACTCTCTATGGTGGGTATTCTACCAAAGAAGCAATTTGGTCCTAAGCAGGACAACGCAAAGGGCGTCATAGACCGGGAGAAGGTCAGAATTCGATGAGTGGCTCGAGGGTTGTACGATATGTACGAAAAGGCATCCCTGGGTGTTGGTTCCACGACGATATCACGAAGTTCATTCAGATAGAGTCAAAAAACCAGTGTCATATCAAGAAACACTGGGGTTGGCGCGGGCTGCTGGATCTAAGAACTGTGCAGCAATTAAGGAAGGCTGTATGATATTTATTGGAAAGGTTCACGTCACGACGGCCAATTCATTTTTTTCGCTATTGTAATTGTATTGAAGCGCTACCCAATACCATGTCTAACTAAGTTTAAGCCATCTATTGAAGCAGAGACGCTGAGAAAAACATCATGTGCCCCTTCTAACAACGCCTGTATCCAACATTTGTCATCCATGAGGCCGTAAGAGAAAATGATACAATCAATGAGTGACAGCAAAGAAAATGTTCAGAACAAGACACACGGTCATGACGACGGATCCATATATCGCCAGTGCGAGGGCGAGTCTACGCAGATGGTGATGTTCGATATGCTCGAGATCCCATCGCCACTTTCGTCTCCAACGCCACGAGTTTCGGTTACTGCGGGTGCTGGCATTGCTAGCGATGCTCACGCCACTGCGAATACTAGTTGTGCTCTGAGCGAGTGCAGCGGACTCCTCAACATCTGAGGTAGGTGTGTCATCATCCATATCATCGTCTTCCTTGGCCAGTCGTTGGTGGTGTATACTATCTGGGTTACTGATCTTGTAGTAAAAAAGACCCGGGAGAATAAAGCTGATAGAAGTTGACCCAGTGCTGCCAACGAAGGCCAGGACACGGTCGAGACTAGTGACTGAGAGAGCAGTCATATAGGCGAAGGTGAGAATGAAAGTAGTAATCACAGCAAACCGAAGGTCAGACATCGGGGCAGTGCTTCCATGATCGCCGGCCGGGGATGCTGGGAGTAATGGTGCTGCGGTTCGTCCGTTGTTCGACGAGTTGCGGTTTGGTCGCCATTTCAATACGGCGTCTAGTGAAGCTCGGCATGGGTGAACCTGCAAGGGAACCGAGAAAGTGACCAGTACAACAATAGCAGCTTTTCCGATTGTTGAAGCAGCTCCAGTGGGATCTGCCTTGGTGAGCTTGTGCAAAGTATGAGGAGGGGGTTAAAACGTACACATTGAGACTATGTTTCCCACAACAGCATTGCCAAATGTGAGGTAACCGGTAATGGCCACAACAATATAGATTGAAGCAGCAGAGCCAATGCTTGTGCCAACAACTCCAATAATGCTCGATGGTGAGTTATCCTTGAGTTCGTTGAGAATGGAGAACATCTAACTGTGTTAGCTGGATCATGAACTTGCAGAAGTTTGACATACGTTCTGATGGCAAGTATATGCAAACACAACGACTGGTAGAGCGCTCAATGTCTCGATAGCTCCACCCCACTGGATCACTCTGATGCTACCAGGGTCGGCGTGCTTGTCGGATGCAAAGTGATAAATCACCAAGACAATTAGATATCCGATGGAGACCAGCGCAACAATGCTGGTGTACTTTAGTGAGTCCAGCCTCCTCAAAAAGCTCAGAGGAATGATAATAAGCATAAACGCGGTGATCCAAAAGTTTCGATCAACCAGATACGGAGCACTATTAGCGTTGCTAAGGAAGCCTAATACCACACCAGGCATAAGGTCTCCAATGATGATCATGTAAGACACGCCAACTCCGAAGCACTTGATTGCAATCGCAGCATCGAATATAACGGCGGCGTTGGGATAGGTGATTTGCGATAGGGCGAAGAAGGAAGAGGTTCCTCGGTCTAGATATCGAGCGCATCGAGATTGCAGGTAAAGACCGAAAGCGGCAGTCAATCCAGACCACAGTATCAGCACCACTCCCAACATGATACCCATATGTGACATAACTGAGGGCATGGCAAGAGTGCCAGCTCCAACAACTGCGTCTCCTGTGTCAGCACGCGCCCAAATAGAAGAGAAATGACCAACGTACTTGTATTTAGCAGGTTTACGACACTGCTGATCGTAGTGGCTTGGCCTCCATGGCCGCCATCCTTATGACCGCGGCGTCGAGGTCTGAGGAAGGTTTCGTCAGTGATCATGTTTCCTAACCGATGTCGGCATGCGAGGTCTCCTCACCTTGACATGTCGCCGGCACTTCTAAATAAAGAAGCGTTTCCATCAGATATTGTAGAGTAGTTCGTCATTACACGGCGATAAGGCGTATGGAGTCGTCGAGAATTCGGCGCGATCGCGAGGGATAAAGCTGGGTGTGTTTAGGTTATGCGTCCGTCTGCTGTGATGTAAGAGTCGTAGGTGTTGGAGGTATGTATATTTCGTTATCGCTGCGTCTCGAGATCCTAAGCCGAATTGCTGACTACGTACTTAGGCGCGAGGCGGAAAGGCGGTGGTAGGCCGGCAGCCCTAGACGATTGCGTCAATCTGGTGTCCCGCGGCACAAAGGCCCCTGGCGAACAAACAGTTCAACACTCCCGTCCGATCACAACAGATCAAAACGGCAGGTCACGAGCGAAGTGCCAACGAGGCTGTTGTGAATGATTGAGATGCAGGAGGAAGAAGACACAGTCAGGAGACAAGTTCCTGACAGGCCCTGGTCTCTTGCACGATCCTTGAAGAGCTGCTAGAGTATTGTGCCGAACTCCTGCGGCCAATGAGCGCGCGCCAAGGTCATAATTTGGCGAATCATCGGGCTTTCTGATCCTAATCTGGGGAACAGCTTCAAGGCATGAGACGAGGAGCATGCCAGCTTCTTCATGATAAAGAGAAGTAAGTGGCTTATCATTTAACAAATTCATTCTTGTAGATTGACCATAAAATCTCTACAATGCAGTTTTCCATTTTGCTTCTCATATTCTTTGACCAAAGTGCGCCGTTTGATGCGACAACAAAGGCCATTCTGCAGGTCTCACAAGTTCATGACAATGGATCATGAGGACCCCACTCTTTTCTTCTAACTGGTACGTACTGTACCTTACCTTAGTGACCTGACAGGCCTCACCTTTGTGCCGCGCGCTCTCTGTCACGATGGCCACCAAGATGGACCAAACAACTCTCTCGACGCTCGATTTGTTGGAATCACGGCTTCTCCGAATCGAGCATCTTCTCTATGGCCAGAACCAATCACCGGCGCTGGCTCAAGATCAGTCGGCGACTAGCCAGCTCAACAAGCTCGAGCGACGTTTCTCGATGCTCCTGTCCGATGTCCGCGTTTACCACGAGCTCATGAGGATATGTATGTATCAGGAATATATATTTTGAAGTCTCAGCCCATACTGAACCCCTGCTAGACAGAGCTCACCCCGATTTCTTTCATTCGTCCGACCCATCAGAGCCACCCTCGCAGCTGGACATTGATGCACTCCAATCCATTGTTCTAGCCTCAGCGTCCGCCTTTCCTGCGACTCTATCGTCCCTTACCGCGATCAAAGACAGTCCGATTCCTGATCCTGCGGATAGCGCAGCGCTTGTGGCGTTACAGGATAGAATGAAAGCAATCGAAGCAACCCAAATCGCACAAGCTACTGAGATGGCCGACCTTCGACAAAGGAGCGAGATCGCGGTTCGTTCCTGGTACGAAACAGGTATCCTTAGTAACTCGAAAGCGATGGCCAGCCTCGAGTCTCGAGTAAAGGTTGTTGAGCGCCAGGTGAGGAGGGCAGAGCGAGAGTTGGAGGCTGAAGATGAGCTATGAAAACATGTTCAAAGATACCCTTGAAATTAAGGCATTGGTTGATTTAGATCCGTTAGTTCTGCAAGTAGAACTATATACAGCGCATACCTATAACCTGCCCCAGTGACCCAAGATATCCACTCAGCGATGTATTGGAGTTCATTTTCGGCAAGTCAAATATTGGCTATTTGTTTTTGTTGGCCTCTTTTCCAAAGCCAGTCTTGTAGCAAGGAGTTGTGCGGACATGTTTACAGTGAGGCCGAACTGTATCAACTCATTGTGTGCACTTGACATCTTGGTAGGAGGACATCAAATATTGATCTCCTCTCCATCTTGGAATAAAGCCATGGAATTGTTCTTGGAAGTCCCACCCTCTATGCTAATACTAACCTTTTGTTGATCAGAGCAGTGGTCATGAACATCGCAATCTTATTGCGATTACCCGTGTAATGCAACTAACATCTTGCTTTAATTTCATAGTAGTCCACTTCCAGGATGTCCTTAGCCTGACAATCGCTTTTGTAGCCATCACATTGAACATATTCATTGTTCCCGGTATCTAAAGAATGAAAGGCTGTCTTTGTGCCTGAGTAGATAGTAAATGCCATCGAGGATTGCGAAAGTGCAGGAGGATTGTTTCAGAAGTTGATGCACCGACTTGGTGTTCACACTCGTCGCCATCACCGTGACCAGATAGCCAGACCTCTTTACAGTTTATGTGTAAGACGATCCAGATACTACCTGGATATACACATCCTGATGGACTCCAATCTTTTTTATTGCCTACTAATGAGAGCTCAGCGCTGCGCCTCAAATACCCTATAAGTGTTTCAATATTGTTTTGCTGTCACATGGCGGGATTGATAAGAAGCAGTGTTTGAACCAACGTGCCTTGGGACAATCATGATACTACATGAGATGGCGGATTGTGACCTTCATTAGAGTATTTTTATGAGATGTAGAACTTCACAGTGACAGGATGAGGGTGAAAAAAGAATTTGAGGTTTCGCCAGTTGGACATGATACATATCTTCTAACTCGAATCAACTCCAGGTTTGCAGATATGTGTTCTAGCTGCTCTACCGAAACAGTCCATAGACTCGCGATTGGTTTGGCAGTCAGTTCATACGTCACCCTTTGCGAAGCTTCCAATGATCATTGCTACCAAGACTGTCAAAAGCGGAAGACAGCTAAAGCCCGTGTAACAGGTGTGTTTAGAAATCCTCGGGTTTTGGCATTGCCAGCTTGGGATTCCTATCTAACGTGTTCCCGCGTTATTCGGCTTACGAACACTAGGCTATTTCCGCAGCTTCTTGGTACTATGCATCTGTCAAGCTACGACTCACCGATGGCTAGTGGATCATGGATCCATATGAAGCTTCGAGCTGTTGAGCTGTACCTGACACTAAATGCATGTTACCTTAGGTGGTCTAGTTCCATGTCATTGGATGTAATCAGCTCCAAAGAACAAGTGCAAGCCGTGTAAGTACCAATTCTTGTAGAAGGCAGCCATACAACAATAAGATGAGCCTCGAAGCAAGAGATATTGCAGGGCCATTGGCCATAACTGGCCCTGATAGACAATGCTAGCCACAGAAAGTCCAGATGATCAGCAACGCGACCGTTGGGATCCAGCCCAAGCTTTTTGGTCAACTGGAGCAGCTCCACAACCAATGCTGCACTGTCATCAATCGATCTGCTCTGTAGCACAGCCGATCATCAAGACAAAGAGAGGCCACGCGTCGATGAATGATGAATATGACAAAGTGAGACTTTCACATTGAATGTCATGAAGATCGATCGGAAGGGAAAATCCGCGGCTATGCGGCTTATCGTTCGTTGAGTTTGGTGGTTCCAGGGGTAAATGCCCTCCCGTGACAGGGGTCAGCCAAAGTTTCATAGAAAAGCCCTTGGTGGGTTTTCGTCAGCATAGTTGAGCTAGGGGAGGAAACAAAACTTGGGACCTTGAACCTAACTGATAAAAAGACTTAGGTAACTTAGTATAAATTTAGGGTGAGTTTTAGGATACCCTTTGTAGAGTCTATTTTGTTAGGCCTAAAGCTAGGGTCTCGTGTTTTCTTGCTCCCAGAGGTTGAGTAACATGGGATGAATCGAGACACTGGGCCTGTCAGAGCCCTTGGCGGGAAGTGAGGCAGCCGGTCACAAGTTGGGTTTAAGTGTAGGACAAGACCTGAAGATTCAGGTTTGATGTTGTTGAAGATACCTGAGGTGGCGCGCTGCTGGCTTGAATCAGGTAAGTATCACATTAGGGGGGTTGCAGGGCATTGCACTTTGAAGTTTGAATACAGCGAGAGAACGAAACTGGATGGTTGAGGAGGATTACCTCGTGACGCTGTCAGGAAAGAATAAAGTCATTCGACAAAAGATGATAGATCCGCAACGGTATCGATTAGCTGTGCCGATCTAACGGAACTGGTTTAGAACGATCAGCTGTCGCTGGGGTCTGATGCAAGCAATTGCAAGGCATTGAATATCAGATCTTTTTGAGCAGAAGACGCTCGGACAACATTGAATTGGAAGTTCAACTTCTGTGTTGAAACGGCCCGAAAAAGTCTACCACATTCGAATGGTTGTCACGAGGCAGAGCGTAGTCAATGTTTCACATTAGTGATTTATTCGAGTTAAACACCAGCCACTCGTTGATGAAAAGGATCCAATGTCTTGCATCTTTTAAGAAGGCGCACGCGAGCCTTCTTTGGCTTGAGTTGATCTGCCTCTTGTCAGCGTTTTCTCTTGTAGTATGAACGCCGAGAATTCACGAACTCTGGCCCTGTGCTTGACCAGATGGTATCGATGAAACTCCCGCAACGGAGTCAAGGCCTCACAACCAGCCAATAGCCCGCATTAGACTTGACCCTAGTCGAACCTCAAACGAGGTGGGGTAGAATGAGTAGGCCAATTTGCAACAGCACATGGACGGTGTTGCCGTGGATCGAAGTGTTTTGCAGCCACAGTATTTTGAACTGGGCTGACTGTTTTTGAGACGAGTCAGATAGAATTCCTGTCCAGGGCGCCGTCAACTTGGTGATGTCGGCTGGGGTAGGTTGGGGTTTCCAAGACAGTGTGTACCCTAACCTTCTGGACAACAGTCACAGTAGCATCCATTCCTGTGATAGCCTGGATGGGTGATGGCAGCTGAACATGCCAGAATAAGTTGAAGGCTGCCTGCACTCTACACCCAGCTTTGGCTGCTTCCATTTCTCACCTTGATGAATATTGAACGCACTGGAAGGAATATCGATACCAATAAACCATCGCCCACAAGCAAGACATTGAAACGAAACAGCTGCTCTCTGTCGTCTCTAATCCAACCACGGACTCGGCTTGCTAAAGTTGTCCGGCTTCTCTCCCTCTGCGCAAAATCCACCCTGTCACGGCCACGACAGCTTCTCCAGATCCCAGAACTTGGGCCCGAGCCAACGAGCAGACGAAGCGCCACATTGAACAAGGGGCAGGGCGAGATTTGATTTGCTCAGAGCACTCGGAACCATCGTCTGCCTTTCATTTCCCTCTGTAGTGGATTTGAGGCCCTGAACCTGAGCGACACCCACTGGACAGCCACATTAGCTTTCCATCGGTTCCTGCCTGGAATCTCATCGTCTTTTCCTTTCGACGAGTTCTTTTCCTGACAACCATCTAATTCACTCATTTCCATATCATTGATTGATATACCTCCCTCTTCAATTCGTTACACGGACTCAATACGAACCGGAATCGGGCCAAAACTGGCAGTCCCTTGTCTCCCTTCCCCTGAAATTGTGCCCTTCCCGTCTGACTGTGACCGCGTCAGTCTGCCGCTGCGACGCTACACACGGCGGTACCTTATTACTGGTCTGGTTACCAAGAAGTACGGCACGGCCATCGCTTCCCATTCGTTGCAGCGCTCATTGGGGTGGCAGTGGCTTTCATTCAGCACAGAACTGCCACTTGTTGTTCCTCTTTACAGCCGCGCGCATTTGTACCGTATCTTGCACGAGTTGCGCGAGCGGGCTATTGTTATTGTTATTTTACTTCCTCGACCACACTCATCGACTTGGGCTCCTCACAGCTTTGTTCACGCCGCAATATCCACTATCTCGCGCGTGCTGAACCTAAGGTTCTGTGTGTGCCCGTTGAAATAGGTCCCTGGTCTAGAACTGAACTGGACTGGACTGCCCCCTGCATTTTCCCCCTTCTCTCACCAGCGCATCCCGCTCATCCATCCCATCCACTCAATCTGTCCATCTCTTCCCATTTCAAACCGTCCGTTCAATTCAATTCAATCATTTCCACCCTCTCCTTCTTTTCTTCCTTTCCCTCCCACTGAATCCACTCACCTGAGGTAATATTCTATCGCAACCACAGGCTTGGGTCATTCCACTCCTTTCTTTTCCATCTTCTATTATTACCTACCTATTTCCTTGTCATTCGACTTTCCTCCTCTGTCGCGACCTCCCGCTCGTCTTACGCCAACCGAAATCCTACAAACGATCGACACTGTTTCGCTTCGCTTGGCTCTGCACAGCACAGCAACGAATTGCATCGATTCCGACACAGCCTCTTCGCATTTACATCGTTTTTCTTCCGACGAATGCTCCGGTAGCAATCGACTCTGCTTACGCCTGTTTGCCAACCGACCATCATCAACGAAGAAAGCGCGTGCCCTCACTCTAGCATAAGCCTCGATCGCCAGCTCGTTCGACACCGTTGTTCCTTATGCCATCGTATTCTCTCAACTCTCCCTCGCTTCAGAAAATGGATCACTCAAGAATGTATGGCCAGCGCAAGGGCATTCAGATGAGCAACATCCTCGGCGACCCCTTCGCCCTGGCCACGCTCTCTATTAGCACGGTGCGTTCCTCTTGCGCTCTGCCACAGCCCTACCACTAATTGACCTTTGCAGCTCGCCTGGTTTATCACCTTTGTCTCTTGTATTATTGGACGGATACAACAAAATAGCGATGCCGACCTTGCTAAGAACGACCCTTTCCCAACTTTCGTGTGGTGGAGCTGCATCTACTGTCTATGCCTCATTGTTGGCGTCTTCGTCGTCATTGGAAGCGACGCAGTTCACACCTACCACGTTGCTGTGACTGGTTATCTCGCAGCAGGAATTGTTCTTGTTTCATCCGGAATTAATCAGCTCCTTTACTCTAACAGCGGCGCCCGCGAGGCTGCCTCTGCTGGCTTCATTCTGCTGGCCATGGTTATCGTGAGTTCCATTCCAGATCGACCTTAGACGTAAATCTCATAGCGATTCAGGTTATTTGGACGTTTTACTTTGGATCCAGCCCCTCTTCAACTCCTCGAGCTTTCCTCGACTCATTCGCCCTTGCCAAAGAATCCACTACGATTCATCGATCTACTATGAACGCCTACGGTGGCCGCCCCGAGACATCCAACTCGGTCCAGCCCCCTCAGATGTACACTTCTGCTCAGCTTAATGGTTTTGAGAACCCATCGCCTGTGGGAGGTATCTCGCAAGTTGGAGGAGCACGTGGATCAGCAGTTCCCCAAAGCTTTACCAACTCAGTCATGCAACAACCACCACAAGCCAAGCCAAACAACTCTCCCGGCAACGACACCGAGGTCGTGCCACCCACTGAATATCCCTATAGGGCAAAGGCCATCTACAGCTACGAGGCCAATCCGGATGATGCCAATGAAATTTCATTCTCCAAGCACGAGATACTCGAGGTGTCGGATGTTAGCGGAAGGTGGTGGCAAGCGCGCAAAGAGAGCGGCGAGACGGGTATTGCGCCCAGCAACTACCTCATCCTGTTATGAGCAACGATCCATGCATGGATTCCCTGGGATACCCGTTCGGCGATGTGCGATATGTCGCCCGTCGAACACCGTCAGACCCACGTACGGGCTGCTCGTTCATTGTTTGTCGCATTTTAACGTTTTTAGAGTTACGACTCGGCGATTTGGTTTCTGCACTGGGATGGGAAATATGTTGGATGGAGTATATTTGGGACGAAAAACCCCTTGTGTTATACCTAGGACCACGGCGCCTGCAACTAGGCTGTTCTTTTTCACTTTGAATGTCTTCTTTTCTACTGTCCTCACTTACTGTTGTTCTTCGCTTTATCTATTACCCTCGGGAAAACCGCGATATTTGATTCGAATAAGGTTTCTCACCCTCCGGCGAAGTGGCATAACACCCGGTGTGGCTGTGGGCCTGAGTTCACGAGGAATCGTGCTCGTAGACCTGCGAGCAGGCTGGGCTTTGTGTGGAAGGGGTTGTATTTTGTCAATGGATCTGGGTTGGCCAGGTGCAGATATGAACAGTACCAAGCAAGCTGTAGTTACAACGACAAGGGATAAGGTATCCCTTGGACCTAGTGAACACGATGATTATTGGAATGCAAGATGAATTCTCGAGTTGATCAATTGTGAGGTTGGGCTGAGTCTAAATTTAGGATCTGCAACAGGCGGGACCATCCAAGAGCCACCGAGACCAATGCGTGTGGTGTCAAGGTTTTACTCAGGAACGCGTGGCAGTTTCTTTGGAAGAATGTGTATCAATAATAACATGTCGAATCTAGCCTACATGAGACTAGACAACGTGCCGTTATGGGGCGTGGGTTGTGTTTAGATTTTAGCAAACACAGAGCAAGATGAACTCAGCATACAATCCTCCGGTTGGGTTCCGTATTTGTCGCTGAGGAGGATTGGCATGGTTCGATAGGAAGCCAGCTTATGTCCGGTGCTGATCTCACCTGGCTTGCTCATCGATCGGTACGACTTCACGTCCCAGCCTCTGGGGCAAGATGTGTCGCAATGGAGGTTTCGTTGCATCAAAGGGCCTTCTCCATATTGCCTCCGTTGAGTTGTTTCTCCGTTTGTCATTAAATGTGGTTTCATTTCCGCCTTCACTTCTCATCCCTCCAGTCTCTTCCTGAGCTCCCTCTCCTTCTGCAACACTTCCAGCTCCAATCTCTCGACACCATAGCGCAGAGCCTCTTTGCGCTGCCGAACTGCTCGCGCGCGGAGCTTCTCCTCTGCAGTCAACTTACGGCTCCCGGTTCGCTGCTTCTTAGACTTTCCACCGTATTCGTCGTAATTATCATCTGGGCGGGATAAACGACCCTGTTGAAGCTCTGCGCGGGCTTTAAGTGTTTCGATGCGACGCTCCTGACGCTCGATCTGGGAGTCTGCGCGGGCGAGAAGGAGAGCAATATATGGTCCGATTTCGTCACGTAATGAGGCCTCAGCTGCAGCGAGAGTGGGTTGTGGAATGAGTTCGTAGTGCTGCGAGATGTAAGTAGATGCAGCACAATGTGAGTGGAGAGACTTACGCGGACGGTCTTGAGGACATTGACTAGACGGGGGAAATCTGATACGCCATTATCAAGAGTCTCGACGGAAGATTCGAGGAATTTGAGGGAGGTGCGGAGAGAAGAGACGCAATCGGAGTATGTCGAGAGGTTGCTGGCGGCCATAATGACTACCCTGGGGCAGGCTATTGATACGAATATAGGTGTGACAGTACAGTCCTATTTCCAGTGGCTTATTGAGTCGCTGGGAGCCATAAGTTCTGGGGTGTCCTTGAATTAGTCATGCGTCGGGTATCAAAAGCGGCTTTGGATTGTTTTGATCCCACTCGATGATGCGGAGAGCGAAAGTTGATAAACAATGACGATGGTGCACGGACCAATCGCTTAATCGTCTTCGATTGCTGTCCCGAGCTTCCTCCGACTTATAGATTCAACCTCATCATCATATCAAGTCAGTTCAAGATTGGTTTGCATTGATTTCAAAAAAGGTTCTTTAACTCTCTGGTTGGGATTAAAAATTGGGACTAAGTCGGAGGGTATGATCTCATTTATGGATAAAACCTTCGTGATGAAAAATCATCATAACTTCGCCCTGAGCTTTCATGGCTTCAGATTTATGTTGACTTTTGAACCATAACCAGATCTTGAAACGAACATAAAGCGTCTGGAGAATATATTCTGAGGTTATTTTGCCTCTCGTACATTGCCATATCTCCTTTCGAGATTCAAAAACCTGCTATAATATTCAATAGGAAATCTGACGAGAACGAAAGTACAGTACTTGGATAGATTAACACAAAAACTTGGAAAGTATTATTGGTCGTGGACTTTACGCGCTGAGTCTTGCAGTCGTTGAGGCATGTATCAAATGTCATTAAGCGGTACCGTCAGTAGGCCTATCACAGTCACCACAGAAGCGAATTCGCGATCATAGGTACGTGAGAGGTAATACCGACAGAGCCCGTTGGACATTGCTCAGCTGTAAGATTTTCCAGCCCAAATCAAGATTTCAGCACCCCACAGACGGATAAATCGAAACTACTCCTTTTAGATTAGATGCTGTATATATCAGATCAATGTCTCGATATAAACCGTTTGGCTCTCTTCAATATTTAATCGAAGCTAGTTATCCCAGTCTGGCGTCATGTCTCAGTGTTTCACGCCAGGGAATTAGATCATACAAGTTGTGCCTGACTAGTAAGCCCTAATTGCTTTTTATTTTACAGCTTATAAGACTTTACAATAGACATTGAAAGAATTAGTGGTAGTAAGATACGCATGTCTGCTTCGCTCATGACTGGACGATCCGTATCGACTAACAAGTTTTTGCTCTTATTGGATACTGTACCGACTTTGAGCTCTCTCTTCGCCATCGCCTCTACCGAATTATAGTACCCCATATCAATAGCTAAGTGAAGAGTCAGAGGACAAAGAACAGGGCGAGCCCCCACGAACAGTGATAAGTGGTTCTTTAACTGAACTTTTCTATGTCTCCAGGTTTTTCTGGACCTAAATGCGAATTTATATGGGGGAAAAGCCGGTTTGGAATCGGTTTATTGGAAACATAGCCAGCCAATTTACATATTGTCAGGATTGATTACCAGAATCTTATGATCTATGTGCTGTGGGGTCTCAGCTGCATATAGTGCGATGTATTTGGGCTTGGCCTAGAGTCTATCACGACTTTGATGATATCTTACTCGCCATTCAGAACAACAGTCTTCCATGACAGGATAACGACGGCTGTTCTTAAGTCAAATTAGCATGTATTGTCTTGTGACAGATACATAAAGTAACCTGTATAGTTGATCTAAACTTTGCGGTTTAGAATCTCTGTGTGTTGGCTTTGGTGAAGCAACATCCCCTGCTTGTACTAGGAGCTGTCATCCTGTAGGCTGATAAGTCAATACGAGCGGCTCCTAGGTTTGGCCCTTCTCAAGTGATTCCAGAATAGGCCGCCTATTGAATCTGCTTTTGGACTCTTAAAGGATTTCTGTTGGCAGTCTCTGAAAAGACTTCAACTATGATGACTCATTTCTCAGGAACGTCTTACATGAGCATCGCTCGACTATGGGCTTTCTTCAACTCTTTAGGTAGAAAATCGTGCTGAATACCGAATGTATGGGTATATTACTGACATTCTATGATTTGAGTACATATTATCAGTTGTACATAATCAGTATCGTATCAGGGGTATCTCCAAGTCCAAAACTACAATTGTTACCAACATTATACCGCCAGACTTGAAACATCTCCAGTATGAGGTTAAAACTACATCTTAGGGATGTGTCAGCAGTACAAAAGGGGGCAGAATCCATAATCATATAGCTATACCGTTAAGGGGTTTCATCAACGACTTTAGCTGATTTCAGCTATAAATGCATATCGCATCTTGTATAAAAGGACTAATGGGGCAAGCGTGACAAAAAGTTTACTTCAAGCTGAAGGGACAGGTCGTTCTAGACGCATCTATTCTCGTACCGTCTCAGTCTCTTCTTTATATTGCAACTCTTACCGACGCCATTCTAGCTACCGTTAAAGTTTATCGGCGAAGCAAACATCCTAGTAGTTCACTAGGCTGAACAAATCTAGATATATACAGATTTCGAAGAGGCTGAGGTTATACTAGGTAGAAGGCGTCCAACGCTTTGATCTCGGCTCGTATCTACGCGATTCCTATTGCACCCTCTTAGATTATATGCCTCCTTGATAATGAATTTGCACTTACAGTTAGTCTGCAATATGACACTGTGATTCTGTTTCGTTGATGGGGACTGTAGGCACTTCAGAGGGCAACTTATACATCAAAATCAAAAATTTCTGCTTCTCAATTCTGGAAAACATTTTGGAAATCCTCACTTCGCTCAGACTTCATTTCGAGCATTCATTTCGACAATACAATACAAGTGTAAGTTGCAATGAATGAACGGGTGTCGCTTGATTTCCAAATCCCAGTATGTCGAGTTTTTGGCAAAGTGGCCTCAATCGCTTCTTCGCACAAGTCGGGGCATTCACGCAATTAGTGTGCGATGACAAGCCTGCCCCTATCTTGAGATCTGCCCAAGTATTCTTCCTTCCGTAGTTCTATATCTATTACGTCCTTCTGACCTTGGCTTTGTCAATTGATGTGAAAAAATACCAGGTTTGAGTCTAGGTTAGCATTTCTCTCCAAGCTTTGTGATAGATAAAGCGTTCAAGACCTCGTTCTGGGAAACGTTTAGAATTACTGATTGACAATTGTAAACTTCAGACTCCAGATATCTTCAAGTGAAGATACTATCTTCTTGATATGGCTATAGCTATAGTTATTACCACGAAAGGAACAAATTGCAAAACAATCTCTTACTATAACTCGTATTTTGAGCTTGTTGGCTCAGGAGTTGAAGACCCTATGTAAGTTAGAAAGAATACAAAGACTCATTTATGCTAATGTTCTACCGTATCGTGACAGTTTGTTGCAAATTCGTCTTCGTATTCCCTTTCGTTAGTTCCTAACCTAAATAAATAACACAGAGTACGTTGCAAGCTTCCATTAGGCAGTCTGTTACCTTAAGTGAATGAACATGTCCAAGACCGTCCAAATTTAGGTTCGTATTTCCTCAAGCCCTGCAGAGTTTTTAGCAAGAAACTCTCTGAGAGCACTTTCAGATCTCATGAAATCAGCTTGACTGCGTGGTGACATCGTCATTGAACCTAGTACCTGTAGTTGAGGAAATGGGTCACGTGCCCTCAAAGTTGGATGACGGAGAATCCGGAATCGGTCCCACTAAATTCCAGGCCTGGTCCTGCTTCGCTTGGTGGGGACCTAATGACAGGCAGGCAGGAGCCTCTTGCGTGAGCCTCGTCACTGAATCGACCAGCTTGGACTAAACCAAACACGCCCCCACGACCTTAAACTCATCGCAACAACATTGAACACCAACGATCCCTGAACTCGAACCCTCCAATTCAAACCTTGACCGATAATTACAGATCTTGAGGGGCCTACATCGCGATCGCTACCATGTCTGACGGAGTTTTAAAGCCCGAGAAGGACTTCTCGAAGGAGGTTGACCAGCAGCTTCCCGAAGCTGAGAAGCTGGCTGCGGTAGGTTTTTGAGCTTTGAGCTACCGATATTGGACTTTTTCTGACGCTCTGCTTAGTCCGGTAACCTCCAAGGCGCCATTGAGAAGCTTGCTGCGCTCGAGAAGCAAACCCGACAAGTATGCATTGGTACATGCCTGCTCAATCCCTTTCGCCGTTAACCCAGTACTAGGCCTCCGATCTTGCGTCCACATCACGAGTTCTGATCGCAATCGTCACACTATGCAAAAACGCGGGCGACTGGAGCTTGTTGAACGACCAGACCTTGGTCTTGTCCAAGAAGCACAGTCAGCTCAAGCAAGCCATCACCAAGATGGTCCAGACCGTCATGGGCTTCCTTGACGACACTCCCGACCTCAAGACCAAGCTGTCTGTAATCGAGACTCTGCGAACAGTAACAGAAGGAAAGATCTTCGTCGAAGTCGAACGAGCCCGTGTGACCAAGATCCTTTCCGACATTAAGAAGAAGCAAGGTGATCTAAAATCCGCCACCGAGATTCTTTGCGAGCTGCAAGTCGAGACCTTTGGTTCCATGGATCGACGGGAAAAGACCGAGTTTATTTTGGCGCAGGTTGAGCTATGTATTGAGAGCGGAGACTGGACACAGGCTGCTATTCTAGGACGCAAGATCAGCACTCGCTATCTTTCTCGCAAGCCTAAAAAGACGGCCGAGCAGCTTGAGAAGGAGCAAAAGGAGCGTGAAAAGAAGAAGGCACGCGGCGAGGAGGTTCCTGAAGAGAAGGAGGATGACACAACTGATCTGAAGCTGCGATACTACGAGCAGCAGATCATCCTTGCCAAGCACGAGGAGAAGTACCTGGATGTGTGCAAGCATTATCGGCAGGTTCTGGACACGGAAGCAGTCGAGGAAGACCCGGCCAAGCTTCGACCTGTACGTTGACTGCCTCTGAAGTATTGATCTTCTTTGCTAATTTCCTAACCATAGGTCCTGCAACGCATCATCTACTTTGTCATCCTAGCTCCCTATGACAACGAACAGCACGACCTCCTTCACCGAATCCACAAAGACACACGCAACTCTGAAGTTCCAGCCGAGGCAGAACTTCTGCGACTCTTTACTGTGCATGAGTTGATGCGATGGCCAGAGATCTCTAAGAGATTCGGCCCTCACCTCTGCAGTACCGATGTCTTTGACGCCCAGCTTGGTCAATCTTCGGACGACAAGGCTCACCAGCGATGGCAGGATCTGCGAAAGCGAGTGATTGAGCATAACGTCCGAGTTATTGCCAAGTACTATACTCGCATCCAGATGAGCCGCCTGACTCAGCTACTTGATCTTGCCGAGGACGAGACAGAGAAGTACATCAGCGAGCTTGTAACTTCCAAGACTGTCTACGCCAAAATCGACCGACCCGCACGAATTGTAAGCTTCGCAAAGCCTAGAGATGCTGACGATGTCCTCAACGAATGGAGTCACAACATGAAGAGTCTCCTGGGACTATTGGAAAGAATTGATCATCTCATCACCAAGGAGGAGATGATGGCGCGAATCCAGCCTGCTAAATAAGACTTTGGAGTACAGGATAGAGCAGTTCATAATTCATGACGGTTTGGGTGGTCTGTAATTATACAGGTTAGATAGTCCTCGGGATGAGGACGTATGACACGGTATTTGGTGTATTTCACCAAGTCTATCTATTCGTATTCGTCTTAGTCTATATGCGTTTTCCCAAAATTCAATGAGAACGTCGTAACAAAAATCATCCCTTGACAAGACTTTTCATTACAGCTCTGCTTTAGGCTCATTATTCTGACCATGCTCCTTGATGAAGCCAGCCAGAGGCGCTGCCCATTGTTTGGACACAGGTACGTGGTGACCTCCTGGGTGAACAAGTACGAGAGGGTCTTGACAGCGATCTGTGAGAGCTCTGCTTCGACTCTCGTCAACCACTGTGTCAAGACTACCAAGGAAGTGTAACGAAGGAGTCTTGATCTTGGGCTCATAGCAGAACTGGAGCGAGTTGGGGGTGGCCCAAAATCCGGAGTACGAAATGACGAACTTAAGAGCCTTTCCAGAGTTTGCTTCTCTGAGGCCTCTCGCCCAATCTCCCTCCCTTCCTTCAGGCAGAGTGCGTTCTGGCTCAAGAGCAGCTGCTACAAGAGCGGCCATGGCACCACCCTGGCTGAAACCACACACTGCATCGATGCCCTCTGCTTCTCGAATGGCCTGTCCAACGGTAGCCATGCCCTCGTCGAACAGTCGATAATTTCCGGTGGCTTCATCTTTGCGGAACCATGCCCATGTATCGGGTTGGTAGTCCTCTGGCTGGGGCTCCTCAGGGGGTTGATAGCCTGGGATGTCTTCTGGACTTAGACGGTTGGGACCAGTGGCATAAAGGAAGACAGGGAGAAGTGAGACAGGGTTGAGTAATTTGACAAGTGTCTTCTCCAAGGCACGAGTTTTGGCTCGGAATAGAGCGCCAGATTGTGTGTAGCCTGGTGATAAATGTCAGTGAGGGACTTGTGAGATTACGAGTGAGTCCAGGGTATGCTAAAGGTGACCGAGAGTCATTTGGAATGCGTCTCTTTGCATGAATGTCATGGTTACTCACCATGAAGCATGAGAATCTTGACCTCGTGTTTTCCATTGCCATTCGGCTTGGGAGCTGTTGTCGCGGTCATTGTAGATAAGCAAACTTTGTATGGAGGAAAGAAAGATGAGGCCCTTCTAATCGTAGTCACAGTTGATCTAGCAGCAGAAAAAGTACTAAGAAGAAAACGCATCTATAGAGAAGTAATGGGATGTTGGAGCGGGATTAAATCAGTGTTGATAACAAGGTTGTAGGCCGTATGAGTCGAGCGTGGAGAGCAATAATAACAATTTTAGTAGAAAGACGCTCTTATGATTTGTCAGTGGGAGAAATCTCTCTCAAAGGGCGTCGGGCCGTTACTGAACATGGCGGTACTTTAACCCCACCACGGACGTTGTCAACAATTCAGCAATGGCTGGCTAATCAAGGTCTTTAGACATGTTCTCTTAAACTTGCAGTTTCATCCACAGTTGAGATCTAATATGGGAGGCTATCCACTAATCATATCCAGTATAGCTGTTGTCAACAGTTTCACGTCTTGACGCATAAGCCTTCTTGTCGGAGGATTATATTGAGAGGCCTGGAAGCAATTGGATGCATCTGCATGAAATAGACACAGACACGGCACAAAGTAAGTACAGAAACGAGATATCATGTGGCCATGATGATGGACCACTACATCCACAAGAGCTTAATAGCCAGTATGTCGCGGTGAGTATTGGGCCATAGTTCATCTTCCTTGCACAAAAATAGAAATAAACCACGGAGCATGATGGTAGATTTCAGAGTGAGTCAAGGGTTGTACATGTCACATAACCAGACCAGACTTTGGTCTTGCTTCCCGCACAATCGGACATCCGGAGTTCGAGGGTATTCGTCGTTCGCAGTTATATCCATGGGCAACTTTCGTATGGTCGTTGTATAGGTCAATGAAGCCCCTTTTTTGATTCTATGTTACAATTCCATCTCGTGAACCATGGCCTCGCGTTCGAGCGGGTCGATTATGCATGCTAGCTGGACGAAATCCCATTTCCTTTCCCATCAAACTTAGTGACCGCCAGACTTGGCGTTGGGGTTGCGGGGGTCGTTCTTCCACTCGGCAGCTGTTATATTTAATTAGTCGTCGCCCTGTGCTCATCTGATGGGGGTCGTACAGTTCATCATCGCGGTCTGGGCGGAGTTGACGCCGTAGGCAATGACAACACCTATATCAAGAATCAATTGCTGTCCGAAACTCATCAAAAGATCAATCGAAGTCGGGCGCGGCGCTATATGATCGGGAAAGAATCGTTTTGTCGGATAAATTGCGCAACATCACGTACCAGCAGCGAAGAAGGGCCAGTAAGGCTTCACTAATGGAGGAGTCAGCGAGACACGTTCACGATGGCGCAGATGGACGGTTCGCAATTGAACATACAGAAGGGAGCGTTGAACTTCTTGAGGGGTTGAACACCGAGCCAAGACATGATGACGGATTTCGTGGGTATCGTGGGAGGTAGGTTCGGTTTGATGGACTGTATCGCTTCAAGATTGAGATTGCTACAGAACGAGCCTTTTTCCGAACGACACAGCTCCGAGCGGGTTCTGCCGAAGCCGAGCCCGGCCCGGATGGTTTTCTGTGTGCCTTGAGGCTGAGGCAGAAAGAGTTTGGGAGTTGCTGAGTAAGGTAGGTGGGTACGTACCTTGCCAGAGCTGAGGAACAGCAGGCCCAACCGAACCGAACCCCGCATTCTTTGACGCGCTAATGGAAGCTTAGGTTTACACGTGACAAAGCTGGGGTGACATCATCAGATAGCTCCTCAAGCTCCAGCTTTAAGAAGGTAGTGTACGTACTTCAAACCGTCTGATCTCATCACTCCTGTTTCCCTCAATCAAATCACTCTATTTTGTCCTTGTTTCGCTGTCAAAGGTTCATAGAGTCTGTACTCGTCTTACTCGTCATTAAAAACAACCAAAACTCACACAAGAAGTGCGGGGTGAATTATACATTCACTGGGCGTGTAACCGAAAGCCGTTCCGTCCCTCCAACTCTAAGCTGCCCAATCGTCCACGCGCTTCGCCCTCCTCCTTAGGTTTGCCAGTGCCAGGGCAATCTCAACCAAAAGGTGCTTTGATACCACCTTGACGCTTAAACGCCTGCCTTCCCGCTTCTGCTGTGCCCTGCCAGCATTTGATTGCCACCAATCCTGCCGCATCTGACCTTCTGCTTCCGTTCCCTCGGTGTATTTTCTCCTTTCAGCATCTCCCCTGTCCGTCTCGGTCCCTCCAAGATCTACAACCGCACAACTCCAACGTTTGACGTTTTAACGTTGTTGTCATCTGCAAGATCGCCCGCAATCTCCCCGCGCCCGCGCCAGTGTCAGCTTTATTAGACACCAATTGCGCCCCATCCACCTCGAGACTTTGCGTTCCCATTCCTCACCGCACCTCAATCAAAGCTCCAAGCTCCAACCATCCTCAAAATGCTCAGTCGTCAATTTGCACGCGCCGCTGCCGTCACTCCTCTTGCAGGCGTGCGAGCTCTGAGCTCGACTGCTATCCTTAACGGTCGCACACCTTCACTGGGAGATGTCAACCCTACACATGCAGAGGTCGATAAGTTCAGTCAGAAACAGAAGGATTTCCGCGATCACCTGGTCGAGGCACAGAAGAAGCGAGAAGCCAGTTCGTTGCCCTCTCACCCGCAGTCTGCTAACGTTCCTTTCAACGCGTCGGTCGAGGGCTCACAGAATGACCATGTAGGACGCTCTGAGGAGGTGAAGGAGCCTGAACCTTCCCGTAAGGCGGGCCCTTTGACGAATCTCATTTACGGTACCAAGGAGGGTCGTGAGCTCGATGCTCAGCTCGAAGCAAGCTTCAGTCAAGTTCTTGCCCGTGGCAAGTACGTCCATTCGATCGTTCTTCACGAAGTCAAGCCTGAGAAGGTTGACGAATATGTCGATCTCGTCGGGAAATGGTATCCCAAGATGGCGAACGCCCCGGAGAACAAGGTGAATTTGGTCGGAAGCTGGAGGACAGAAGTTGGCGATTGTGATACCTTCGGTAGGTTATGATTAATTGCATTTTGCTTTCTGACAACTAACCGTCTCAACAGTCCACATCTGGGAATACCAAAAATACGAAGGTTACCATCAATCCCGATACTCAATTACTCACCATCCCGAATTTGCCGACTTTGATAATAAGCTAAAGGGCCTAATCAACTCTAAGAATGTCTCTCTTATGCAAGAATTCTCTTTCTGGCCAACGACCCCCCCACGGTCGCTCGGTGGCATCTTTGAGTTGCGTTCTTACACGCTACATCCCGGCAACCTGCTGGAGTGGGAGACACACTGGCGACGAGGTCTCAAGGCCCGCCGTGAGGTTATGGAGGGTGTTGGCGCTTGGTTCGTTCAGATCGGCGATCTTAACACAGTCCACCATCTGTGGCAGTTTGCCAATCTTGAGGAGCGCCGAGGCCGTCGTGAACAGAGCTGGCAGGTCGAGGGCTGGAGCGACACAGTCCACAAGACAGTGCCTCTTATCCAGAGCATGAAGTCAAGGATTCTCGTCCCAATGCCTTGGTCTCCTGTTCGATAAATGCTCAAGCGACAACACTGCTGCCGCTCTCACTGCACAGTATTCTGATCATCTCACCCGCCTGGTCAAATCCAGGCTGAACATGCCTCCTGTACGAGATAAGAGGCTGTCTCTTGACGTTTTTACAGCATACTCCATTTTGTTTATGTCAAGAGTCTTTACGGTTTTAGCAGAGGAGCGGTGGAATGTGGATTATGGATTGCATGGATAGATGTATTATCTAAATTTCTACAAATTCATCTGAAACCGAAGAACGAGTATTCATAACATCGCGACATATAGTGATACCGATTTAAGGCTTTCGAAGCCTATGATAATTCGAAACAAGCTTGGGAGCGAAAACCCCGCCCAACAATAACCATTGTCACCTTAACGCCAGGGGTATCCAATCAGTTTACATGCAAAGCTGCTCACATGGCCTTCCCCCTCACTTCTAAGAGTCAACACTTAGGACCTCAGCAATGTTCCTTCGGGCTTGGCCAAGCATGTGACTGAGGTAGCTAAGCTTGGACTGAATGGATATGAGACTCGGATCTGCGCTTTCGACGCGTACCTTTTCCCGGACATAGACTTCCTGAATATCATTACTATCCACTTCTGCAGCGGACGATCCTGGCTCCGGGGTATGGCGGGCACTGCCCCGCTTCGAGCCGCCAATGTTGGACCCCTGTGTATTATACCGGAAAACGGTGTCCATCTCGTCATGCTCCAGCCGACGTACAGTTCCAAAGGCTAGACCGAGCTTGGTGCCAAAATGAACATGCGCATGAACAGGTTCTAGAGCACGCAGCCACAGAATTATGCAGCTTTCTTGAAGACCTAGATAAAAGCTGAGGTTGGGCCCGATTGATGGCAAAAACTGATCTGGTGAACACGAGCACATCTGCCAAGCAGGATCAGAGTCTGTTAGAGGAGGTCCTTTAAGAATAGCTGATGAATCGGAGAGAGAATCAGCAAGGATGCTGAGAGTAGAGGCGAGTGAGCTAGCGTCCTGTGGTTTAGACAAAGTAATAGCGAGGAGATCTATGGACTGGTTTAGGTAGCCATGCAAAGCATCGAGGCCTTGGATATGAATGGCTTTGGACTGCGAGAGGGACAGGGTCTGTGGAGGTATCGTTCGAAGCTGGAGGTGTATAGTCTGCGATCGAAGGACGTCAGCATGCAGAACGAAACTGGAGCTGGAGCTGCATGCAAGGAGACATGAGCTCAACAGGCAGTCTTACGCCTTTAACAATACGAGTACCGACACGAGTGAGCGTGCCCTTCACTTTTTCGTTACGCGGCGTACTCATGACGAGTGTACTGCCCGGATCGATAGGCGCGAGGAGCGCATAGCAATCCTCAAGGCCATGTTTAAGATCGCGGCAGATCTCGAGTGTCTCGTCGACGATCCAATCGAGTTCGCGCGCCTTATCAAAGTAGATCAGCATATTTTCTTGGCTTATTTCCTCTCGTTTCTCTTTGTCGCAGGAGGTCGCAGTACCTGGGTTTCGGAGGCTTTAAGTCTGAGCTCGGCCGGCGAGACAGGGGGCCAGATTGCAATGGACATTATGAATAGGTGCCTAGCTGGTCGATACTTCTCGGGTAGCAAGGTAGGCAGCCATGAGAGAGGATAACGGCGATGAGGTTATGGCGATGGTGGACCGAGACTGATCAGGAACGAGTTGGAGATGGACGAGTAGCCCGACAGAATATTGGCTCTAGGTGAGCTCAGCCGACAGCTTCAATGTGACGTCTATAGTGGGCCACTGGGCCCCTAGAAACGCTACATTTGGGGTGCATGAGCTGCGCCACAGATCTGTGGCGCTCTCATGCTCAACTTTGAAAGGAAGATTTTACTTGTACGACAGTGATATAAAGTTTATTAACATCTTATAAAAATTGTTCTCATCATCTAAATCAAATCTTTGGAAAGTATTGATTTGAAGGTCGTTTTCTCACCGCAGTCCGTGAGAGCATCGCGATAGTAGTGGCGGTGTCCGCATCTCAGACCTTTTTTACTCTTCCTTTCTACTCCGAATTCATGTCTTCTTCCCACCACTTCAACTTCTGCTCACGCTAGGCATCATCCATATTCAAGCATCCTTAGAACTGAGGTGGCTAGAAACAATCGATTCAAAAGGAGGACTCGTGGCATTTACAAAGTTGAATTTGTTTGAGCACATTCCTTTAAAACCTGTTGAAAAGTTCTTTTGAAGATTCATGTGCTACTCAGCATCAGGCAGCCAAATCTCATAAAAACGACAACATGGCTTCGACCGAGGCTTCCAAGGCTCCAAACAAGGTATATGGTACCTTGAGTAAGCTGCCTGCTATTTCAGAAGGTACAGTTCTCACAAAAATACTACGAATGTGTGACTAACACTTCCCAGGCGCTCGTGTTGAGAAACGCCCTCTAACTAGGCGCCAGCCGCCAGCATCCTCCAAATCTCGCATCATCTACGTGTCTTCAAGGACACCGTTCATGGCTGTGGTCAAACGCGCCCGTAAACAGCTTGACGACTCACTCAAGACAACTGGCGCAGCACCCAAGTACGCGTCCCTACACTCGCGTGTTGAGGCGCTGCAGCGAAATAGCGGTGGAGATGTGGACAGTGCTGCCGTGACACTGGCAGGAACGGGTAAAGCCATTGAGAAGATCCTCGCGGTCGCGAGTTGGTTTGAGCACGAGGGAGACTGTGAGGTGGAGATCACGACAGGAACCGTCGGAGCCGTGGACGATGTGGTGGCCAGTGGAGACGAGGAGGATCAGAGTCGCCTGAGGAAGCTCAGTTGTCTGGAACTCCGGATTAAGCTCAAGTGAGATAGGGACACGGCAGCAAGACTGTGTTGCATCAGATCTACATGGCAAGTAACCTTGCATGCGAATCTTAGATTAGCATTGTGTTTTGCTGACAGTTTCCCCATAGAACAAAGTCCACGGCGTCCGAGTCGGAATGCGCGGGTATGCACAACTGCCACACAAAACAAGCCAATCTGACAGTATCGAGATCTAAGTTGACTTCGATAATTGAGGAGTTGAGGGCTTGGGTGGGCCGCCGATCCGGATGATTTGGGTCAGCTCGAGAGACAGTGATTATGAATCAACCAGCCAGAACCAAACCAGAGGCCGTCTGACCTTCGGGCATAGTCCCAATAAGCAATAGAAATTGGTGTGACCGACTGATCAAGAATTGGTTCATGATAGCCGCCAAAGGAGGAGAATGTTCTTGCTTGATAATGATAACTCGGAAACACCCCGTCGGTGTATTATGGCCCGAGTAAGAGACCGACGTAAGTACCGGATGGAATTACATGCACCAAAATTGATATGGAACGTCAGCTTGTCGTCAAATAACGTTATATGGTTTTGAGTAGGCAGGTCATTCAGTTCATCACTACCCAAACAAATGAGGATTAAGGAAGAGATGGGAAAGTCTCAAGATCCAATGTCTACGCCGCTCAATGCATCGTCATCATCCGTCCATTTCCTCCTATTTGCTAACCGGGTCGAAAACTGACTCGGCTGTTTAAAGACCAACTCCCGTGGTGCGCCGAGGGATCCGCTATCCAGTCGGGATCCCTTATGCAATGCTAAATATGTCGTTTCTGTTAAGTCAAGCCAAGTCATTCGGATCTTTCGCTTGCTGGTGATTTGTGAATTTTTATGTAACACGGTAGGCACTGCGTCTTGTGATTAGGCACGGCCTTGTAAGATGGGGACTATGACTCAAGAGAGGGACTTACTCGATAACCAAATGCTCGCCACGCCAGGCACCACTGGCCACCCATAATCCACAGTTGACGATTTCGGCGTAACGCTTGTCGGATGTCTTGAACGTGGCGAACATGCGGAATCCATATCGTCGTGGGTCAATGTCCTTGGGGGCCCGAGGGCTTAATAGAGTGTCGAGAACATCTGCGGGTCCTGAGAGAGAACCGCGAGTGCGCATTTCGAGACTGGCCGATGAGTTAAACCCAAGTCTAGTGACTTGTAAGAATTCTGAAAACTTACAGTGCAGGCTGTTCATCACTTGTTTGGACGACAAAGGCGCCCTCGACAAGCCTCATGGGCCTAAAACCGCGTGCCTGGCCAAGATCATATCCGCCTGCCTATACACCACACAAAAAATCCTCCTCAGTCAGCCACGAATTGGATAAAGTGTAGGATTCTGAAAGGGGTTGGGGGCGTGTGAAAAAAAAGGGAAAAACGCACAATGACGCGGCCGTGGCCAAAAGATCCGGACCTATAGTACAAGTTAGTTGGCCTTCTATAGGTAGCCTTCATAAGAAGCAAAAGCAGCTAACTCACCACACTCCAGCGGCTACGGTTGTAATTTCCTTGGTGTTGCCTGAGTCAACGTGGACAGCTTCTTGATTTAAACGAACAGCGATTCGAAAGTCAAAGTCGAGGGCAGGCATCGGAAAGGCGAGTCCAGGGCATGGGAAGTGGTTAAGAGAGCGTTGGCAGGCCTCTTCAACGGTTCTAAGAAGTACCAAAGTATAGTCAGCATTTCAACGTCCGGACCAATTCGGCAATCCTAGATGCTTCTTCCAACTTACTTGCCAGGTCCTTCTCGACATTCGCGCTCAGCCTGAACTCTATATAAAAGACCTCCGTCGTTGAAACATCCACCCCCTGATGCAGTATCTTGTGATTGTGGGGTCGGCTGCAGTGGTGGTATTCTAGAATCCCACTCGGCTGGCTTGTCGGGGACTGGGTAAAAGGGAGTCGAGTGAGGCATGCATGTGGATTCAGAAAAATCGGTAGGAGCAGTACTAGTTGGTAACGAGAAAGAGAGAGTATCGGTTTCGGTCGCCATGATTATGTTGTTTCTTGATGTAGATGTTGGGGTTGAAGCGAGTATTTGAATGAGACGCCTTGTGGCAGTCTAATGTCGCAATACGAGGATTCGGGTGTGTTGGAAACCTTATGATAACATCTGAGTACTACCGTCGAATAACTGAAAGAATTGAAGGCTTGTGAAATTGACCGGACGATTTGAGTTGGTATATATAAC